GCCTCTGCTAAACTTTTCTGGCTTATTATACTTTCTCTTAATTATTCTGTGACGTAATCTATTTTATTTGAACAAACCTCAAATCTCAAGTCACAATTTCAGAATATAATATTTAATTCATGTTTGCTAACTCAATATTTAATTCAATTTGCCTTTATAATAAATTTATAAATGTGATAATAGATACACTATATGGTTTGCTTGAAACGTTGTTTGTAAGGTGAAATGAGGAATATTTTATAGTAAGGGGTGATAAACACCAAAATAATAATATTATTAGGTTGAATAAAATAGGCAAATGGTGATGGCTAGGGTCAACTCTCAACTCTGACTATTGGCCCTTTTATTCCATATCCTTGTTTTTGGGTCTCTTTCTCAGAACTGTGCACTAAGCACCAGCACCATCATTAATGTGCCAGCAGGGAAGTGATTTAAATTTTATTACATTTATAAAACATTTAATTTAGATAGTAATAATTTGGTTTGCTTAATATATATATATATATATAAATCTAATAAGGATTAGTTTTGTATATGATATTTAGAAATAATATATAAAAGAATTACATTTTTGAAAAAATTATAAAAATACGAAATTGAAAAATCATCTTAATCAATAACTATTTTTAAAATAAAATAAAAAATTCTAAAAGTATAAAAAATAAATTTAAATGATTCTCACTTTCGTCATGAATCAACTAAATCGGTTTAGTATACAACGTAAATGTAAGGAAAGGGTGGGAGCTACGGTACAAATTATAGTCGATAAAAAAGAAAGTTTTACAATATATATATAATGTGATTCATTTGCATACATTTATAATTTTCAGATAATTTGAATCAAAATCATAAAAAAATAAAATTTTATTTGTTTATTTCACTTTTTAAAGTTGGATTTAAATATTTAAAAATATATTTTTTTATTAAAAAGAACATATCTGTTGTATTAAAATTATAATAGTATAATGAATGTTTTTTAAAGAAAATTTTTCTGTTTTAGTTGTTTAAATTTAATTTTAAAGATTGAAATGATCGTTTTTTCATAGCATTTTTGAAAAATCATGATTTGAAGCTTTTGAAATAGAAAACTAAATAGTATTTATATACATAGTGCATGTATGTGGATATGTTAGAAGAGCTTACGTCTATTCAGAACAAATGCAGTTTTTAAAAAACATAAGATTACTATTCTGGATTAAGGTATTAAATTGAGTAGAATATTTAAAAAAAAAAAGATATATGCAGCTATAAGAATTATATTAATTAAAATACAAATGATTGCGGTTCCAACAATTTCATAATTTATTGTAAAAATATATGTATTTAATAAAAATTTCAATCATTAATCTTTAATTAGTAACATGTTTTATCTTTTAAAGTACATGTAACTTTAGGATATGATTGAGAGTATGATTTTAAAGAGGAACAGATGATAAGACTTTTCTAAAATTTTAAAAGTTATACAATATTTTCAAATAAATTTTTAAGAGATTATATTCATACTAATTTTAAGAGAATAAAAGGATCGTTTTACAAAATTATATGGAAAATAAAATCACAATAAACTTTTTTTTATAATAAACTTATTTTAATTTGATAATTAGAATATTGAAGTGAGAAAAATGTTTAAAAATAGATAGAGAGGAGTCACATGGGGAAAGGCATGTGCATTTTGGGGCACCGTATGCATTGCATGTGTCAAGTGTGGACCTCTTTCATTCAACAATAACATATCATGCTGCGGGCCCCCACGTGGTCAACCTCCATCAGCTCCCAATACCTGCTTATTCTTTTTCTTTTTTTAATGTCTATTTAATTACACGTATTAAGTAATATTTTTATAACTTTTTAATAATTAATATTTAATTAATAAAAAATACCAAATAAATAAAATATTTAATATAATAATTTATTTATATCTTTAAACACTTTCAATTTTTTCCATAATTGTGATTTAGAATGGTCAGTGTTATTAGTATATTTTTATTATTAACTAAAATTTATTAAAAATTTAAATAAAAAATAACACTTACCTATTTTTATAATTTTTAATAAATTATAATTAATAATAAAAAATATGTTAAGCGTATTAACATTATTTCTGTTGTACAACAACTGTGTGAATAGTTTTAGAATGTTTTGTCAAGTAGTCCATCTCCTTTCATTTTTTTTTCCTTTCTAATTCACCCATTTAGCAATCTCAACAGAGTCTACAACATGAACAACTCACCACACTCACAGTTTTTAAGCTCCAAATACTACTTCTTTTTACAAGAAATAAAATAGAACATTTCTTTAGTCTTTATTATAAATAATAAATAATAAATTTAAAAATATTAATAATTAAATTTTTTTATATCCTTCTTTTATTAGTATTATTAATTATACAAATTATTAACTACAATATTTAATATTATGAATATTTTTAAAATAAAATTTATATTTATAAAAAATATAAGTAACTTAATTATTTTTTTTATTCTAAAAATTTAATCTTTTATTTGTTATAAAAAAGATGAATGCATTTAATGCCACCACAACTCTCCTTGTTAATGATTCATTTTCCTACGTTTTTCATTGGTAAACAATTAGCTTTATAGTCTATATATAAAAAACACCAAAATATCGTATTAACTCCACTTTATGAGGAGTAGCTCCGCAAATGCATGCATATTCCTGGTTTTAAAATATTATTAAATCCATTAAACACATGCATAAACCAGTGTTGTGATTTTGGTTCTAACATCTGTCTATTTATTTTGTTATGACTTTCACCTTTAATAGCATAAGAACCTTAATATAATATATTTAAATTATAAGACTCTTTTACCTAATGGACTAACTTTTTCATATTGATTCAACACTCTCCTTAAATACTTGAGTGACAACAATTCTTGAACCTGCAGCTTGAGGCTTATAAGCAGAGAGACACCAGAAAAGTAGTTGGAAAATTATTATAAAAAGTTATTGAGAGTGAGGGATTGGAAGAATATGGAGCTTATATTTTATATTTATTAAATATGAGATTACTTTGCAGCAGCAACAGCTAATAATAATAATTTCAGGAATTATTTGATAATATCTTTGAACCATAATATAGCATTTAAGTTCTCTTAAATTTATTTATTTACACAGATGTACTAACATTTTGTTTGATTTAGGAAAGAAAAAATAAAATATATATATAAAGAAATAAATGCAAAAAATGAACAAATTTTTAGGTTATTTGATATTAAAAGAATTTTGTTTTATGAATAGACAATTATAGTCTGAAATAAATGAGTTAGGATAATATAATAATTATTCTCTGTTCCAAGTTTTTCAGCTCAAAGTTGAAGTCTCAACATTTTTTTCACCTCTTTCTTCACTGAACCAAACACGGCTTCCTAAACTCATCATTACAGTATTGACTTACTTCATTGAACTTTACTTTTTCTCCTCTTATTTTTAACCATCTTAAAACAAAATAAATTACAGTTAACTCGATAATTTTACAATAGTGTAAATAGACGAGTTAAAAAATAAATTTTAATTTTTTTTTCTTATTTTTAGTGTCTATAATGTTTAAATATGTTTTTTAGTGTCAATAATTTTATGAATTTTTGTAGTTCTTTATTTTTTTATTTTAGTGATCACTTTTTTCATTAACATAGCTAATTAAAAGGACGTTACATGTCAATTTTTCAAAGGATGAAGTCAATAACAGGAATTAAAACCAAAAAAATTATAAAAATATATATATTAAAATAAATAAAAATCTAAAAAGTTATAAAAATATATTTAAGCTAATTTTTTAAATGACGTAAACCAACAAATTAATGTGAATTTTATTAACAGGTAAAGATTCAAAATTTTCTCCTTCTAAAATAATACCTTTGCCCCAGGAATCCACTTGTTCAACATCCTCAACCCTATTAATTAAATATATCTAACTTTATTTTTATCACATAACCTACCCCAAATAGTAAAGATCATTGCCATAATCTTGAACATTCTTTCATTATAGTTGGACAAGAAAAAATAATGTCAAACTAATTGCTTTTATTTTTAGTTGGTTGATGTTGATTTTGACATGAAATCTCCTTCTTGTTTCAGAAGTGGATATACGCTGAATTATGTTTTCTCAACAGGTAATGATAAATTATCTAAATAAACTATTGCAATATTTCTCCATTAAATAACAAAAAAAATAAAATCATTGCATTAAAATTTTAAATAATATTTAAAAAATATTTGGAAAATGAAGTGGGGTCATTGCCGTCAAAGGGCTTAAAGGGAATGACTAATCATGTTTAGCCTTTGTTTTAGTTTTTTAGTTTCTATTTTCACTTATACTTTTTAGAAGATTATTTAATTAAGATACCCTTCGAGGATTAGCCAAATTTCTTTTTATATAGAAGGCATAGTATATATATTTTTTCTTATGACAAATGTTTCTAAACTCTAAACCTTTATTATACACACCTTATATTTTTGTTGGTACTCTGAAAGGGCATAATTAATGTACTTGAATATTACAACCACTTTAAATAATACAAAAAGTTTATAAACAAAATCATTTATATATGAACAGGAACACTTTTATTCTGTTTCCCATTTCACTTTCTTGCTCTGTTTTTTTTCCTCACGCTCACACACACATTGCCTTTCTGTCCTTTATTCATTCATTTATTATTTATTTATTTTATTGTGTTATTGCTTTGCTGGTGATTCCCAGCGTGCATCTACAAACTAGAAGAAGAAATTTATGTGCACTCTCTTTATCACACTCACTCAGTTACAACTCAAAAAGTCACAAGAAACAGTTGGCATTTTACACCAAAAAACAGCCTATAACTCATTTGATAAACATTCACTGTGGAAACAAACTATTAAGAAAAGAAGTGAAGTGAAATGAATCCAGCATCCACCACTATCAATCATTAACTAGGACTTCACTTCCCATGTCTCTCTCAGTCATTGTCCTCTAGATTTACTCAAAGTGAAGCTCAATGGGGGATTTTCATAACCAAACAACACAAGCAGTGATAGTTTTCTTGAAGATTATTGTTGTTGTTATTATTGGTATCCCTTACAAGGCTTCTTTTTTTGTTGGATCAAGTTTGGAGTTGCTTTGAGGTGCATGGTGTGTTTGTGTTTTCAGTTCCAACACAGCTGAAAAATCTTTGAAAAAACCACTTTTTTTTTGTTCAGGTAATTTACCCTTTGCTGAATACTACTGCCAAATCCAAACCGGTCGTGGATCTTGCCTCTCAGAATCTCAATTTGATGAACAGCATTGATTTCAGTTTCAGGTTTTATTGTTCTCCCAATAATTCTCCTTAAAGTATGCCCAATTATTGCCTTAACTGCTGCCACTCATGTGAGATTTGGTTGAGTTGAGAGAGAGAGAGAGAGGAATGAAATGCTCAAAACCAGAAGAAGATTGCCAAGTATTGAGTGAGTCTTTGCCTCTTTGGCTTTGCCTTTTGCAAGGATTCTTGAGAGAAAAGGGTTGCATTGCAACGGTTGAAACGTTCAAAGCTGCTTTTATACTACTGCCCCAGGAGAATATTTTTCTTTATTACACCAAAACGTGCCTACAAGTTTCCATTTTTAAGACCCTTTTGAAGAGATTTATTGGTTTTCTTTCGGTTATAGTTTGTTTGTTCAGCATCAGCTATTCATACATGATATATTGTTGTATTCGAGTTATATGAGTCCAAGGTTTGAATATTAGACACGCAGCGAGTCACATTGAGCTGAATTTCTAAGATTTCCTAAAGCAATCATGGGGCTTCTTCCAAGTCTTGTGATGCTTGTTCTTGTTCTGTGCTTTGAATCACTTCCTCGTATTAGGGCTCAGTCTAGTACTGCTGCTCCTGGGTCTTCTTCAACAAGGGAAGAAGCTAAGGCCCTGGATGCACTTCTTCAACAATATGCTTACAAGGCTTTGGTGAATCCAAAAACAGGTATCGTTTACAATGCAACTCATCTTCCTTCCAATTTGACTGGGATTGAGGTTGCAGCATTGAGATTAAGGAGTGGGAGTTTAAAGAGAAAAGGCTTCCAAATGTACAATGAGTTTGGAATTCCCAAGGGACTTATTGAGAGTCCATATGTGGAAAGATTGGTTTTGGTGTACCAAAATCTGGGCAATTGGTCCACCAGGTACTTTCCATTGCCTAATTATACTTACTTGGCTCCAGTGTTGGGACTACTGGCTTATGATGGTTCAAATTTGTCAGCTACAAATTTATCACAACTAAATATAAATGTATCTGATGGCCCTATATTGGTCAAGTTCAGGGATGTAAAATCAGCTCCTCATGGCACTGTTGCAAAATGTGTTTGGTTTGATTTGCAGGGTTCTTCCAATTTCAGCAATGTAACAGGTGGCAACACATGTTCTACTTCCCAACTGGGCCATTTCTCTATTGTGGTTAAATCCACTGCTCCTCCAGCACCAGTATCTCCTCCTCCTGCTGGTGCTCCAAAAGGGGCACCAGCACCGGCACCAAGTGCTCAAGGAGAAGGTGAAAAGAAAAGTAAAAAGAAAGTGTGGATTATTGTTGGGTCTGTTGTGGGAGGACTTGCACTGTTGGTGTTGTTGTCACTGCTAATTTTGTGGATGAACAAGTACAAACAGAAGAAGAAAATGCAACAGATGGAAAGGGCTGCAGATGTGGGAGAGGCTCTTCAAATGGCTTCAGTTGGGGATACAAAGGCACCTGCTGCAACGGTTACACGAACACAACCGACTCTTGAACATGAATATGCACCATGACACAATATTTTTGCACAATCTTCAGTTTCCCTCCTACACTCATCTTCAAGTTAATTTACTGTATTCAGAAATTCTTCTAATCACACTTTTTTCCCCCTAGTGCCACTTCCCCTTGTTTGTTTGCTTAACATAGGATTTTCGTGTACATCTGTTATCTTTTTTATGATTCATTGTGGTGTGAATTTAGCAGCCAAAAGTGATGATTATGTTGATGAATTCAGATGTTCCATTGACAAAGAATAAAACTGTGGAACCTACTTGTTGGGTTATTTATCATGTTTTTACTATCCTTTTCACGTGGCTGAAAGATGATGACTTGATATAAATGTTGTGGTCACACAATGCATATTCACTCAGCCACCAGTTCCCATCATTCCTGTTCAGTCATTTAAGTGAGGTAGAGACCCGAGATCTCAATGCCATCACCTTGTTCTTTAGAATTTAGCCTCTCTTGTCCCTCTTCTTGTTGGTAATGGTCTTGCTAACAAAAGGATTTGGTTAGGATGCATTTTTCAATGTTAATTGTATGTAATATTTTTATCAAGTGAAAAATGGAATTGAAAGGCTTGGAAATTGACCATGAAGAAGCTAATGACTTAGAGTAGAAGAATGAAGTGTTTGTTTAAGTAGCATTTGCTTATCATTGCTTATTAAATTTGGTGTCTTGTATTTTGTTTCCAAACAGACAAGTGGGCAAAAGAAAGTAACTAAACAGAGGAAATAAATAAATAGCAAGACCTGCAGATGAGTGCTGGCATTTCAGTGGTCATCGACACCCGAAAAGGACAATGTAATGCAAGCAACCAAGTCAGGACAAGAAGTAAATCTTTATAGTTTTGACAGCAATAACTTCTTCCTCTCCCACTATTAAAAGTTAATTTATAAGTGAAAAATGAAAGCAAGTTTTCAGCATGACATTTTATTGTCCGAAGACTGAAGACAGCACATGACAAGTAAAGCAATTTTTGTGCCATGACTTTCAGCTATGAATAGCATATTCGGCTTTCTGTTGTGAAAGTCCTAAGCCATGGTTTGAACAAAAAAGCATATTTTTTAGTTTTTACCAAAGGTTGTAGAAGCGGCTCAAACACAATCATATTTTGTAATACTTCTTTTTTTATTTATTTGTTGAAGTGGCTACAACTATATCTCTTCCTTGCACTTGAATAACAATGAGAAATATATTATATAACAATAATAACTTGGTTTATTTCTATACACACCCTGAAGTGACCATAGTCGCCAAAAAGCATATGAAATTTGGACTTTACATTTTAAAAGGTATAACTTAGCCCCTCTTTCATTATTTTTATGAGTCAACTACTCAATCTCTATATAATAAACAACCAAACCAAACAAAGAGAAATGCTTCTAGCTGCACGGATGAGATAAGATGACTTATGAAGGAAGGTATTACATTCACAGCTCATCGCCACCAACACCTAACCAGCAGTTTGAGTCTTTGAAAAATCAGTATGCTATGTCTTCTAGTTAGAATATGCACAACTTTTTTATTCTAATATTCTTATTTCAATTCATTCTTTGATGCTTGAATTTTGAGGGCCCAACTCCACAAAGATGACTTAATGGAACAGCACACTAGAGCAATATAAATCATACCCTTGAACAATATTAAAACTATTTAAAAAATATTTTGGAATTTGTATGTTTTTGTGTGTTCTCCATAATTTATTCTTATTCAATAAATTGTTCCAGATGCACACTAGTAGTTTTTTTTTTCAAATTATTTTCAACCATATAACCTTCACCCTAACACAACTAATATATATATATATATATATATATATATATATATATATGAGACATTTTTTTATATTAGTATAAGTCTAAAAACTCTTACACTCAACCTGAACCTTTCATTTAACTTATATCTAACGAATTATAATTTATTACTTCATTTACCGTTAAATATAAGTTAAATAAAATGTTCAGGTCAAGTGTAAGAATTTTTAAACTTACTGTGAGGAGATTTCTTCTTTATATATATATAATTGTTGCTGAACCCCTTATTTTGCAAATTAATAACACAAAACAAACAAGAAATAGAAAAAAGGCAGAAAAAATTTGAATATTGTAAGAATTTTCCTAAATTTACCATTAAAAATGTGGTTTGAAATAATACGAGATTTCCTTTGCTTCTTTGATTCCCCAAGCATATGTCAAATTCAAGAGATTTTTATGTCATTAAAGGGCAAGTTTTGGTCCTGTTACTTTAACTTGTTAGAATAAAGGAACTTTGAACGGGTAAAATGTCGCCAGCAACATTTGATACCACACACGCATTTATTTTGAGTGGATAAAAATACCCGCTTTCATTTTCTGCACGCTATTTGTTAAGCTTTGCATAAATATTTGCCCCAATTCTTTGAAAACTTGTACGGGTTAAACAAACTACGTTGGAAATTCAGAGAACTGAGGCATCAGTTCAGTCTCAGTACTCAGATTTAGAAGGACAAATATAACCTATTCATGATAATAGGACTAAGAAACACGTTTTCATAAATTTGTCTGAAAATTTTTACTTTTTAATTAATTTCACTTTTCAGTGAGACTTGTTCCTCCGATCTGTGTGGGAAAAAAAATGGAAATCTCCCGATTTATGTTTGTGCAAATTGTAGTTAGGTTGATCCTCCGATGAATGTACTAATCTATAGACATAACTTAAGATGTATTAAAATAATAATATAGTTAATGTTCAAATTTTTATTGAAGTTATTTTAATATTACCTTAAACTTTTAATTAGTTGAATCTATAAATGTATGTAAGAAGGGATTGTTATCACAACACTTGTGTGTTTCTTGGTAAGAATTTTAGTTCCAGTTAAAATTTTACACTACAATAACTACATGTAAGTTTCTTCTTCCTAATAGTTGTTGGGGGGCAAAAAATCCTATCAATAATTAATAAATGTAATGCCACTTTGAAAAAAAAAAGAGGATAGTAGTTGCTAGTTTCGTGATAAGATGTAAAAAGAAAGTCATTCTCTTTTGTCAACACCACAAATACCCTTTGTAGAAGATAATCATATATTGGGTAAAATAATGGCAAATCTTTTCTTTTATGTATTCAGTGTAACTGCATTATCAAAAACTCAAACTCAAAAATAGTTAAATTAAAACAAACTCACGCCAACTTTATCCATGTGCTCGGTAGTTTAAAAAGAGGGAAGTCAATTGTTTTGTAACGAGGGAAAAATATATTGTTTCAGAAAAAATCTTATTTTTTTTAACAAGTATTAAATTAACAAACTGTGTCCAAATTTGATGAAAGAACTACAAAGAAACACAAAATTTAGTAAGAAGATTCATTCTCATGTACTGTTATTATTTTATTAGAAGTGAGATGAACATGTCTAGCAAATAGTTAATATAAATTGTTTAACGATTTACGTTTCATTTGAAAGGCGAAATTATTTTATCCTCCCAATTTCTTTTGTTTGTATAAACCATAATACATGTGAAATCCTACGTCATGGAAACATTGAAGCAGCATTGCCAACCAGAACAATGCTCAATTTGTAGGTCCTACGGAAATTGTTCGACGCCTCAGCCCTTCTTGGGCTCAATAAGAACTTATTCTCGAGTAAAGATACCACGTTACAGTAACGTCACTGGCGAAAGAGGGGTTCCGATGGCCAACAAAAAGCTGCTTCACAGCGTTTAGTGTGCAAAACATCTTGTCGTTGCAATTTCCTCTTCATATTTTGTGGCGGTATGGATTGGGAATATTGGCTGCTTTTCGTAATTATTCATCATGCATTGATGTCAATTTGCAAAATTTGTAGTCATACACAAAATGTTTAAAGATTTGGCAACAAATATCCCAAAGCACTATAAAGCTTTCACAACCCTATTTCAAGTTTCAACATATGAAGCATCGGGAAAGCAACTGTGATAAAAACATAGGTATATTTATCAAGCTTACGTTGAATTGCATACAAGAAAACAGAGAAATTGATTCTAATGATTCATTCTGCTTCCTTAGAACACTGGAAATCTGGTTGAGCAACTTATTTTCTTCACAATGACAATGAACAAAACAACCTGCATGTAGCAGAACAAATATTATGATTTCCATTCTATGTATATATCCAAATCCTCAAGTGTTGTACACAAAGCAAATGAAACGTCTAGCTCACTGTCTGATAATGCATTTCAAACTATAATAAAGGATGTATTCTCATTTGGGGGAGGGAGGGAGGAGAAGATAACAAGAAAAAGAATACAAACACCGTGTTTTCCTGTTGAGGGTGAAGACAAATCCGTGCAAATCTGATGTTCAACCACACAGAAAAATGTTTGCATGAGCATGAAAAATTTGCCAACATTGTCCTTTTAGTTATCTAGCCATTCTTCAAGTTTTTTCCCCAATAAAAAAAGATACTCCACTAAAGAAAAGGAAGTAATAGAGGCAATAATATTGGAGAAAAAAACACATAATGGCACAAGTCTTTAAAAGAATTTTAGAAAAATGGATAATGAAACATAAGCATAAGCAGAGCACTATAAGTCTACAACGGAGCTAAGAACAAGAAAGCACAGATATTTCGCAATATTACCCATGTCGGATACAAATCAATGTTGAATACTGCATGGATATATTGAATACTTTTAATTATATTTTAATTATATTTTTTAAACAATTATACTTATACAGATAGCAATACTACAATTAGACAAATGATAACATTTTATTATGTCTAGTGTCCACAGTATGTTAACTTTTAAAATACCAAATTCTCTTTTGATTTAAGATTTGTCTATGTTAATGTTAAACTGATTTTATATGCTATACGATAGCCGTGTTCATTGCATCCACTAATTTAGAAAATAGATTTAACTCCTCTAACTCAAGGGTCGCACTTTAAAGGGTAAATATCTCACTTAAAAATCAATAATCGAAATAATAACACTTGAAACTATAACAAAATACATGTGTATGTTTGTATATAAAACGAGTAAACCTTCATTAGTGCAAGTGTTAGTCACCACAGTCTCAAACTTAATTTAATTCAGTTCCTGCCTTGGCAGAACGCCGTTTACTTAAATCCTTTTTAATTCAAAACGACAATGAAAAATGAAGCATGAAAAAAACTAAAACAAATATTTATTATTTCAAAACCAATAATTAAAATGAAAATTCTGCAATGTGAAGCAATAATCAACACTTACAATTCCAACAATTAAAATAAGAGTTCACTCTATACAACAAACTACAGAATCATCAAACTTCCAACCATAAATCTTTCAATTAACAATTACAACTCCGTCCTGTATGCATCCCTACAACCATAGCAATAAAACTAAAGACGAACATTAGCAATTACTCGGAATCAAAATATGCGTTTGGGGAAACCCTAGGTTTAAAGAGAAACTCACATGCTAATTGGAGGAAGAGGCTTGATCGAGAAGCTTCTTATCCCTTCGTTCCATTGCCACATCCCACATATCGTTGCCGATATGCTTAGGCTGAAACAAATTTCAAATCACCATCATTATCATTATTACGACAATACAGATCTGATTTAATTTGAGAAAACTAAAATGAAATTGAACAATGACACACTCTGCCATGAGCGGCTTTGTGAATGAAATACTGAGCGTTTCCCATAACACAGATCATCCCTGCAATGATTCCCAGTGGCAACACCGCTTCCATCCATCTCAAATTCATCTTCTTCACTCTCTTCGTCCTTTGCATTTGCCTTTTTCTACTTTTTTACATTCATGGGCCTGCTCCATCAATCCAAGCCCAGCTTTTGTTTTTTTAATGGGCCTATCATTCTTTTTTTACTTTCGAACTCGTGTTTCAACTTGCACCAGAGAACACAAATTGTTGACACTGAACAAAATTGCATTTGTCCTTTTATTCATGGGGAAAATATCAAGCTGTTTTCTGGTTTGTCTTTTTTTATTATTATTTAATGTTTTTTAATTGATGATTGCAAAAATATTAATGAAAAGAAAAAGGTTATAGAATGACGATTTAAGCCTGTTCTTTTAGTGTGATGAAAAATTATGTCAGATTTGGTGGTGTTTGTTTTTCTCTTTTTTGCTTTTAATATGTACTTTTTCAAAGATTATAAAAATATTATAATATTTTCACTTTTTTAATAATAAAATGAACAAAGTCTTAGGTGGGTTTGGGTTTGGATTTGTATTTTTTTTCATTATTGGTTTTATTAATGATCACAAAAATGTCACATTTTTTAGGTTTTGGTATTTTGTAAAAAAATAAACTATTAATATTTTTATACCATTGTTTTCTTAAAAAATGAAAAAACAATAATATAAATAAAAAAAACAATATATGTTGAATTATTAATGAAAATATATGAGGCATAACTAAAAAGTTAAACAGTTACTTGTTTGTTTGTTTTTTGTAAAATATTACAAAACAAAAGTAAATCATACTTTTCAAATTATGAATAAAATAAAATCTGTTTAACTATTAAATCTTTTACCTGTTTAATGATCGTTTTCTACATATAATGTAAAAAATATAACAATAAAATAAGATTTGTTTAATTATTAATGAATGGATAATAACTAAAAAAATAAAATTGATAAAGAAACCAAACACCTTGTAGTAAATACAACAAATATTGACACGTTGATATTTTAATTTTTTTTAATCTTACTATAATATTTTTAAATTTATACAATAACACAACACTGTATATCTCTCTCGATAATATAAATTATTTTAAATTACTTAATTAATATAAAAATTTATTAAATCTTAGAAGTAGTGATGGCACTGGTGACCACAACCCCTTTCTATCTGGAAGACTTTGACCTGTCCGACTTTGTGTAGACATTTTTTTTATTGTGTCATCCTATTATTTTGGAAACAAAGTCTATTCGTTAGTTGGGATCATAGTTTCTCACTCTTCACTCTCTTCTCCCTTTTTACTCCACCCCAATCCATCTTTCTCATTTACCTTCACAATATGAATTACATTTCGATTATATTTATTTCTTCAACATAGCCATGGCTACCTACCTAATAGGATTTAAGGTTATTCCTTTTTTACCATTATTTGCTGCCAAAAAGCATAAAAATAATCATCTCTCTTTACTTTAAAAATAATTCAAACAAGGAAAACATATATTTTCATAAAGAAAGACTGAAATGCACACATGACCTGTAAGAGAAGAGAAAGAATCAAAGAGAATGAGAAATAGCAAAATAAAACACTCTATTTTTCTATTTTATTGCATAAAAACATAGGATTCTTCTCATACGGCCAGTTGAGTCAGAGGCAGTGAAGCATTCAGTTAAAATAATGGCCCACTCTACATTGTCTTCTTGTGTTTGTGGACACTTACATCGTTTACAAGACCACCCCTTTTCCCCACCCTCTCCCTACCATCTTTTGTTTTATCTTTAATATTATAAACTCATTAAACTTGCCTCACTTTTTGCTCCCCATTAACCTTAATTAGGTAATTAGTAATTGCATTATTTCTAAGAAAAATGAATTATTTACAAGTGGGCATGGGAAAGAAACATTAATTGAAAGGTTGTTTAAGTCATTGCATTATCTGTGCTTCAAACTTACAGGTCCATAGATAACTTAATGTTTTTTTTCTCATATATATATATATATATATATATATTTAATGCTAGGTGTGTAGATTAAGTTTATCCTTATCACATACGACATCTAGAGAAATTAATGCAAAATTTTCAAAAGAATGAGAAAAGGTAGGTAAATAGGATCAGGATTGGTATCGATTGGGAGGATATACTCAAACAAAAGTAATAGGAAGCATTCATACCTCCTAATAATTTATGTTGAATTATTACATGAAGCTCCTCGTAGAAGGGAGTCAAAAGTTTGTTAACAACCTTTGCTAGACTTAAATAATATTTAAAATAAAAAATAAAAATAAAAGGAAAATTTAGACTGTTATTAAAAAAACTATATGTTTAAACAAAAAGAAAAACAAATATATATAATATGTTACTTTTATTTATTTGTTTTTTGTTTTTATTTGGATATGATAGTTAAAGACAATATTAATTATTCTTCTTCTACTTGTGCTATTTTATTTATTTAAGATATGTACATTGTTTAATATGTGTAATTACCATCTATTTTTATTCTTAATCTAATTTGGTTCTTAATAAAATCATTAAATATTTTTTAAAATAAAAAATATGAGATATTTTAATTCTTTTATTTATTAACTATAATGGATAAAGTATTTCATTTGTATTCTTTTAAAATAAAAGTGCATCTTGTATTTTGTAAGGAATGATTTAAATATAGACCTACAAAAGAGAAAGAAAAGGACAGAATGCAAAGATTGGCAATGGATACTAAAAATTTAAAAATGAATGGTTTAGAGTGAATAGAGACAAAGTATTCCACCATGTTCAAGAGTGAAGAAAGAGTATGGAGCAAAGAAAGAGTGTATCTAATAACCCCAAACAGGGTCGTAGGTGGGTGCAAATGCATTATGCAATGCAAAGTCAAATTTATAACCGTTGCTCTATTATGAGGAATTAGAAACCTTGTTATACACATGACCTTAATAATCATCTTATGGTAGCAGAAAATTGAAAAGAAACAAAAAATAAATTCACAGTATAAGAAGAAGGGTGGTAATCAAAATTGAAGGAAGGGAACAGAATCTGACCGCAATTCAATGATAGCATAATTCAACTAAAGAACAAGAATTTTAAAACATTATTAAAAAAAAGACTACTGAAATGTTAATATTAATAATTTGGGAGAAAAAAAAAAGGATTGACGTTGGACAGGAGCAGTTGAGGTGGAGATTCAAAACGACGTAGTTGTATGGAATTTGTGATTGGTGATTGGTGATTGGTGATTGGTGATTGGTGAGGTAGCTTAGCTTTGTAAGAGAGTATACAGTGTTACAGTCCAGCTAAGACTTCGTTGGCAAACATCATTATCGTTGGCCATTGATTCATTCACATTTTCCGTTCTCATTGGTATCTCTCTCTCTCTCTTCATCTCCTCTTCTCTTCTCTTAAACTCTAATAAGCCATTAGATTGATTAGATTATAACCTTTGATCCTCTGCATGCCTAACACGCGTCTCCACCACCTCTTCTTCTTGTTCTTTTGTTGTACCCTATACCCTTTACATTGTAGCATCCAAATCAAACCTATGTTATCTTAACCACTTCACTCCACTTCCTCGGACACTGTAAAAAAAGGCCTAGATCATGCTCACCGATTTTGTTTTTAAATATTAGTTAAAAAAATCAATGATAAATTTTTTTATTAAGGGTATGTTAAAAATTATAAAATTGTAAAATTTAGTTTGGATTTATGAGTATTTTTTTTTACTGGCACCAACAAAATCTAGTGTCCTTTTTTTTTTACTGCCTAAACTTTAGCTGTACACTGTTGTTTCCTTACAAAGATCCACTTCCATTTCAGTCCACTGTCTTCTACTTTTCTTATTTTTATATTTTAGATTATTTGTTTTTACAAGGCAGCCTGTGGACAGGGAAAATAATATATTAAAGGAAAAAAAAAGGAGAAATATTAATAAGAGTGGAAAAGAGAGAGAAAAAAAAAAGAAAAAGGAAATAAATGAATAATTATTTGTTGCCTTCCTTTTCTGTAAAATTCAGGGAGAACTGTCCACCCTTTTTCGTTTTTCTCCTTATTACAGACCCCCCCCTTTTGTTGATGGTGCTCTGTGTGCCCTTTTTCTTCTGCAAGAACTACACCAACTAAACCTTCTTTTTCAACTTTTTTTTGGAGGCTGGTGGTTTTTTCTTCCAATCCTTAAGGAAGGCTAAGAAAAAGTGAGCCATGTCAGGCTTGTATAATCCCAACTTCTCACCTGCTAGAGCTGCTTCTCCTCAGATTAGGAGTACCCCAGACGTGGATAGGTGGGTTGGTGCATCTTTGTTCTTCTTTGTGCGTGTTCTTTTTGAGATCAAAAATTGAAGGAAAATTAAAAATACAATCTTGGACTCTTGTTGAAACACCCTCAAGATTTAGCTTTGATTTTTTGATTTGGGTTGGTTAAATTTGTGAACTTTTGATTCATAAAAGAAAAGGGTTGTTGTTGTTTTTGCAGTCAGTACCTATCAGAGTTGCTGGCAGAGCATCAGAAGCTTGGACCCTTCATGCAAGTTCTTCCCATATGTAGCCGCCTCTTAAATCAAGGTCTCTTCCTGTTTGTGGATCTATCCCTTTTTTGTTTTTGCAAACTTTGATGTCTATTGCAGCATGCTTGATGTGTGTGTGTGTCAGATCGTGTCACAGAGCTTTTATCTGAGTTAACACCTTTCTTCTGTGTTGGACAATGGCCAGCAGCAACTATGTTGCTGATCGTGCATTGATTCATTCTTCTCCCTGCTATCTATCATTGCGCTGCCACCATACGCTTTTCACTTCGCTTGATAATGAAGTTTTTTGATGTGGCAGAATGCAAATTAAGTTGAAAAATATATCCCATATTTGATGTTGTCTGAACATTGGTTGAATATACCTTCATAATGTTAACCTTATGTTGGTGAGATATGAACTTTTTGTGATTTTCATGGTCCTGAATGATTTTGATAGTGAGACGAGTTTGATCAGATATTGTGCATTCTCTTCTTTTTGAGGATTAAGAGGAATTCCTGCCCTTGAAAAGCTTGAACTCTTGAAAGTTTTTGCAGAGTAAAGAATTGAAAATGTCTGATTTGAAGTGTTTGGCATGCCTATTTATATTTGGAGCTGGCAATGCATCCCTTCCAAGTGCTGACTCAATAGTTTTGATTAGGCATTGTCGCGTGGAAGAGGAGACCTTTGTTTTTAATTGAAACACAGTGCCATTAACATTGGGACTGTTGACTGCAGTAGACCTTCTTCAATCTGAAATTCAGGGCTTGTCTGTTCACACTTTTTTATCAATGATCAAATAGACAGTCTCCTGCAAGATTGTTAAAAGGCCAGGCCTTCTAAATGTTGTGGTGTCTGACAATACAGGACGTTTGTCTGATATTGTTCATTATCAAATGATGTCGACATGTGAATGATATATTTTCTGAGATAATTCATTGCTGAATATTTATTGATTATTTCCATCTTTTTTTTAAAAAATTCAATTACTTCTGTATTCATTTCTTTTGATTTTCAATAGTATGCATCAGTTTCTCAATTCAATGTTTCTCTATATGCAGAAATATTAAGAGTTTCTGGAATGTTGTCCAACCAAGGTTTTGGTGACTTTGATAGACTGCGGCATAGAAGCCCTAGTCCAATGGCTTCTTCAAACCTCATCTCCAATGTCAGTGGAACAGGGTTGGGTGGATGGAATAGCCTTCAACAGGAGGTGACTGCTTTTAAATTTTTAATTGTTGCATCTGAGTTTTATATCCTCAAATTTTCATTATATTATTTGAATATATCATGTGTACATTTTGATGTGCATTCCGCTACAATATAGTAGCTGTTATAAATGCCTACAATGCCTGTGTAGTCTAATTGCTAACATTAGACATTTTTAAAAAAATTCAGCAACTATCCTAGTGGTCTGGATCGTGATGTAAAAACTACGAAGTATTCAACATTTTTAAAAAACTTCATCAACTATCCTAGTGGTCTGGATTGTGATGTAAAAACTACAAAGTATCCAACGTGTGACGTCTTTTATTGTTCCTTGTTTTCAGTGTCAACAACAGCCTTATTCCCTCTAAAGTGGGCATGGGCATGGCTACCAATCATTTGCTTGATTAGAGTGTGTGTGTAAATATGTGAATATGATTTTGATTAAAAAATGTATATTGTTAGGAGAAAAGTGCTAAAGTAGAGATAAGGTATCATCCTAAACAAGACCCAAAAAAAGATGAAAGAATCATTTCATTTAAGTAAAGCTCTCTCTTGGCATATCCACCAAAGGTGCACTTCTTTAAAGTATCCTTTAGCTGGGCACTACAAAAAATGTTAAGTAAACCTCTTTATCCCATTAAAGATGCTAGTGAAGTAACTGTCATGAAAATATCGGCATTCCTCTCGAGCCATAGGCCACAAATAGCAGCAAGCATTTCACATTGCCAGGGGCACTTGCACTCCTGAAATCACCCATGCCTCTAAAAATCAGAAAATAGCAAATGCTCCAAACTCCAGGACAAACCCAATTTTTACACCAGAAATATTATTCAGCTGTACCTACAGAAATAACACTTTGTTTGTTTCTATGAAAATATCAGCATCCCTCTCCAGCCATAGGCAACAAATAGCAGCAAGCATTCCACATTGCCAAGGGCCCTTCCACTCCTGAAATCACCCAGGCCTCTAAAATCAGAAAATAGCAAATGCACCAAACTCCAGGACAAACCCAACATTTACACCACAAATATTATTCAGCTGTACCCTACAGAAATAACACTTTGTTTGTTTGCATGAATTTAGTCAGGAAAGATTGATATATGTAAGAAAGTAAACTTTTCCATGGTTTGGTAACTTTGTCCAGTAGTGAAAGTAACAAAAATAATCTTGTTGGACCCACTGTAATTTTCTTACGATAGAAAGAAGCTGCCAAAATTTTCATATATATTTTTTTAATTTATTTAAATATTAACTAATATTTCTATAACAAAAAAATAGAAAAAATTAATAAGTTTAACTTAATAAGAAAAATATGTTTAATATATTTTATTTATTCCTTTTTATTCTCATTTTTATTCAAAAAGTGAAAAAGATTTTTTTCACTTCTATTTGTCCTATTTCTACTCATCCAAACAACATATCTTTTTCACTATTTCTATTCCATTTCTGACCCATATTCTTTTCTCCTATATTTTTTTATTTATCTTTACTGATTCTGATTGTCTCATAGTGAGAGTATAACATGGACTTTAGAAGATATAGGACTTTTGAGGCTTGTTGGCCTGCAACAAATCATTCATATTACTCCTAACCTATTATGTCAGTAGTCTGAATAAAGGATTCACCTTCAAAATTTACCTAGATTTCCAAAAGCTATAGCAGGAAAAAGCTTTCTCTGTTTACAAAGATTGGTTGAGGAATTGGGAGTAAGATTTATAAGTGTACTCAAGAGGTTCCTAAAGAACAAATCCTTCTATATCTGACAAAGAAGTTTGACAAGTAGGGCCAAACAAACAAATAAGTGCTTTATTCTCCACATTTACTCTATCATCAAGGTTTTGGGCCTCAATTTAATCCTAGTCAAAGATCTGTCTTATATGTTGGCTTTAGCTTTATGTTCAACTTTTCATGTGTCAATAATTTACAGTAGTCATAGACTCATATCACTCAAATCTATGCCCACTCTGTTTGCCTCCCTTGTCCCTTTCAAACTTTGAAATGAGTGAGGCAAACTTTTAAAATTTCCTAATATGTTCGTTCCCTGGATTGAAAATGCTAGTTGCATATTGACTTTTGTTTTCATAATGGAAGGTTTTATCTTTTATTCTTGTTGTTTACAATGCTTATTTTAACTTATATTAACATTATTTTCTTGGCAAAAACTAGAGAATATGTGGACCCCCTGGAATGACAATGGACTGGCAAGGTGCACCTGCTAGTCCTAGTTCGTTCACTGTTAAGAGAATCTTGCGCTTGGAAATTCCAGTTGATACATACCCCAATGTAAGCTTTCATGCAAAATGCCAGTTATACAAAGTTGATTACTTTATCAGACACTTGTTTTCTTTTCTGGAACTGAAAGTGAAAGCTATATCAACTATAAATAATAAAAAATTGCTCCTTGTTGCATTAGTTCAATTTTGTTGGAAGACTTCTGGGACCTAGAGGCAATTCTTTGAAACGGGTAGAAGCTTCTACTGGTTGCCGTGTGTATATCAGGGGAAAAGGATCAATAAAGGATCCAGACAAGGTAATGAAGAAAAACATAATTTTCCAGTCGTGCTGTTTATGAGTGATATCATATGTATACTCAAGTGTACTTCTATCAACTGATGTTGTTTTTAACTTTTCAATCTTAAGGAAGAGAAATTACGAGGAAGACCAGGCTATGAGCATCTCAATGAACCGCTTCACATTTTGATTGAAGCTGATTTACCAGCTAATGTTGTTGACCTAAGGCTCAGGCAGGCTCAGGAAATTATTGAAGAACTGCTCAAGCCTGTGGTATGTTCATTCCCCCTTTATCTTTCTTTGTTATGTAGGTTGAACTAGCCTGCTGTTTAGCTTCTGTGCATATATTACCATTTACTTGTTTGAAGTGTTGAAGAGCAGTTTACATGCTGCGTTTTAGTAAAGTACGTGGGTAGATAATACTTGATCTATGATGATCTATGAGCCCATTATATTAACATGATTAGGGGGGATATTCTTCGTAGACCTGTAGTGTTAGTGAAGAGACATTTATCATTTTTGCATTATTACATAACTATATAGAGGGGGGATATTCTTCGTAGACCTGTAGTGTTAGTGAAGAGACATTTATCATTTTTGCATTTTTACATAACTATATAGTAGATGATTATTACAGTTTAAAAAAAGATACTGTGATTTTAACAAAAAGAGTTGGCCACGTATCTTTCTCTTTCTGCCCATCTTAGAGTATATTCTTTTCCCTATAAACATGTCAAAAAGAGTTGAACAAAGTAGCAGTAGCATATAAGAGAGGAGGAATTGATCGACAAATTTCCCTAGATATGTATTGAGGCGTACTGGTATGGTATCAGATATGCATGACATCTGTACTTTCCAATTTTGGAGTATTTGGCCTTCATAGCAATTGATCGACAATTTTCCACCTGGATTTTATTTTCTTAAGTGTGCCTTGCATGTTGAAAGAGTCATATCCATGTTGATTGATTTATTAGAATTCTGTTTGAAATTTGACCGTCCACATTCTGCCTTTCCCTGTTTTTTAAAGTATTCTGTTGAAATTACACATGAAAATGAAGAAAAGGGAAATTTTCCATAGGCTGACAAATGTGCTGATTCATCTCAATGGTTAATTTTTCATTGTCTTAGATGTCAACGTTTGATATGCAGGATGAGTCACAGGACTACATAAAGAGACAGCAATTGCGTGAATTGGCTATGCTGAATTCAAATTTCAGAGAAGAGAGTCCCGGGCCAAGTGGCAGTGTGTCGCCATTCAACTCTAGTGGAATGAAACGTGCAAAAACGGGTCGCTGAAAGTTGGTCCTTGATGGTGTAGATTGGTATTGTGGTCCTCCAGCTATTGATTGCTGAGAATATCTTCCAGTACATGTCTCATTCAATGCAAGCTATAAAAGCATAGGCTAACAATTCTTGCTGGTTAGCACTCTGGTGGTTTTTCCTTCCCGTTTGTCCCTACCTTTTTCTTCTTGAACAGAAAGGAGACACAGCTGGAATGAAGAACTTTTAAAAGAGAAAAATTTATATAGTTGGGGTATTGAGAATAGGTTTTTTCAAACCAACCCTTTTTCTTGCAAACTTAATACATTCATTGGATTTATTCTTGCGTCAGTTACTTTTGATAAGTGTGGAATATATACATGTGATGGTGATGGTCAAGTTTTAGGTCTAAGTCGATGAAGTGTTGTTGGCTTGTGACATTGTCAAAGTCTCTTGGTATTTTAATATTTATATAAGTTAGCATAGGCTGGATTCTTTTTAGTTGTTTTTTGTCACAAGCATTTCTATTCTCTTCAGTATGCACTGTAGTGGGAATGATGCATGTCAGCAGATAAACATCTTACCATGTACCATTTGTTTGTATAGAATGGTACATATAAATCTTTTGCAAATTTTCTTGTACCTTATCTTTTTGGTTTGTTAAAACACCATCTATACGTCATCCGGTGGAATAAGAAGACTTCTGTTGTTATTGTACAATGTTAGTCACATTTAATAGAAATCACAGGCTCACATCACAATAGAGCCTGAGAATGGATACTTGATTGGCCTACTGAGAAATGTGGCTTTTGCACATCCTTTGAAGCTGAAGTGTGGGATATTTTGAAGGGTCTGAAACTTGCTTGGAGCATTAATATCTGCCAAGTTAAGATGTTTAACGTAAATTCTGATGTTAATCATATATGGTCGGTGAAGTGTATTAAGTTAGCCCCAGAGCTAATGAGGTACGTAATGCTGATTATACATACTTGCATGTAACCCGTTTCTTGTGTTTATATTTGGCTCTTGCACTGTTTTCATCAAGCCACAAGCAAGACAATTTTATCCATAAAACAAACAAAATTCAATAAAAAAGATTTTAATTATATTAACATTTAAAATGCCACCCTTCATACAAGTTTAATTTAATATATAGGATGCAATATATATGCTGTAATATATACCACAGTATGAATTGAGATGATTTCAAATGCAGACTCAAATCTCAGTACTTTATTAATAAATTAATTGTGTAATCTTAAGAGTTTGGTAGGTCACTATATGACTTCGATGACTTTAATAGCATACCAAAGAGTGGAATGGCAATAAAAAAGCATGAGGAATGCTTGCAAAATTTTCACATTCTTTTTTCTAATGCATTTTTTCAATTGGATGGAACTTAGTGTCTAGTTAAACAATATATAGGACTTATATTATTTAATAGGCCTCACTTCAAGTTCAATCTAATGATAAAAATTGGACCGGCTGATTTGATTTGTTGAACTGAGAACTGGCAATTTGTCTGGTTTGTTTAATTGGAAAAATTGGCTGATTTCGAAACCATTGAAAATTGACCAAATATTGGTCAAATCGTTTTAAAATTAGTAAAAAAATTGGTGATAAATATCGGTTTGACTGGATTTTTTTATTTTTCAAGATTATTTTATGATTTTTTAATTTTTAATTAAAAACAAAATTCAATAACAAATTATAAAGACTCATATGCGCAAATTTTAAACATTTATCTTTTTTATTATTAACTTTTTCTTGCACAAAACATATAATATGATCATTTTATATTAATTTAATTTATTTTATCTAATTTTCTAAATAAATTATGTTAACTTATTATTTAATATAAAATGTATATTTAATTACACCTGTTTGACGATAATTCAATCATAATTAAATCATTAAACCTTGAATCAGTACTTTCACCATATTAATAACTGATCTGATTTTTAAAATATTGATAAATTGTTTTAGAGTTCGTTTCTATCAATTTTTAAAAAGTGCATTAATTTATAGTAGGAATCAAAATTAAGACTTTTTTTTCCCCTTTATTCTTGTTAGACTCTGCTAGTGCCTAGTGGAAGGGAGGACCAAGCATTAAAAATGTGCATAAGATTCCATCTCAATGATAAAAAAAATTAAATTAAATTAAGTTTTATTATTTAAATTATTTAACATAAAAAGAAATGAAGTTGAAGTTAATGAAATATAATTTATTTCATTTAATTAAATATCTTGTTTCTTATTAACAAAAATAAAAAATAAAAATATCTTGTTTCTTTTTTTCATTTTGATATATAAAACAAACATTTCGTTTCACTGTAAAAACATCAAAGAATAAAATGATGGCTTTGTTTAATTTCGTTAAATTTGAGTTTATTATTCTTGTTCATTCACTATTAAATATCCAAATCTAAACTAGAAGATTAGTTGGAGAACAAGAAAGGAATGTTTCATCCTTTTTATTTTAAGAGATTCAATATTTTGCAGAGAAAAATAATATTGAATTTTTATATTTATTAAAAAAAAATATAAAATATATATATATGAGACAGGATTATCTTATATTGGTATAAGTCTAAAAATTCTTACACTAAATCTAAACTTTTCATTTAACTTACATCTAACGAATTATAATTTATTACTTTACTTGTCATTAGATATAAGTTAAATGAAATGTTTAGATTGCATGTAGAAGTTTTTAGAATTACACTGGTATAATATATATAACTTTTTATTTATCCCAATCTGATTTCGATCGTTGATTAAGCAAGATGGGTTATAGAGTTTTAAATTCCAACCCCACCATGACAAAATGAGATATGGATCAACTAGATAAATTGATCTCATAATTTTGTATTGTCATTTTAAACAAATATATAAGATTTATTTCCTCTTTACTGTATAATTTTGTATTGATATATATGATTGTCATTTTAAACACACAAGCTGTATAATTTTTAATCTTTACTGCCAACAATAAGTTTCAGCCGCCATTTCTTAACAGACAGACAACTATTAAAACTATTGTGTTGTGAATTATAAACACCAAAATTTAAACAAAATGAAACTGTATAAATTTTATATAAAGAAATAAAATTATAAAAATTAAAATCAAAATAAACTATAAACAAGTGTATAAACGTAATTTTTAAAACAATTAGAAGGATGTTATCTATATTAGAGGTGTTTATAATAAGATTATTCAACCTAATTTGCATTAATTTGGTTCAAGCTTTAAACTTTATTTGGTGAAGATTAAAAAAATTATTTTTTATTTGGGCTACAAAATCGACATTCAAAAACATAACTAATCCTAAATTAATCAAATAAAGTTTTGATAGATTGAACCAAAATCTTAAATATATTCAACCTAAAATTTAAAATTTAAGTTATATATTAGTGAGCTTAATTGGCTTAATTCAACTAGCCAGCTTACTTGGTTAGCTTCGCTTGTTAAATTTACAATATATAAAACTAATTTGAGTGAATTTTTAGAGAAAATTTTATAGAAGAAAAAAATTGATATAAAAATAAATAAAAATTATTTCATAAATTTTAGAGAAGTTAAATGAGAGAACTTATAAAAAAAATGAAAAAATAAGTTATAAACTTATAAAAAAAATTATTTAATTTTTATATTAATTTTTTTATAAATTTTTTTCTAAAAATTAACATTTACATTTATTTTACTTATCTTGTAATGAGCTAATTTTAATTAATGATATAATTCAGAATTTACTTACATATTTATATTTTTACATATAATCCAACTATTAATTAACAATGAAATAATAATGATTTAGATTTTTTTAAAATATTATTTTTATTGTATTTTTTTATAAAATTTTGTATTTTTAAAACTTATACAGATTGTGTGTTTTTGTCAATAACGAAAGATTAAAATAATATAATATTTTTAGTTAAGTCTGAAGACTATAAAATAAAAAATATTCGTAAAGAGTAAAATAAAAATTGACATACGTTTAAGGTGAAAAATTCATATTTAAATCAATAGTAAATGTAATAAGCATGCTGTTAGAGGAATGTTTAGTATATGAAACCTTCTTAATTTGGAGGAATTGTGTTTCTTGAAAATCATATTTTTTAAGAAAGTTTTAAAAATATTATTAACATAATTTTAATAAATTTATGATTATTGATTAAAATTTATTAAAAAGCACATAAATTATGTGATTTTTACATTTATTTTAATGATTTTTTAATACTTTGTAGATTTTAATAAAATTGAATCAATAATTAAGAATGTATTAGAGGATATTTTTTAAGCACTCCTCATTATAAAAATACGTTTAATATGTGTTAAATATTTTCAACAATGTTATATAATATTTTTAAAAAGTTGTTTTAATATTGTGTTTGGTTTAAATATTATTTTGTTTTTTAAAAATATCTCTTAATTATAGGATAGTTGATCATTATTTTCTTTTAACATTAAATAAATGTATACTTATTTAAAAATTTTAAAAAGGTAATTTATAATTTGAAGAGTGTCCATGTGTGAGAAAAAAAATTATAATAAAATTTAACTTCATCAATTATGCATGTGCATCAGTGCGCACATGCATGAAAATTTCGTATTGCTACTATTCGTTTAAGAATTTTTATTTAAATATTATCATTCTAATTTTATTTAACCAATAAAAAGGTCTTTTTTATATAAAATTATTCAAAGAAAAGTCACAAGAGTTTTTTAGAATGATAATAAATTCACCTATAATAATGCTACTAAGTGATATTATTACTTAAGTTGATGAATATAGGTGATAAATGTTATAATATTGATAGAATAATTTTTTAAATAACCTTCAATTATATAGTAAACTAATAATAATATTTTTGAGTAGGGGATGACAAGATAGATAGATAATTCAGATAAAACATGTTTACATTAAAAACGTTGAGGGATATAATCATACTTTTTTTTTTCTATTATAGAACGTTAAATTCACATTTGTGTCTTCTTTTAAAACAAATCATTTTCTTAAAAATTAAATAAATTTCGTCACCTTATCAATTTTATTAAAAAATATTTAAAATATTTTTTATATTCATATAGTTAGGGATTTGTAATGAATTGAGCATACAAAAATAATGTAAAATATTTATCATTCATAAAATTTAGTAAAAATTTGATAGGATGTGATATAAGAATGTGAAGAGGGGGAATATTTAATATATTTTTTATTTTGTGTAAAATTTGATAGTTTAATTGATGGTTTTTTTTCTAGGGATTTAAAACTATTTAATTAATTGAATTTATAACAAATTAAATAAATATTAAAAATTTTAAGTAAAAAAGACAAAATAAAAACATAATTATAACATTGAATAGAAGTTGAGAAACTAAATTTTGTCTAAAATTTATTTGGAGATCAAAATCACTTATTAACTATAATAGTAAAATAAAATGTGTTATTAATCTTGTTTTTGTTACTTCATATCTAGGAATGTTAATTAAGGGTAGTGGGCACAACAAGAGATGTCAAAAAGGCTTTAACTCCGAAGCCAATCTTACCCAATTCTAAAGTAACCCATCAAACTTATTTTTATTAAAAAAAAAGTAGTTAAGCTACGAATTGTTTAGCCCACAACATGAGTTATGGTGGGAATTTCCATGAACTAATCTTAACCTTCAAAAAACACTAAATCACTTTACTTCAAAATCATACACGAATTTTGCCATAACCACCACTTACATAAGTTGATAAGATATTTACTATAACTTGTGACTTCAACTCTATACCTACAATCACTTCTATTTATTTTGTATTTTCATTTATGAGATACTTTTCAAATATGATATTTTTTTTGGGTACATTTAATATATATAAAATATTATGTCATTATTTAAATAATTTTATACCAAAATTTGATATTCCATTCTTTCAAATTTAAAAATATTCAATACAATCCTATTTTATCACCTTTTACTTTTATCTTATAAGGAGTTACACTCCTTAATACATAATTTTTTACACTTTCTATATTTTCATTGTTATTTGTAAATAATAACAATTAATATTTTTTATTATAATTATAAAAATAAAGGCTCATATATCAAATATATTAATTATTAATTTTTATACCTTCATTTACTATAAAGTTTATAAAATAAACATATTTATTTATTTAACATATAAATTGTGAATTTAACTATTCAATAATATGTATTTAAATAATATAAAAATTATAACAATAATTTTTTTATTCAATTTAACAAAATCAGTTGTTTATTTCTTATAAATAAAATTAAATATAGCAAAAAATATAATAAAATTTATTAAAATAAAAATAAATTTATATATTTTATTTTTTAATTAAATTTAATTAGTCAATTTCTCTGAAGAACACTGATATTCAGCTTCATTTTCTTACCTGTCCACTAATAAAAACACAAGTGCTTAGTGCATTAATTTCCTATGGATCCATAACACCCGATAAAATTGCATTTCCTCTAAAACAGCCTGTAGCCTAGGTTTCCTCACAACATATTAAAATTAAAAAGGTTTTTATATTCTCTCTAAAGGTTTAAGCTTTCAGTGTTTCAAGCAGCCATCACTTCCTCTCTCACCAACCCACCATCCAGATCCAGGTAACCCCTTCTTCCATCTTCCTCACTGTTTGAAAAATCTCATCTTTGTTTTAAAAATTGTTATTATTTTTTTATGTCTCTTTTCATGGTTATCAATCAACAATGATCTATTTGGTGTGATCATGAATATTGATGTGAGATTCATTCATTTTTATTGTAAAGTTTCTCTTTTTGATGTTTCCTATGTTACAGATCAAATGGCATCCATGGCTCTGCTGCGTTTATCTCCACTATCAGGTCAACACCATGCACTTTCTTTCCCATCATCATCACCACCATCTATGCTTCAGAATCGTTCTCTTTGTCTCACCAACCCAACCCATTTGCCTAAAAGATTGCAACTTTTCGCCGGAGGCGACGGTGGAGATGGGGTTGGAAGGGGCGGCGGCGGCGGAGGTGGAGGTGGAGGTGGAAGTTGGGGTGATGATGGAAAATCCAAAGATTCATCTTTTGGGATTTTGGGTCTCTTTCTGAATGGATGGAGATCAAGGGTTGCTGCTGATCCACAGTTTCCTTTCAAGGTATTGATGGAGGAGTTGGTGGGTGTTAGTGCTTGTGTTTTAGGTGACATGGCCTCAAGGCCTAATTTTGGGTTGAATGAACTTGACTTTGTTTTTTCAACTTTGGTTGTTGGGGCTATTGTCAATTTCACCCTCATGTATCTCTTGGCACCTACCATGGCATCATCATCATCGACCTTACCATCTATATTTGCTTCATGTCCCCAAAGTCACATGTTTGAGTCTGGTGCTTATTCCCTTTTGGAAAGGATTGGGACCTTGGTGTACAAAGGGGCCATTTTTTCTGTTGTTGGTTTCGGTGCTGGCCTAGTTGGAACCACAATTTCAAATGGTTTGATCAAGATGAGGAAGAAAATGGATCCAAACTTTGAGACCCCCAACAAGCCTCCACCTACCCTTTTGAATTCTCTAACTTGGGCTGGACACATGGGTGTTAGCAGCAATTTGAGGTACCAAACTCTGAATGGTATTGAGTTCATGTTGGAGAGGAGCCTTAACCCTTTGGCATTCAAGTCCTCAGTGTTGGTGTTGAGATGTGTGAACAATGTTCTTGGTGGAATGTCCTTTGTGATGTTGGCAAGGTTAACTGGGGCACAAAGTGTTGGAGAACAGAAGGAGAAAGAGGTTGGTTTGATTGCTGAAAAGGAGAAGGCGGACACAGAAGGGGAAGAGGGGTTTAATAATCAGTCAACAACACCATCAAAGTGATTGCATCACACAATTTGGCTTGTTTTCAGAGAGGTTTGTCTTTTACTTTGATCATCAAGGTTGGTGGAGTGGGAGGGTTGAGGTCTTTGGTTTTATGAATTTTGTGTCATATAAACTTTGGCAGCACCAAATAAGAAAGAAGGTGTAGATTGAGACCTTGTTTCTGGCATTTGCTGCTTGTTATGTCGCTGAAACCTGCTACCTGAAACAACAATAACATGCCAAATTAATGTGGCCATGTATTGGACCCCCCCTCCTTCAGAAACGAGAGTATTTTAGTCATGTAGATGTTTTTATTTTTGTTCTTTTTCTCAATTAGCAGGCTTTTGTTGTCCTTTTCTAGAGCCCCTATCATTGTAAAAGTCTCACTAATCTAGTTTGGAGTATTGGCTAAATAAAATCAGGAGCATGATAATAATGATGTTAATTTGTGTAACATTATTATTTGGAGTATTATTTTTTCCAGGATATTAATTTCTAGTGTTGTCAAATACCTCTCAAGTGATATGGCAACACTTCCAGAGTTTATATTCGTTATCTCATATACTCAAAAAAATTAATCTCAAAAGTCAGAATTTAAATTTATTGATGAAAAAAAAATCTTGAGAGTCAATATGGATCTTGATATGATATTTTTTTATTTCTAGGTTTTAATCATAAAAAAGGCTTAGCCAATTCACTTCACGGATATTTTGAAAAGAAAATAAAATTTGTGAGTTTAAAGGAAAATTTGATAAAAAATTAATTAAAAATAAAAATATGCTAAATTTTAATATTTTTAAGAATAAAATAACACATTTATCATAATAATAAAAAAAACTGCAATCAAAACTTTAAAATATTTCAATTATTAGTTAGTCATAGCATAGATAAAATGACTTAATTACAATTATGATTCTTAATTTTTTATTGTACAATTTTGGTCTTTTTAATTTAATATTTGTTTAATTTTGGCCATTCAATTCATAATTGTGCAATTTTAATCTCTCTAATTTATCATTTATTCAAATTTTATTTGCAACTTTTAATTGCACAATTTTAGTATTTATATATATTTTTATTTTACGTTTTAACTTGTCATTCAAATTTAAATAAAACGATGAACATATTATCACTTATATTGAAATGTCAATGTTAATTTTAGTGTTAATTATGTTGATGTGTATGTCTAAAGAAGAGAAATTTATGAAAGAATTTCGTTGAAAGACTATGAGCAAAATAAGGAAATAGAGAATATTTAAATATAAAATTTAGAGAGAAAATACCAACCTCATCATATATATTATCATGAAACAATGTTTTTATTCAAGTTAATCAAACCAATAGAGACATATAAGTATAATTAACATCCACTTTTGATAAAATTTGAAAGACGAGTTAATTGATGCAATTTTTTTTTTCAAAATAGAAAACTAAAATCGTGTAAATGGAAAATTAATAGGACTAAAATGGCACAATTTTAAGCTATGAAATCAAAATTGAATAAATATCAAATTTTAAAACCAAAATACGTAATAGAAAAAAATAAAGGACCAAAATTTAAAAAAATGCTTCAATGTATTAAGAGTACAAACTATCCTAAATTATTTGCACTCCTCTAAAACAATAATTAAATATTGGACGTGGGTTGATCTTTTTCATTATAGGTAAACATGCAATGAGCAGGTTAAGTTGGACTAAAATATGATATTATTTTTTACACATTCTTTTATTTCTTCTTATACACCTAAATATCTTTTACATATTTTAATTTCTAAATCATTTAAATATTTTTAAATTCCAAGTTTTGAAAAAAAAAAATCAATATTAGAAGTTGGACGTCAGAAAGTACAAGTTTTATAATTTCAAAACTCTACGATTCATAATTGACATTTTCTTTGGTAAAATCACACAAGAGTGAAGAATGACATAGATCTTAGAAATCATGAACATAAGGGTCGAATAAAACGTTACCTTGGATAGAGAATCTATTTTGAAAACCGAATACACTGAAAGACTGTGTTAGGTCAGAAAGTTTTAGAACATCGAAAACAAGCCATCAAAAGAAAAGAGAGATCGAGAAGGAAGGAAAATGAACATTGACTTTCTACAACTTCTAATTCAATGAAAAAGGGGTGTAGAATATTTTTAAAAAAAGATTGAGGTGTACAAAAAGTAAAAAATAAATGTATAAAAGCTAATTCCATTAAAATATAATTGAATTTAAATTCTGTTTAGACCCACTCAACATATTTTATTTGGTTATTTGTGTCAATTTCCATGAATCCTTTTTGATAGCTTCGAATTTAATAACACATTTCATCATATTATCTACATTATACCCTGGAGAACCCAACATTAACTCTTAAAAGTGACTTTACACATCTAACTATGTCCCAAAGAAACCGATAATATAACTCACATAAGTGACTTGACAAATTTAATAATATCAATAAGATTTTTATAAAGAAAATAAAAAGCATGGCCAAAAACATACAAAAAAGTATATCACATAATAATATTCTTAACCAATTTCAATCGAGGAGTGAAAATTTCCTTATATAATAAGATGTTCAATTCGACTCTTAAAATTAAAGAAAAAAAGTAAAAAAAATCTTAGCCCGTGAAGTATTTACTTCACTTAACTTAAAATTAATTAAAATTAAAAATAACTATCAATGGACAATAATATGCTGAATTTATTTCAATACTTCTTCTTAAAGAGTAATTTTATCTTTTTTAAAATTGCATGTTCAACAGTAAAAGTCAATAATATAATTAAAAGATTTTACGTTAGTTAGAAATAAAGTTAAAATATTTTTTTTATTAATTCTCCTATGAGTTAATTTCTGAGAGTGAGTTAGATTTAAATTTTTTAATATGACATTATAACTTATTTAGTTTGAATGTTCATTTGCTCATGAATGTTCAATCCTATTAAATCACTCATGAAAAAAAATGTTAAAATATTCTATATTATATGCAAATAGAGATTGAATATTTTTTTTATAAAGACTTGAGTAATCTTCTTATAAGTTGATTTTTGAGAATAAATTAAAATAATTTTTTAATAAAATTAATAAAATATTTATTTTTAAATAGATTTTCAAAGGAAATCTCATTGTCTTTTAATATTTAAAAGTTGCGCATGAAACAAATCTACACTACCCCACCCAACTACCCAATTCAATTGAGTCTATTCCTCAATCCTTCCATGATTTTCTCTAAGCATTCAACGTCTAGGTCGTGACATCAAGCTACTATAAGCAATTCAACATCGTTTCCGTGACATTAAACTATCTTTAAGCAAACTAGGTTTGAAGACACCATTTTTGCATAATATCACTGAAATGATGAAATCACAAAAAATTCTGTTCTTTCATTACTTTTCCATTAACCTCCAAACAAATTGTAAAAAAAAAAAAATCCGTTTTCCTTCGCCAAGTGTTCTTTTACAAATGATTGAAAAATAATAATGCATAATTTACATGGTTGGTAATGCATAATTTAATTATTCTTTTCATGTATTATCAAAACAACCAGGATAAATCTTCGCAAACAGAAAAAAAAAGAAGAGAGAAATTATACATCACAACTCACTAGATGCTGGCCTAAGAAAAAGGGCCATCAATACTGTAAAATATTGGTTCAATTTGTAAATAATCCGAGAGACAAATAACTAACAAAAAGAAAGATCACCTTGAGAGGTTTTCACATTGTTTGGAAATTTAGATCATGTGTAGAACTGTACATAAAAGTACACACAAAAATATGACACAAGGACATGATCTATATGAAATCTTCGGTCACTTGTAAATCTGCTTCCTTCTTAGCGAACTTCCACTAGACATTGCTCTTCCTAGTTTGTTTACTGAGGATCTCTTCAAATTAGACCAACCATGTCTTTGGGAATCAAATTAAAGAAATGTATTCTACTGTTACAATAACAGTAACAGTAGAGTAATGCAGGAAAAGGAGCATAGGACTCATCTGACAGCCTCTGGTGCAGAATTGCAGTAAGGTGTATGCAAGCAAACCAACCTAGTGAATGTTAAACATAAAGTAGCAAACCCTATACCCATAATGAGGCCACAAGTGCTCTTTCGCTTGTCCAAACTTATTGCTCTCTTTACTACATTTCCAAAGCTAGGGACTAATCCACCACAGGCAAGAACCATGATGTGATCAAGACCACTATAATCAATACCAGTAAGAATGGCTCCAATTGCTGATATTGGACCCATAAATCCAATTATGGCAGCTGTTGCAAGAGAACCGTGCCAGCTATCAGTGGCTCCAAATATACAGCTAGCTACAGCTGCACCTCGAGGAAGCCCGTGTAGAGATACTGGAAGGACCATGTGACGGCCAAGTCCATATGCTTTTGGTGCAGCCACTCCCAATGCAAGTCCTTCAGCCAAAGCGTGAAAAGCAACTGCACCACACGATATGAATGATTGAAGGGTGTGAACACTGAGGGGGAAACCAGTGAGTGTTGGCAAGTCATTGGTTGAGGCTTTTTTGGAAGCTGCCACCTTCAACACACCAGAGGTAGAAACATGGATGAAAGCAGCCCCCATTGCAAGGAGTAACAAAACGGGAATAAATCCCAATTTTGAAGATAAAATAAGCTGCACTGGTCGCCAGGCACCAAGAACAAAGGCAATACCACAAGCTGTGCCCATGAGGAGAGCATGCTGAAGATGAAAAGCAAGCGCAAATGCAACCAAAAGTATCCCTCCAAGTAAGGGGCCAAGGCCGAAAAGTAATGAAACGAAAAAGCCAGAGGCATCTTCAGAACTGTGACAAAGAAATCAAAATTCAGGGAAAACAAAAATGCAACAGAAGCAAGAAAAGAGTAAAATTCTGCATATCTCTATACTTAAAAATGTAGCAACAGAGAATGAATGATTAATACTATTTGACCCAAGCAACAAATCCAAACAACATAATATACTTGGGGGACAGTTGGAAGAGATTATGGACAACTTAAAGAAATACTTTATCACTTTCACAAGTTTTTTTTAACTTATTTCAATAAGCTTCTTGGTATAACTTATAAAAATAAGCTCTTTTCAGTTTATTACAATAATTTTCATAGTCAAATTAATTGCATAAGCCATCACATAAAAACAACTTATTGAATAAGTACTTAATTAATTTGTGTACTCAAGCACACCCTTATACCAACCAAGATAGAAATTTCATACAAACTTACCTGTAATCATGGGTGAAGTTCTGAAAGAAGGTGCTGAGAGCTTCCATAAATGCTACAGAAAGGGTTGCAGCTGATGCAACTTGTGAAGCTGAGGCTTCCTATATAACCCACAAGAAAGAGAAGCTAACATTATATATATCTGAAAACACAATTCCACAAAAGTAGGAGAGAAGATAATAGCATAGAAATGCAGCGCTGAAGTCCTGCAAATCCACTAAAGAAAAGAGATGATAAGAAAAAAGGTAGGAGATACTCCAACTACCCTTCTCATAAGTTCAAGTGGCCATCCTTCCCCCTCCTCCTCAAACCAAAAGATATAAAAACGCTTCCTATTAGAATAATAGGGCTATTCACATGTTAGGGAAACTATTATGTTAGACTTTTGTAATCTGAGAATAACCACATGCAATTCATGTATCTTATGTAAAATGCTTTTAGTGTTCAGGAAATAGCACCCACATATTGTTAGCCTGGTAAATTGTATCTCTGTGTGAGCATGTGTGTGGATGAAGCTGAGTATCTATTGACTCAAGTCATTCAATTCACACACACACACATATATTGCACTGGGATTGGGAAGCTGTGAGATCCAATAGGTTGTACAGGAAAATCTGTCACTAAGTTAATTGCCTTAGAAAAATCTGCAAGGCTAGGGTTTTTTTATATAGTCAAGGATAGCTTAATATCAAATCTATAATAAGCTCTAATACCATATTAAATTTGGACTTGGACTTAGGGGTGGCAAAGCAGGCCCACCTTGCCTTGTCCCTACCCAAAGGCCACTAAAAAATGAGCTAGGCCGACGCACTTTGTTTCTGAAAGTGGGTTAGAATTACTAGTTGTAACCTCTCTTCCTCTCTTTCTGAATTCAACATTATATGAAAATATCTTATCAAACATTATCCTTGTCGATTAATTTCCCTATTTCCTCATTCTCTCTCAAGACTGGCGACCATGTTTCTTATCCCATGATTTGTTTCCTATTTTGTTAGGACTATGATTAGATTAGTATAAATAAAAGTTGGTTTTTGAGGTTATAAGAACACAATCTCGTCCTACTATATCTAAAATCCCATAATTTCAACACAACATAACCCATTATCTCATATCATTTATTCTGGGTCTTTCTAGTTCCTTTTATGTCCTGCAATTTTAATATGGTATCCTAATGGTCAACAGTTTAACATTAGTCCCCCCCCTCCCCTCCCCTTTAATAATAAAATTATATTAAATTTCATCACAAGGTAAAGTGGCTTGAACAATGTTTTAGAGGGATTGTTAGATATATAAAAATTAAAACCATTCCATAAAGTAAAAAAATAAAATAAAGTAATTATCAAAAGTCAAATTTTAAGCCTTTAAAATGAACGGGAACTAACCTTGAATGCATCAGGAAGCACTTCTGCAACAACCATCCAAATCATGCATCCAGCAGCAAATCCAGTACAGAAAGGAAGAAACTTGCTGAATGCATCGGCACAAATGAATGAAGGAACAGCAACAATTGGCTGCATTAACATACAGAATAAGATGGTAAGAGGATAAGGTTAAAGATAACAATGACTGGCTTAAACAATTGTTATCCTTCCATATGTTTAATTCTCTTTTTCTGAATTCAACAAAGAAAACATACCAAGATCAAGCAATCAGAAGTGGCTTTAGTCTAGTTTTGGAGAGGCAAGATAAGATTCATAGTAACCCAAAGCCTCATTTGAAGCTCACAGGCACTGCAACTTGGCACCATGGCAAGGGATACAATATAATCACACACAAGAACATTGAGAAAAAGTGGCCTATCAAATATTTTATTGTCTAGGTAATAAAACAGATGTAAAAACTTCCTTTAGGTTGGATGACACTACCAATCAGTAAAAGCACAATTTTAAATAGTTTAGTTAAGTGTTTTTCTTATTGGTACAAAAGGATTGAATAGAAAGTAAATATAACCAATTGGATTAATCATGTGATGCATTACACCTCACTTGAATCAGACTTACACTATATTAAAACAGAATGGAACAACCAAGTCCTATCCAATCATAATCTTATTCTCGGGATAATATAAGCATTAAGTTAACAACTGGGTGAGGGGATAGTAAAGACATAGTGTGTAACTCAGAATGACAACTCATCAAAGTGACACACTGACTGAAGCCAAAATATATTTTTCTTCTTTGACAATGCAAGATAAAATCTTAAATTAAGAATTACCTGAGGTAAAGATGTAATTACACTCCATAACATAGCATTCTGTGGAGAGACACCCCTTGATGCAAGTACCATGCTCACAGCTAATCCTTCTGGTATGTTGTGTACCGCAATAGCCAAAGTTACCAACAGGCCTTGAGAGAAACCCTTTGATCCAGCAAATGAGACCCCGACACCAGATCCCTCCCCAAAAGAATGGAGGGTCATTATTCCAATAACAAGAACAACCTTGGCAGCGTCAGCACCTTTTAAATCCAACATGCTTACATCCCCATATTGCTCAAGAAACTGAAACCAAAACACGAGATTATGTAAGACTCATTGAAGATAAATTCACACAGTAAAATTTGAGATTTATACGACCCCAGGTGAACGGAAAAAGATGAGAAGCACTACACTACTTCGAATAAATGACCAATTCATCAATTTTGCAAATATTGATACTAATGACTTGTACACGTGATGTGAATAAGAAAACCGGTTGTCAATTTTTATTTTTATCATTTTAAATCATTGCGGATGTGAAGCTTATTCATTTCAACAATGTACTGTCCAAGCATAGAAACTTTGAGGAACTAGACAAGTATCAGTGCATAGAAAAGCAGTGTGGAATATAAACTGCAACACGAAGCAAGTAACTTCTATTAAGCAATATGGAGAAAAGTCGTAATAGAGATAAAGGAGGAATCGTCATCACCTTTTTACATAGCCAAATAAAGATTCCACCAGCTAGGATCCCAGTGACAACCCAATTTCCAGCACCATGCTCCTGCCCTTCCTGTATTAGATCAAAGCTAGCAGCCAACATGACACCTGCAGCCATTCCATTACATAATCCAGCCCACTGTGGATCAAGCTCAACAAAGAAGAAGGGCACGGCACCTAAACCAGTGGCAGCTGCCATTGCCAGTGTAAATAATGCAACCGTCGAAACTGAAACCTTACTGCTTCCACCCTTCCAATTACCCACCACATTATTGGCATCCTCAAACTTAAAGGATTTCTCTACACCAGTGCCATCAATTACATTGGTTCCTACATCCTTATGAGGAGCAGCGATGATCTTATGTGAAACTTGATGTTCCGATTCAGCAATTGAATTACCCAAAAAGAGAAAACTCAACAATAAAAACAAGGGAAAACATAATCTCAGCCTCAGATTTGGAGCCATGTGTAAAATATTCCACTATCTGAAGGAGCACCTTCTTTAAACCACCAGCCCCAAATCAAAATTTCCAGAAGCTACAACCCCATAAGCTTCTCTACTCTATCAGCTTATTTCAGGAAATTTACCTGTTGATTTCAAAATTCCAGAAAGAATGTAACTTCAAAATACACCCCAAATGCAAGGAGTCAGCATTTAGTATAGGGTTTGTACCTCATGGTCAACCTACCCTGCACCAGATAAAGGACAAAACAAAACAACAAGGGCATCATGAGAGAACAAGACATTAACTTCCTTCATAATAAACACTCATTCCAATTCAAATGACAGGTATATGCATATATACAATACAACCCAAAAACCCAATTAAAACCCAAAATTCACAACATATATAAGCATTGTTATCTTTCAGAAGAAAAAGAAAATATTGAAATTTGAATTGAATAGGATTGCTATAGGACATACAAGATAAGGTGATTCTTCCAAAAGGGAATCACAGAGGCAAAGAACAAAGGAAAATGGGAAGACTTTGAAAACCTTAATTCGATTATTGATTAGAAATTGAGAGGGGCACGCTGAATAGCAAAAGGAAATTTGGGGGAACCAAAACCAGCGACTTTGCGCACGCAGAAACCGTTGCTGACGTCACCGGAATGTGAAGTGTGAACCTATTTTGCATTCACACCTCACACCCTAACCTAAACTCAATCAGATCAATAATTTGGGGAAAGAGACTGTTGACGTTGTTAAAAAAATCGTGTTAATTGTTATAATTCTTCTGATTTTTATAACGTAAACTAAAACCTATCTTCCGGTTTTTGAAATAAATTTTTATATACAATTATATACTAAATTTAAAAATTAATTAATTAAAAATAACAAAAATAATTAAAGATGATAAATTTGCACTATTTTAAAATTATTCATAATATTAAATAAAAATTTAATAAATTATAATTAATTAAATAAATATATTTATTTATATAAGTAATAAATAAATATTTATTAATATAAAATTCACGATAAAAAAGATATAAAAATTAATAATAAATATATTTAAAAAATATTTTTACTTTTTATAGATTGGACTTGATAATTATTTTTTATACACAAAATGAAATAAATTATAGGATATCATAAAATTTAATAAATTAATGATATGAATATTTTACTTTTAATAAGTATTAAATTTTTATTACATATTAAAAAAATATAAATCTAAATATTTAAATTAATTTTATAATATATTTTTATAATAGACAATAAAAATTACTACTTTAATATTTCTATATTATATCTTTTGTCAAATTTATATCAACAAAAATTTTACCTATTTTCTAAAGATATAGATAATCTCATTTATTTAAGAGAGGTATTAAGAAGAAATTTTTTTATTAATTAAATTTATTCAAAACTATTGAAGTATAATTGATAATTTATTAAATTAGAGTAAAAATTATGTAATTTTTTTAATAAAATTTAGTTATAATAAAAATTATATTGCTAGTATTTTTTCATTTAATATATAAATAAGAACTTAACTATTTAATACTATAGATATTTATACAATATAATATAAATTTGTATTATATAATTTTTTTATTAGTCTTAATAAATTAATTATTTATTACATATATAGATAAAATATATTAATAAGTATTTTTTTTAATGTATGCCTAAAGCTCATATTATGAACTTATGAATATTAAGTTTGTATATTTTTAATGTTTATTAGAAAATACAATAAAAAATTATACATAGTAATATTTTTATTAAAAATAATAAAATATCATAAAAGTTAATACATTAATTACAGTAAATGCTGTAATTTTTATAAAAAATTATTATTTATTAGTTTCTTATTGTGTTACACATAAAAAAAAGTATTTTTTTTTAAATTACAAAGTAAAGTAGAGGTTAATGTATTTATAATATTAAATATTATAATTTTTAATGAAAATATTTTTATTAATTGTGCATCTTTTAATCCAATTAAAAAGACCAATCAATACGTGGAATATATATATATAATTCAATAAAAAAATAGTTTTAAGAGTTTAAATAAAGTTAAAAAAATCGTTTTTTAACCTTCTTGTTTCTCTATCCATTTTATACTTCTAAATGAGACAAGAAGAAATACTTTTTCAATTTTCAAAGGCTAAACCACCAACCTTTCAATTGGCAATTTTTATAATGATAACACCGTGTCAGACAAAGCTAAATTGGATTTCCTATGAATTAGTGCATAACTTAACGTGTGAGTAGACACACACTTGAACATTTGAATTGTATTTGCCCAATTATTAGGTGCCTTTATACATATTACATACAATATATCCTGTGAATTCAATATTCTTTCGTACTTTAACTGTATTTTATCGCTTTATTAAAAATATAATATATACTTATGCATTACTTTTTTTTTTATAATATCTTATACATTATTAAATTAACAAATTAATGTTAGAAAATATCCAAAATAGTATATTTATAATTTCTCTTTATAAATTATCCTATCTCAACATAAATGATTTTTTATCTTTTATTGGTCAAAAAGTCCGAATGAAGTAACACGTGGATGACATGAACGAAATAATATATTTAAATTTCAAAAGTTGTGATTTTTCCTTCAAAACTTTTTTGTTACATATTTATGAAAGATAATTTTTTTTGGTATTTTCTAATGAGTATATGCATCGTCAGGAAATAGAGTGAGAGAAGTAATTAGAAAAGGATATGTTTTATATAGATGACAAATAACGTAATTAGAAAAGGAAAAGAGGGACGGGAAAAAATATAGTGTTAAAAATAGGAGTGTGAAAAAATTAGAACGTTTACAAAAATGTCTGTAAGGAAAATATGATTAATCTATGGTTTTTCTTTTAAACCCTTTTTCTTTGTTCTTGATTTTTCCCTAGTTTCCTAAACTGCACTTAATAATCCGATAATTTCCCTCCGAAACCTGCCTTTTCATCTAAAATTTTGAGCTTAAGGTCAATGCTCTTATTTGTTTGTTTACTTTCTATCTCATTGTTATAATTGTTGTAGTCTTTATTAATTGCATCTACAATGGTTGTGTATATCATATAATGAATCTTGCAATACTATGAGCTACCATACCATGGGCAAGATATATCTTAAGCGCAACAGTATCTCAATCACGGTTGAGTCATATATTAATTGTTATCCTTGTCAAAACTTTTTTTATTAATCACTATGAACACTTTTCAAGATTACACAATCTTATTCCACCATCCACATAATTAATAACATCTCAATCAACAACAAAAGACAGCACAGCTCAAACTCAACGTCTTCTGAAACCGCTAAGGATACTGGGGCTTTAGGTTTTATGGTGTGATTGGATCAGCTAGGAATAACGGATGTAATCTTCGAAAAAAAGCTAACTGGTCCTCGCCTATTATGTATAATGTTGGTGATGCCACTTTGCGTTCATTATGAAAAGTAATGTCAGAGACAGCTTCAGTTCCTTGCAGCTTGCAACAAGATATTTTTAGCTCCCTCATTACATCTACTATTGATGGTCTCTTCTGCGTGTTGTCATGGTAATAACTGAGTGCCAGAATTAAGAAGGGTAGGAGCTCATTCTTCTGTCTATAATAATGGAGAATATCATGCCAGCCTGATAAGCACTTTGCCCTAATTCTTTATGAAAATTAAATCATATAGCAGAAGCATATGCAGTGAAATTTTCTTTCAAATTCTTCCCAAGTTGACGCAAATTCCACTTTAAATACATGTAACACAAATCTCTGTCTTAACATCACCTTAGTTGGAATATATCCACCAGAGTTGCCTTTAACAATTTTCTGCATAAAAAATATTGTCATGGATACTAGTATGACAAAAATCAGGAAAAACGGCAGGAATGATAGCACAGACAAGTTTGCTTCCAGAAAAAGGACTGACGGGAATATGCATTACATCCTATGTGAGAAAATCATGTGTAAACTTAGTTTATTAAAACAAATTATATGCTAATACATCATTTTATATTAAATACAGGTGTACAAATTTTCATGCCAAACAACTACATTTCATTTAAAATAATGTTGTGACTTCATAAGTTGTGTATACAAATTCTAGCAAAAAATTGCATAACAAGATTCAGTATTGGAAAAATTTTAAGAACATAATCCCTGACCATTGTATCATGATAGCCTCTTCTCTGTATTATCAGGAGAACAAGTCAATAACTGAGTGCCAAAGTTAATCCCTCAACACAATCAGTTGTAAAGGAAGCAAAGCATTCTGCAGTCTAAAATGAAAAAATCATGCCAAAATAAACAAGTTATATCCACCTGACACAATACTTTCCACAACATATATAAATTTAATTCTAAGGATATCATACCTAAAAAGGTCTAACAAATACAAAGTGTTCATGTATTAGGAATTTTGCAGGCAATTGAATGCAAATTTTATTATCATGACAATCTAGTAAATCAGTGTCTAACCATATCTTTGTAACATAACAAACAAAAATAGAAGTGTTAAGTAGCTTGAGATGTTACTTTAATAAGAAGGGAACACAACCTATTTTACTAGGGAAGTTAATATTTTATCTACCCTCAGTATAATCCTTCATAGAATATATGTTTAATGTGCGGAAATAAGAGATAGGACAAGAGGGAATTAACTGATGCTACAAAATGGATTACCTTGCAATCAATGTTCCTATTATGTGATATCAAAAGCTCCTGAAACACAACTCCAGGTATGTGGGACTGTAGGATATATGGGTCAGAGCATACCCATAACAGCTTAAAACCTTCCCTTAACCTCATTGGACAGCATTAGATGAGCCAATAAATTTGTCAGTAATTGGTATCAAGTGCCAGTTCTTTGAAAGTGAATGCCTTCATTCCATCTATTTAAATACAGATGTTCAAGGGTGCAACCGGTATAAGCAGTATATCTCTTCCTTTAATGATAATACCAATTTATCTGTCAGCAGAATGTACCATAATACTCACTCACGTTTGTTACAATTGTAATTTGTAAGTGAAAAGCTCAAAACTAAGGAGATTCTGTTTGATTCTAGAATACAGCCCACCAAAGTATGGGTATCCAAGTCCAACAAACCCAGGGACAAAGAAACCCTCTATTCCAAGCTTCTTCAACTCTTAGCCATAGGTGATCTGTTTCAAGGATCACCAATAGTCCTTGCAAGAACAGTAACCATCCTTAAAATGGTGAAATCTATTAGCATCCCTCAAAATGATCTCCCTTCCAGTGACTTTTGCAATCAATTTGATTGCAGTATGACAATCCCCACAAACCCGCAAATTTTTCATAACTCTAATTGGCATCCCTTCAGGAACTTTTAGGAGTCCATATGCTACAGCTAGTTTTTCACTATGATAACCCAAGCTATGTGTCTTCTCTTCCTCGTCCACATCATGATGGACAAAGGTACCATCAGGACAGTACCCAGCTTCCCTTAATAATCCACCTATCTTCTCCAGCATTTTCATGATAATAGGCTGCTCAGGGTGGGCTTTGCTGTCGCCCACAGTGAACATATGTACCTTTCTCTCCACCTCAATCCAGCTACAGCCTGGCAATTTAACACTCCTCGTTTTTATCTTTTTCCGAAGGACTTCAACATCCCTCCATCTTCCTCTAGATGCATACATATTTGAGAGCAACACATAAGGTCCAGCATTTTTGGGTTCTAGCTGTGCAAGTTTCTCAACTGCAACTTCAGCCAAATCCAGCTTCATATGGGTTCTGCATGCTCCTAATAATGCACCCCAAACAATAGCATCAGGTTCCATTGGCATCTTTTCTACTATTTTCATTGCATCATTCACCTGGCCTGCTCGGCCTAGCAAATCAACCATGCAAGCATAGTGTTCAACTCCAGGTTCCACTTGATATTTGAATTTCATTGATTCAAAAACTTCAAGCCCTTCTTTCACCTTGCCACTATAGCTACAAGCTGAAAGAACCCCTATGAAGGTAACATCATCTGGCGGAACTCCAGAGCAACACATATCACGGAAAACATTTAAAGCTTCCTCTCCCAATCCATGTTGGGAATAACCAGTGATCATAGAGTTCCACATAACAACATCCTTCAAAGGAAACCTGTTAAAAACCTGTTTTGCTCTCACAAGATTGCCGCACTTAACATACATCGTAATCAAGACTGAGGCAACATATAGATCTTGATCAAATTCAGATCTCACCAACTGAGCATGGACCTGCCTGCCATGGTCAAGACTGGCCAGACTGGCACACACAGAAAGAACACTGATCAATGAAGCGAAATTCAGCGCAACCCCTTCCCTTTGCATCTTAGCAAACAAACCCAACGCTTCCAACTCATACCCTTTCCTTTCATATACCTTAATCATAGCACTCCAAGTTCCCTCATCCCTCTCCTTCATTTGCTCAAACACACGTCTAGCTTTATCCACCTCCCCATAAAGCCCAAACCCCATGATCATTTCATTGCAAGCAACAATCGTTTTCACCAGCATTGCATCAAAAAGCTCAGAAGCCTCTCTTATCCTCCCACTATGAGTATACCCCATAAGCATAGCCGTCCAAGACACCTCATTTCTCTCTGGCATCACTTCAAAAAGCTTCCTTGCAACATCCACCTTCTGGTTCCGTGCATACCCAGAAACCATTGCAGTCCAAGTAACCACATTTTTCTTTGGCATTTCATCAAACAAAGCACGCGCTTCATCCAAACGACCCTCCTGACAATACCCTCCAATCATATTTGTAACCGCCACCACATCCTTCACAGGCATCATATCAAACAACTTGCGTGCATCCTCAAAACGAGACTGTTGCAACAACCCACCAAGCATTACGGTCCACGACACCACGTTCTTGTGAGGCATCTGCCAGAAGAGCCGTTCCGCTTCAACAACAATGCCGTTCTGCACGTAACCGCGAACCATCGAAGTCCACGAAACAACATTGCGGTCGGGCATTGTGTCGAACACCCTCCGTGCTTCACTCAGCATGCCGTTCTTGATGTAACCGGAAATCAAGCCGTTCCAAGAAACTGTGTTTCTGTGTGGCATTTTATCGAACAGAAGAATGGCCTCTCGGGGTTGGTGGGCTTCGAAGTATGCGGCGACCATGGCGTTCCACGAAGAGATGGTTCTGTGAGGAAGAGGCATTTCGTCGAACATCTTGCGAGCATTTTTAATTTGTCCAATTCGCGAATAACGTGCGATGGCTGAAGTAGTGGTGCACTGTGACCTCACTTGCACCATCGAGCACCAACGCAGAGTTGCGCGACCATGATGACCCATTTGTATGCGTCTACGCACCATTACAAAGCAAACAACAGTTGCTGGTGTTTCCTCTTCGTAAATAAATGATAGGTATTAGAATATTCATTAAAAATTAATAAATAAAAATTCTTAAAAATTACATTAAAAGAATATTAATATTTCTAATAAGTATAAAATTTATAAAATTGTTCTTTATACATTCAAAATTTATTATTTTAGATTTTTTTAATTGATAGATTTTTTTTTTTTTTTTTCATGCAAATCATAATAATTTTAAAAATAAAAACTTTTTCATATACTGATACAATTTAAATTTATAATAAAAATTAATTTTTGAATTAATAAAATATTAAATATCATTTTAAGAATTTTAAAAATTCTTTGCAAATCTTTATGTATGTAATTTATTATTTTTAGAATTAAAATTTTTATATTTACTTTTACAGTCTCAATTTATTTTTAAACAAATACTAATTTTGTATTAATAAATTGTCCAATGCTATTTTAAATTTTCTACATACCCTCTCCATACACTTATCATATATGCTAATGTTTACAAAATTTACTTATGCTATTTTAACTTCACTTAAACAAAATTACAATAAAAAAATGGCTCTTTGGATAAATATTGCTTAAGTAATAATAAATTCGCTTAAGTGAAAATATTATTAGTTTAAGTAAACTACAAAGACATAGAAATCCTGCAATTTTAGCTTTAAGCAAAAAATAATAATTTAAACAAATATTGACAAAATTAGTTTAAGTGAATATTATATAGCTTAAATAAAATTTATAGAGAATAATATTACTGCAACTATTTAGCATTCAACCATATCTCTTTAATCATTACCTTTTATTCCAATTTAGCCAAATTATGTTACTGAGAGAATTGAGATGAGTATTGTTTTCAAATTTAATTGATTCTACTTACTAATATCATCACAATTCAAAGTATAATAATGCAAATAGAGCATGATTATTTAAGTAGTTAGATTTAAGAAATAGGTTTGCATGCAATAAAAGAAAAGAACAAGAGGAACAACTAATTGACTATGTTTCAAGAAACAACTCTCACAATTCACAATGAAAGTTCATGAAATATATTTTTCACCAAGGTAAGTATTTCTCTCATCCAATCACATTATGCATATAAAGCCAACATTGATATTAATCTCCTTATCATCACAATTGCAAAACAAGGTCAAGATTACTAAGGTCTTTCAAGCTTGTAATGTGGTTGAGCTTCAAGTGAACTTAATTTTTCTAGACAAGAAATGAACATTTAAAAATTGAAGTGCATTTACATCTCATTTTGACTTGAATGTTAAGTACATTCACAATTTTTACTTTGTTTCAGACTTTCATCATCTCATTTAAGGTTCACAATCAAGCACTAAGCATTAATTTTTTTTCAACCAATTTTAACAAGAAAATTTGTTCAGTGAAATTCCAAACAACCCAATGTACCATTGTATTCCTTTCAAATCAAAGATCATCAATAAAACTTTCTAATGAATTTTCAAAAAGACAATTTCTATTATCCACACCAAAAGAGGATAAAGTCTAAGATAAAGTGGATAAACCCAAAATAAACCAACTAACATAAGTGACTTAAACATAAAACAAAAATTCGAAAGTAAAGCAGTAAACTAAAACATAAAATAACAAAACCATGTGTTCGTGCTCTCAATTCCCTCCCATGAATCTGTCTTTCATATCATCTACATCTTCCTCTTCACCATCGTCTTGTCCTTCTTCATCTTCTTTTGCATTAGCTCCTGGCCCCTCGAAAAAATTGGCCTGTACCTAGACCATACTACGTGAGCTGCAAATTGTTCTGGAGTGAGCCATGAGTTTAGAGTTTGCTCATGCCAATGTTGAGCAAAAAAAATGGTTGAAGGACTCGTTCAATTGGTGCTGTCCTATCTGATTGACTGCTTGCTAATCCTCCAAGTGATGTATATGAATTTCCAGCCTCTTGAGGTATTCCATCATGGCTGACATTGATGGTTGGTCTGGGATTGAAGGTGGAGGCTGGTCTGCTGTCACTAGTTTTGCCTGGTCGGGTGCTGGTAATGAGCTTTCAGGATTCATTAGCTGTTCTTGTGGGTTGATGCAATTCTTATCTATGAATTCTTGTCAAGTGGTGGCCTAATTTTCTCTGAAGGTGTGACATCAACACCATGGGCTACACAAAGGGTAGTGATTAGAGCAGGGAACCCCAATGATCTGCTGGATTGCTCCAGGTTCTGGCCAGCTTCTGTGATGACAAATTGATGAATTTTCTCTAAAATAAATGTTTCTATGTCTATGCATTATTGGCTCATGATGGAGTGACAAGATAGCAATGGGGCATGTTGAAGTTTGAACTATACCTGATTGACACTATGTTGGCTAATAGGAATGTCATCCACGTTTGGGTCAGGGACTTCATGTTCCCTTTTAGAATCCTTAGTACCTTTTCTGCTTGGTTTGCTTCATAAGAACGCCTTGCCAGAACGTCATCCACATAGTTTAATCATCAACCAGTGTGAACATCTCAAAGATTGCAAAGAAATATCACTATAAAGCACATAATCACAGTTAGAGTATTTTATCAAACACTTGGTGGGCATTCATCACAAACAAATAATTTATACATCTACCCATTCACAAGAATCACCAATTTCAACAATCTAAACATTGCATTCCTTTTTGTACAATACACTAAATCCAAAAATCATCACAATGCATAGGGTAATATTCTAAAGCAAAGGAAATGACAACTTCAAGAGCAAAAGAAAATTGCATTGAGATAATGAGTGAAGTAATCATGAAGATGAGGACATGTAACTTGCTAGGAGATGTTTTGAGAATGAATAAAGAGGGGAAGTAGGAGTTGTGTGAGATGAAAGCCCATATTAGAGTGATGTGAATGTTTGAGGGAGTGGGAACGGTTAGATTTTTAAACAATGAACTCCCTCCCCTTTTTTGAAAACTATTTTGCGATTTCTTGCTGCTCAAGCGAAGGAATCTTTACTCAAGTAAAAATGCTTTGGATGTTCTCCTTTCTAATTTTTCAATTCTTGTTTAAGAAAAATATTAGGCAGTAATTAATTATTATTTTTTTATATTTTTATTTAAGTAAAAAATTCTTTGCTTGAATAAAAATTAGACAGATTAAAACAAAAATTTTCTTTTAAATTTAATAAAAACTTAAAAGATTTAGAAAAAATCTTCATCATTATCTCGTAATCAAAATAAATGGGTTAATTTAAATTCTTTTAAATTAGAAGTAGATTAAAACTTAAATTTAAATAATTAAAGGTAATAAGTGTTCTAATTCAAATTATTATCTACTAAAACTTGATATTTAACGACAATATTATTATAAGTAAGAATTATTTAATTTTATTCGATTTATGACATTAAATTTTAACTATGATTATTGAATTTATGGAACTAACTATTTGAAATACAAAAAAAATATTTAAACTCTTAGAAATAAAGATAAAAATAAATTTAACTTCAAAATTGTTACAATTATGTTTTTAAAAGATACTTGCTTTCAAAAACAAAAATACTTTAAAGAACCTGTTTTAAATATATAATATTTTGATATTTTTAACTTATAAAATTTATTAATGACTAAAATATAAATATTATCTTTTAAAATCTGTTATAATAGATTATTTTGTTAATTTATTTAAATCGTATAATAGATCAACTCATCATAGTAATAATTATTATTATATTTTTAAAAAATAAATATCCTTTTAATATTAGTTAGTAATTGACAATTTTTTCCTTCAAGAATAAACTCTTGTGTTAGTTTTAAGATTGAAAGTGTTAGATAAATTGTTTATTGAAATATTTATATGAATTAATTAATTTTGACTTTGTTAAATATTAGACACTTTTTTTTTATTAATAATTTATGTTATAACAGTACGTATTAACTAGAAATTAGTTTTCAAAAGTCCCCCTCTCCACATGAACTTGGAAAAAGGTAATTTTCCTAAACTCTACGATGTTCTAAATTCGAAGCTCTAAATTAAGATATTAACAAGAAGAGGATAAAAACTCTAAAACCCTTTTAAACTTTAAATTTTTTAAGAGTATGATGATGAGTCTTATTGGTCGTTGGGTACAAGGGATCTACTTCACTGCATGGTCAATGCTGTTTTAGGGGCATTGGGTCTTCTTGAGATAGGGCAAATATTTCCGGATTTAGATCCTAAGTGGAAGGGTTGTGCCTCTTCCATATTCATCTAAAAATCTGAGTAATTTATTACAAAAAATAAGTTCCTTTCTACATTATTTCTTCCATCAAAATCTAATACTAGTTTTAGGCATTAATGTTTCTGTCTTTTCGATGTTAATTTGAATTCAATCCCTCACCTTCGAATACAATAAAAGGAAATTGAAAGTTAAAAAAATTAAAAATCACACCATCTCACACAAGAACTTGGTAAGCAACCCAAGAGACATAGGAAGGCTACCATCCTGGTGCTTTTAAAATTGTGGCAAAGAACTAGAGTTATCAAAGAGTATAAACATGATGATGCTTCAAGAGGAATCAGCTACCGAAGCTAGAGATTGGTGAGTAGTGTGTGGAGAGGAGAAGAAACAATGTTGTTTTAGAGTGGAAGAAATCGAAATAACCTTGTTTTGGCATTCCACATATCACTTAATGAAAAAAAGTTAACACTTAATAAAAATTATTAGACTAAAGTGTCCAACATTTAACAAAGTAAAAAACTAATCCATGTAAATATCTCATAGACTAATTTATCCAATAATCACAATATCAAATATTAATTCAAGAGAGTACTCATAACTGTCGACATAAATAAACAACTTAATTTTAAACTTCTAGTTTTCTTTTAGATTCATGTTTGAACAACACTATGTTAAATTACACTTAAAATTTTTTTAACTTGTTTTTAAATCCGTACTTTTACAGTGACATAGTAACATGGATACGAGTGAAAGTTTTTTTTTAATATGTTAAAATAAAAGGCTTAATTCCTTTAAAGTTTATTCATTTTAAATTTATCATAATTATTATTTATTAAAATCAAGACTTGTCCACATGTTTTTTTTTTATTTTAAAGATAAATTTACTATTATTTAAATTTTAAATTTGGCTTTAAATTAAATGACAGAGATTTCATTAAAATTAATGAATTGTCAAGAAAATTCATGTTATATTTTCAAAATACACAATGATGTCAGAAAAAAAAAAGGTGTTTCTTTCATAAAAATTAATGTATATGATTTTTAAATAAATAAAATGTATGTTATATAATTCACTCTTCCGCCTCTAAATTAGAGATATCTTCTTCAAATCACAAGTAAAGTTAGAACAACTTCTTGTCAATTGATTTATTAGGATGATTGGTGGTTTTTCACTCTTTTTTGACCGAAATAGTAGAGTATTTTGTTATAAATTACACGTATAGAATTTACAACATCCCCCAAGAGAAGGGTAATAGCTATTTACCTAATAAACTTCTTATCCTTTAATATTAATCAAAACCTTGGTATAAAAAAATCATAATTACATCTTTCAAAATATGTTGGCAATTAACATAGCAGACTCAACGAGGAACAATGGTGGGAGTGACATCACTAACAAGATCACTTCCTGACACATATGAGGACATGTGTTGTTCTTCTCTTATCACATGGGATCCTGATGTTGATGATGATGATGAAGGTGCCATTTTACCAGAACTATCCAAGGTAACATCAGAGAAACTAGTTTCACTTTCAGGCAACATTGCAATGATATCTTCTAATTCCCTGACCACATCTAGCATTGATGGTCTTTCTTCTGGATTGTCTTGGCAACAACTAAGGGCTAGTGTTAAAAACTTTTCCAAGCAATCAGATGAATAAAAACCCATACTGTTGTCTATGATGGAATATATCTGCCCAGATTGATATGCCACATTAACCTGACACCAAATTGTTACATTATTGATGATGATTTGTTTAGTTCACATTCTTCCATATGGTATGTAAGTAAATCACACGTCTAAAAGATTGAGAATTTAAGGGCTTGTTTTGTTTTGAAAAACAGTTTGTATTTATTTACTATTTTCACTTATAATTACAATAATGTGTAGTCATTTTCTTTTTGTTATATTTGTACGGAAAAATAAAAAATTGTAATTTTTATTGCTTTTCATATAAATATTTAAAAACAAGAAATAAAATTAAACTAATATAATATTTTTTAAAAAGATAAAAATTGAAATGTTGTCAAACTAAAGAGGCATACATGCCCCCTTTTCTGTACATTGTGCTTGCACAGTAATAAAATTTTCAAGACTTTTAAAGTGAAAAAATTAATAAAGGCAGAATGTAAATACACTAATAACTTGAATTTAAATATTTTATAAACATAATTAATTTTAAATCAATAATAAATAAATTTTTATTTTCTCATTTTACATGTTTTTTCCTTTAAAATTATCCAATGTTTTGTAAGTGAGATCTAAGAGAGAAATAGTGGAGTAATTAGGAAAGTACCTCACGGACAATGTTTTTGCCATGTGATATAGGTTGCATGCCCGTCAAAAGCTCCAAAAACACAATTCCTAAGCTATAGACATCACATTTATCAGTCAACTTATGAGTCAACAAATATTCTGGGTCCAGGTAACCCTGCGAGCAAAATTAATTCATTATATTAATCATTTTATACAACGTTAGAAGAAAAATTGACACAAAGATTGCACCAACTCCAATATCATATAATAAGAACATATTGGAATATTACTAAGGTAAGACATGACAAGCCAGAAAAATGTCAAAGTTAATTTGCCAGAATTGAATAAAAGGTATCGTTTGAATGATTTATATAGGCCTAGGATAAACTTCTAAAAAAGTTTTTGTAGGAGAAAACATAAATTGTTTTTAATTTTTATAAAATGTTTTATTATTTTTTTATACTAATTTATTTCCCTTTTTAAAACTTCAGTAGAAGTTTGTCGAATCAGAAAACTTTTCAGTTCTTGAACATTGGAATTGAAAATGATACTAACTTTTCTTTAACAAACTTACTGGTGTTCCCTTCACAACTGTTGACACATATTTTGGAGCAGTTCCTTCTTCATCTAAGTATGGTACAAGCCGTGACAATCCAAAATCTGCCACTTTAGCTGTAAACTTGGAGTCCAAAAGAATGTTACTGGCTTTAATATCTCGGTGGAATATAGGAGGGTTAGCTTCTGTATGCAGATAAAGTATGCCTTTGGCTGCACCCATTGCAATTCTCAACCTCATGCCAAAATTTAGGCCATCCTTGGTTTTTTTTCTTTTACCTGCCACATCACAATACCCATTAACTTGAATCATATCTAATTACATCATTTAAAGCATCAACAATTCCAAATTATGGTGCTGTATTATTATAATGATTTTTCTAACATGGTAGCAATGCACATGATAAGAATCTAGATATAGTAATTTTTTTATTAAAAATTATAGAATTCAATACATTTTTATTATAATATTCATTAGCTTTCCTTTCTTTCATATTTTCCTTTTTAACTTCTATCTTCTTATTCTCTACTTACAAGGATGGAATGACGGAACACTTCTGCACTATATTGATACTGCCACTATGATCGTCATTTCTTTTGTTTCAACATGAATATCTTATCTATTAGGAGTAAAATATAAGACTTCTAAAGAGTATTCATGGTAGTCATGTAGTTTGAAGTTATAACTCTATAGAAATCAATTTATCCTCAATCAATCAATTCAGCAGATGCATTTCACCATCCTCAGTTATGTGGTATGTCGATACACTAGAGTTCAGATTTGAAAGCTATCAAATTTATTATACAAATTCTAAACATTTACCATAAAAATATTCAAAATTGCATGAACATAGATTATATTTTTGTAGGTGAAGCTCAAAACTGGAGAGCAGAAAACATAAAGAAGAAAAAAAGTTAATATGCACAAACAAAATAAAGTAGTAGATATCTATTCATATTTGGCATATACATCATTGCTAATTTTAATACAGAAAATTCCAACAGTTTCATACCAGAAATCCAGTCCCTTAAGGTGCCATTGGGCATGAATTCATAAACCAACATCTGAACCAACAGAAAGAGTATATGAGAATAATATTGTTGTCAATGTCAAGATTCAACCTAATACGGCAAAACTTATGTTTATACTCAAAGTATACTGTCCAAAGATAAGCTTTCTTGAAAATACTAAAATAATAAAAACAATTCAAGAAAAGAACTACAGTCCACACTCCATATTGACATAAATATCTAGTGACAGTTTAAATACAGAAATTTGTGTCAGCATGCAATTCATCTAATGTGTGAGACATACCAAACCAGATCAACAGAAAGAACCGACAAAAGAAAAGGCTTAAACAGACTAAGACAAACAACATGATATTAGCTCAGGGAAATGGTTTAACTTAACAGGTAGATGAATGTTTATCATACGCTATGACATTGTTTAATCATTATGCAGATTCAAGCAGAAGAAATTCTTTTACCATTTACATTTGAATTATTAAATAAAACTAGTTGCAAGATGATATAGAAAACATAAGTTACTATAAGTTAGATACCTGCTCCCCTTCTTCATTACAGTATCCAATCAGTGAGACAAGATTCCGATGGTGTAACCTTGATAAAAGCTCAATCTCGGTCAAAAACTCTTTTTGCCCTTGTAAGGAACCTTCTTCTGCTCGCTTAATGGCCACAAATGTTTGATCAGATAAAATGCCTTTATAAACATTGCCATAACCTCCTTGGCCAACTTTAGTTGAGATATTAAATTTGTTGCTAGCATGAGCCAATTCTTTGAAAGTAAACACTTTCATGCCATCTATTTTGATAGATATATTAGAGGCTGCAGAAAGAAACAAACATTTAAATCTCTTTCTTCATAGATAATTCAATATGATATAATCAGCAGAAAACCGTAGAATAGAATACTCACACATTCGCTTCCTGGAAATCTTGTGCTGGTATTTCCAATGTCTTCTAGAAATCAGAAGAATGATTATTGCAGATATTGATAAAACACAGGCAGCAGCTGCTATTGTTGCGGCAACTATTATGCCCACACTAGTTTTTCTCTTCCCCGAATCAATAATTACTAGCAATAAAATGAAAGTTAAAATAGAGAAACTCAGAAAGTAGAATAAGTTTATTAACAAAAACTAACACTAATTACGAGATAACTCTATCCAATTCATCAACATACATGATTATTATGGACAAACAAAGGGAAACTACTTCTGTATGGACATTTATCTTCCGTGGATCGAGATATTTCCCTTTATTTGTTTTAATATGAGGATTTCTTTGGACTTAAGTGAAGAGGTTCTCTCATGTTTGCAATTTACAATCAAGAATAGAGATGAATACAGACAGTCATGTGGCTTCTCCTTTTGTATGAACAAAATGTCAGAACATTAAATAAATAAATATTATTATTTTAAACTTTCAAGAAACATTTCAAATCAAATAGAGAATTTATAATAATAGGAAGATGAGAATATAGAATTACAAATAATGTGCAATTTTTCTGCAGTATGCATATTAAATCGCCAATCACTTCAACAAGCAGCAATAGAATTTCTTTTGACTTCTTGTTATTGAACAGTACAAACATATTTGGTGAGATGCAATGATAATAATATATAGTCCAGTTGGCATAAATTTGTTATGCATATTGTAAGATGCCACAAAATAGTAAAAAGTTGAGATTAGGAAACTTACAATTTGCATAAGGTCCAAGAAGAGTGAAGTTCATGAGCTCATATGGTCCAAAAAGATCATTGCGAGCAAATTGCCATGATGTGAACAAGCCTTTAATGCGACGAACCTCACTAGTATTGAACATGTTAGAATTTGAATCATTGTAGGCAGGGAAAAGTTTTAAATACATTCTGAGACGAGGTCCTTCTTCCCAAGCAACTGAATCTATTGAAAGTTGATAAAGGTCTAAGTTTAAGGACTCAGTAATATAGTTTTCAAAACTAGTTTGATAGGGAGGAAAGTAAGAAAAACTTGGACTTTTCAGCCTGTATCCAATTCTCAAAGGTGCTGCACAAAAGCAAGGAACTGGAGAAGAGGGAGCATATTCATAAAAGTTATCCGTTGGACAAGATTGAACTTGACAGCTAGGTTTTGAGTTTGTTGAGTCTTGAGTTGCTTCACCTCCTTCAGGTCCACAATATTGACGAATTCCTTGCACGCTAGAATTCTTGCAGATAGGATTGCCAGAAAGCCTTCAAGGAAAAGAGAAAGAAATGATAAGAAATTTATGCCACACCAAAGGCAAAGCATAATTGTGACCATGTTTTTCATAGTTAACATGAAATTGAAAATAAAATTAAACAAAAATATATGCAATGTCCTGAACATGATATGAATTATATAGAGAATTAGATCATGTGGATGCACCAAATATATGTGATCATAATACCTCAAGGTAACATTTTTTGGGGGCTTCAAATTTCCCAAGACATCCAAAAATGAGTTGTTATGGAGATCACTGCAAAAATAGGACAAACATAGTGAATTTTCTTTGCAGACAACATAATCAGTATAATAATTGAATTCTAAAAATCATTTCTTTGACACTGAACTAATAATCCAGATTCAGAAGTTACATTGTAAGTTTAGCTTTCTCACTGAAGGACATGTTCTGCCATATGCTAGAAGGGATGTGCCCAGACAGTAAATTGTTCTCAAGTGACCTGTGTTTGACAATGAAAACAAAATATTCACCCAATGTGCCAAGAATTGCACATTTATAAAAGTCTGTCTAGATTCTAGATGCCAACTTGCTTCTCATAAATAGAGTTCTATTTAAGAAACTTCAAATATTGTTACATGATAATTAAATAAATATTATGTGAAACACAGGTTGATAAGTATCTTCTCACAAGTTCTGGAGATGAGGATATGAGAAGCTTTGAGGAATAGATCCATTCAGGCGATTATTGGACAGATCACTGCAACAGAAGGAAAGTTAGCACATCAAACTCAATTTTGTCATGGCTAGCATTAAGATAAATAAATATTGTGAAATAGATGAGGAAACCAAGAACATTATAAACATAAAATAAATAAAATTAGGCTATTTACATACATAGTTGTCATATTGTCTGCCAGTTTCTTTGATGGTAATTGTCCAGTGAACTGATTCCAGCTAAGATCTCTAAAAACCAAGAACCAATCAAATAAGTTGGTAGCTAAAATTGAATAAATTTACAAATAAAGTAAATCCACTAAATATATTCGAACATACAAATAGCTAAGCTTGGGTATTGAACTGAAATCAGGAACAGCACCTTGCAGACTGCAGTTTCTTAGACTTCTGTTAAATCAAAGAGGAAATGTTAGCTGAAAAAAACCACGGTTATGTTCTTATTTTCGTAATTGAAAACATGACAGTAAGATTTTGTGACCTTGTATCCTACTTGAGCTTCAAGGTAAGCCCAAAGTATGCCTTTCCAAATACAATTTTGTTAACATCCATTCCTAATGGCTGAGGTTAAGGAAATAGAACATAGCAGTAATAAAGGTTTTATTGGGAAAGAAAGCATTTATTACATCAGAAATACAAAAGTTATCTTTTATTTCCTTTCTTTCCCAATAAAAAACTTTCCTTCTTTATCTCCTTAACCTCAACCCTTAGGATAGTTGTTAGCAAAACTATTTAAATACTTCCAACACACACCTTTACATGAAAGCTTTGGCCATGAAGCATGGAAAACAAATGCTCTCTATTTTATATCAAAACTTTAATTTGGCAATGAGAGGATTAAGGATATAATATCAAACATAATCATCAAAAGGCTAAAAACAGCTTGAGGCCATTTCAAGATACCTTTTGATTTAAAAACTTAAGCTGTCAGTGAGGGATAAAGAAGGTCATTAATTATATGTAACATCCTACACTAAATGGAAAAATAATGGACAAGTAGCTATTGCTAAGAATACTTACAGTTTTACTAGCCTTGATAAGTTTGCATAGGTAGAAGGAATTCCACTCCCGCTGAAATTATTGTTATCAAGTTGGCTGCAAGGGAAACAAGTAAATATGAACAATAAGAGACTCTATCCAAAATCCTTTTTCTGGCTAACGGTAAAGTACACATGAGAGCATATAGATGCAAAATGTGTGGTACATTCGACTATTGCATTACATGATCAAAGAATAACCAAGAATGGTAAAGAAAATCTAAAGGCTATAAACTCTTAACTTACTCATATCCCATTTCATGTGAAACTCAATTCACACTTGATTCCAATACTCCCCTTCAAGTGTGAACTTATCTATTTATATCGGCTCTCTCCACAACAAAAGTTTTCTCCATCACGAGTATCCATGTCTATACCAAGTGGGCTGTCGTCTACTTAACGACACTTTTTGAGCTCTACACCTTCCACACATGGATCATCTAGTGTCACCATTTTCTAGTATTCATTTTTTTCAACACTCCCTTTTGATCTGTTTGCTTCTTTTAGATCTCTTGATCATACCTAGGACTCTGCTACTGATGTCCTAACTATACCCGCACAATTCCTCACCGTGTAATCATTTTATGGCTCCTTTAGCAAACATATAACCCCCAAGATCATATTAAACTTTTTATACAATAGTCCAGGCATGGACAGACAATATAAGTCAATCAATTATAAAAAGCTAAAACAAGAGAAGGTCTTATAAATAAATGGAGGAAGTCCATATGCAGAACCAAGTTACCTTGGGGATTATCAAGAGTATAATGAAGATAATATGAGTTGAGGATACATTACTAATTGCTTAAAGTTTCAAAGGTGCAATAGAGCATAATACTTCCATGGTGTTGCTTTATAAACTCAATTATATATACTAATAATAAATAGCTTATACAGTTAGCTCCCTTTTGCATTAAGTAGCAAATAGAAGGTAGGAATTCATGCTAAACATGATCTAAGATGTATAACTATGACATTAACATTAACATTAAAAACCGGAATTTCTATCAAGTTTTTATGCGCATGTGCATCTGCAAGTCACATAAGGGTGACAACAATAATGACAATCCTTTCTCCTAAACTCTGAAATGAATCCAGAGTCCTTCAGAAGAAAGGATAGAGTGCTCACACACACACACACACACACATTCTTCATTTAGTCCTGTCATCTGATATATCCTCCGATATTATTGTAACCTCTCTAGTAAACATGTATGTTCCTATATGTTTATAAACCATTTTGTTTAAATATCATGAGAATTTGGGCTTATCATATCAGAGCATGATTTTAACACGTTCACCACAAATCAAGCAAACGTGTGTCAACTACTCTAATATATAAAGATATAAAATGAAGAAGTTGATAAATGCGACAAATCTAAACAACGTGGAAGGAGAACATACAGTATTGCCAACCCATGTAACATGGAGAATTCTGGTGGAAGATAGCCAGATAAGTTATTGTTGTCCACAAGCCTGTAAAATCATTTCAACAAGCAAGCATTGACAAAAATGTAAGAAAGGTCAATTTGGAGATGCATCCTAGGATGCAATGGAAGTTTTAAACCACTATGGAAATGTAAAAAACTGACTTCAATACTCACAGGTGCATAAGGTTGGGTAGCTTAGAAAGTTTGGATGGAAGTTGACCATTAAAAGAGTTGTTGTTCATATGACTGCAAATATACAAAATGGAATAGATGAAATACGGATAAGAAATCCAGCTACAAGCTCAGTTGACAACGCATTTGGCTTAAAGATCCACTTACAGGTGTTTGACATTGATCAAGTTAGCAAATGACTCCGGTATAGGACCGGATAATTGATTTTCGTCTAATTGGAGTCTATTCAAATTTTTAAGGTTGCCAAGCTCATCTGGTAAACTACCAGATAACTTATTCCCATTCAGGAGCCTGCATAGAAAATACATCAGAATAAGTATTATTGTGATAGCAGAAAAGGAAAATTATGTACATATGTTGGAAACAGTATTTAATCTGCTGCATGATTGCATCATAAAACTTCATAGGTTGCAGCATTAGCTTGTAAAATTCTGTTCAATCATGAACACTAAAATATAGAAACTAGAATATCAGAAATCTCCCCCAAATATTGGTTTTATTTACTAGAAGTCTTCCTTGTATATTCAGCCAATTAGACTCCTCAACTGAATTTCAAACTTGTGCTACAATATGGTTATCTATAACAAATAAGGGTAAAAAGAAGTCCAAATTTAATTCACCATAAATGGATGAGCTAATAAGATCCATCTTTTAAAATAAATAAACATATCAAGCAGGACAGACAACACCACCTTAAAATAAAAATTTGATGAGGATCAATACTAATAATTCATCTTCTTTGGTAAAGTTCTTACAAGAGTCTCAATGCCGTAATATTTCCAATCTCCTTTGGTATTGATCCTGTCAGATTGTTCCACATGAAATCCCTTCAATCATAAAACAACAAAGATATCAGCATGTCATAAATATTACCATTGGTTCTCCTTCTACATAATTTGTTTCCAGAGAACAATTTACAAAATAACACAACTTACAGTATCTCAAGATGGGATAGCTGACCAAGCTGTGGTGCTAGAGTTCCCGAGAGATTCATTGTCATTAAGTAGCTTCAACAAAATTGGGATAACAAAAAGTAATTGAAATTTAGCAACCCCTTGAATATTAACTCTGTGAACTATATAATTAACACTTTACAATATCTAAATGATAACATTAAAATAAGAACAAAAAGAAAGTAGAAGGAAAAAGAAGCCATACATCTCACGAACATGGAAATATCCATCAGCACCCTTCTTATCAAAACACCATACTCCTGTCCAGTCTGATGCACATGGATCACCCTTATTCCAGCTCTTCAGATTGTCCTTGGGATCAATCAAACTTTTCTTGATGTGTATCAGTGCATCAACTACAAATATAACAAATATAGGCCAATTATTAAGGTTAAAATTTTCAAATATCAAGTCAAATTAATGAAAAGTTACACTTAGCACACTTTATCTCTAAGCTAATCATTTAAGATGACAAATCCCTTTCTGTCAAAGAAAAGGGATAGCATATCGCTCCCTATTTTCCATTGTGAACTGAAATTTCAATCTGAGCTCTCTTTGGTGTCTCGAATCATAGACCAAAAAGAACAAAGTAAAACAAAAAGATTCAGAAATTTGAAGGCATCAACCAAAATTACCTTCTGTAGGGTCTGTTCTTTGTGAGGCTGCTATGAAGATGATAAAACAAAACGAAACAGCCAAGGCATATCCATGACTTCTCAGAGCCGGCATCACAGTATATCCTATAAACCAACCAAATGGACGAAGGGATGATGAATAAAGGAAGTAATAAACATTGTAAGGAATAAGATTCATTCATACCGTACATTCAGAACAAAAAATGAATACTTTATTGGTCTAAAATTTCATCACAAAAATACATGGAAACCTTATCATGATGTCAATTTCACAGGTAAAATCAATTATTTAAAAAAATAAATAAATGCTGAAAGCAAGCCTCGTACAATAACTCCGGTTGATTTTTCTGGTTGGAAACTTGAAAGAAAGAAGTTCAAAGGTGGCAAACTTGTGGAACTTAACTTTCCCAAATAACTAAAACTCAAAACTATAGCATTAGCTTATGTTCTATTTATGAATCAGAATCTCAGTTGTGAATTGCTTAAGTAAATTCCTTATCCAAAAATCTCACTTGAGAAGAAGGGATGATTCAAAATGTGAAAACTTGGTAGAGTGAATGAGTTTGATATCTGAAAAGTGAAGTAAAAGGCTTGCAATGAAAATCCAAAGTCAAAAATAGTGAGCCCGTGAGGATCTTATTAGCTAGATCATTCTGTCATCATAAAATAATGATAATACTAAATGATTCATTGAAGACCCGAATAACATTTTTTTTCTTTTAAATCTTCATTTTTCATTGTTTACTAAATTAAAATGAGAAAGTTATCTGTCTAAGTTTCTGAAATGGCAATTTGCATTGTCATCGTGGTTGGTGTATCCGCTTTCTCATTAGTCAAACACACCAAATCGGAACACGCCAATATCATATCAATACAATATTAATATAATAATGAAAAGTTGTTTGTGTATCACTTTTTTATATCAACATATGAAGCCCGCCAACTCCTCCCCCACCAGCATGTACTTGTACCACCACCACCACCACCACCTTATGTAAGAATATAATAATTACTAATAACATAATATGCCAATGTCTTTCACTTTTAAAAAAATATATTGTTAAAATTTTTCATGCATATTTGTCTATATTTGATTATTGATATTTATGTCCTAAACTCCTCCATTTTAGTTTTGTATTATGTTATTTGAACAGAAATTGGATGGAACATGCCTTTTTTTACTATGTAAAAAGTTTACTATTTGGTAAGTGTGTATTAGTTTTAAAAAACGTACATATTTCATAATTCATTTTGTTATATTAAAAATTGAGTGAGTGCGTGTACGGAGTAATCAATTTTATGACATGTTATATTTTTTTATAGTAAACTATTGAATGAATTGAGTGAGTGTGTGTACGGAGAATGGGATGTTCTGCTTCGTCGGTGGATGTGCCCAAAATAATAATAATAATAATAATAATATCGACACACTTGAAATCATGTCAAATGTGTGATCCAGTTATTATGGAATGTGTAATTTTTTTCTCTTAAATAATATTTTTATATTAAAATAACCTTTTCTTTCTCACAATCAGATATAAGTCAACTGATTGATGTATCTACAAACTCTTCGTTAAAAATTAATTCCACCAAACAAACCTCAAATATTACTTACGCCAACTTTAGCTTATTTATTAAATTAATATGTTTTTAGAAATAATTTTTTAAACTAATAATATTTTGAAACTATTCTTCTGGTTGAAGCTTTTTTATCATATTACATGTGAGTATCACACTAGTTTTGTTTCTGCAATATGTGATATTAATTTTAACAATTTTAATCAGCTACAATCTTAAAAACTTTGTAATTAATATTGCATGTTAAAGAGACAAAATTAATCACAGTTTCTTAAATTATAGTCATTTAAAACTGTTACAACTAATATTACTAGGGTGATGAAGCATAAAATTGTAACGAGGGTGATTACAAAATAATCCTAGTAACTCTTTTACCAAATTTTATCCAGAATGATGAATAATTATAATGTGAAAAGGTCGTGTAATGTGAAAGCTGGCACTATGCTTGTTTTTATGTCACTTTGCACCTTCTGAGAGAAATATCAAAGCGTCCACTTTGATGTGCCGTCACTGTGTCACCCTTGTCTCTGTTCCTCAATTCCTCATTCGGATCAATCAAACTTTTCTTCATGTCTGTAAATGGATTCACGCACTACAAACATAGGCCAAGTATTATGTTTATGTTTGAAGATCCACCAGAGGAGTGGAAAAAAAAAATACAAATTTATCATTTAGATGAATAAAGATTAATTTTTTATTTATTTGAATAAGTAATATATACAAAGAAAAATTAGCATAAACAAATCTAAGTTCTTTATTGTACAGTTTTTTAATGTTATAAAAAATAATTTGATTTTTGAAATAGCTAAAATATGAATAAAAAGGAAAATAAAAGTCACCCATTATTGAGAGATTTTTTTAAAGGCTTATCTTCTCATTTCTTTGTTTTTTTTTTATATTTTTAAATATTTAAATAATAAAAAGTATATTTTTTTATTTTTTTCATCTATTTTTGTCCTTTCAAATGTAGACTTAAGGTTAAAAATTTTAGACTTATGAAATTAGTCTTTAAATTTCAATTTTTTTTTTGTTTCTGTAATTGATATAATCTAAAAATAAATTAATATGTAATAAAATTTTAATAGACTATATTAACAAAAAAGACTAAAATAATATATATATATATATATATATATATATATATATATATATAACTATTTAATGTTTAAACCATTTAATAGCTAAAACAAACTGAAGATTAAAAAAGGTCAAATATAAAAACCATTTAATGTTTAAGCCAAAATTATTTATGCCAAATCAAACTACATGAAAGCAGCAGTCAAATGGGAATGAAATGATATGCATGCAGCAGCTTTCTCAAACATTAAAATTACTAAGATAACGAGTTCCTCTCTTTTCAAACTTGGACTGAAGAACAGAGTGAAACACAAAGATACTCTTATTTTTTAAGCCTTTTGAAGGATCTTTTAGCTGTGAGGATGATAAAACAAAAGGAGAGAGTATAAATAAAAACATATATTGAGTATTTTAAAGAATAATAAAAGTTCCATGCATATGCTAACAGCATCATCGATAAAAGGTAAAACTAGTAAAAAAAGGATTCAAATTAAATGTGAAAAGCTGCTAGTTAGATGAATGAACTTGAAACTAAAAACTGAAAGGCATTATGAAAATATCCAAAGTAAGAGACATAAAATTCGTGGGAACTTTTTAGCATGATATCAACATCATTTTGTCCCCATGAGCATCAAGATTAATTTTTATTACAAATTTTTCAAAATCAATAATTTTGACCAAAAAAAAAAAACAAAACTTTGATCTTTATTTATACATTAAAGTTTAAATTAGCACAAAATTTGGTGGTAGCTAGTCCCACAATTTATTCTCCACACACGACTCCATCACCATGAATTGGCTTAGTTTCTTCAAAGTTTCAAGTAGAGTTTTTATTTTTTATTTACTTTTTGTATAAAAAAGTTTAAATAATTTAAATTAAAAAATGAGAAATTAATTATTACCAAAAATTTAAAAATTTATTAATTTTAAAATATTTATTTGAGTGTTTTTCTCTCTCTTTGTGTGTATATATATATATATATATATATATACTTTAAGGCTCGATGATGTGGCCAACTTTAAGAGTGTTGTCCCATTTGTAACCAACACTCATACGACACGTGTTGCTCAATGAACTTGTATTGTCTATTTTGGGACAATTTTTGTAGCGTCCACAACAGAGACGACTCCAATGTCGTCCAACTACGCCCGATTTTAATGTGACTGGTGGATAAAAATTTTGATACATTCTTTTGTCCAAATTTAATGTGTATAAATACGAAACCTTTCTATTGTAACCGTAGAGCTGGCGATCCAATAGGCTGGAGAAGAAATTGCAACCAGAACACTAAGGTTAGATTTTTTTAAGCATTATAAATATATAATTATTTTTTATTGGCTATTAAGAATTTATATTTTGAATAATAATATTTATTTTATATTTGGATAATATTTTAAGTATTAATGTTGTAATTTAATTTTTTTGTTATGTTTGAAAATAAGACAGATAAAATATAATGTTAAAAAATAAAAATTTAAATATTTGTAATTACAAATAAATTTTTAAACATAATTAAATTATATTAAAAATTAATTTTTAAATAAGCTTGACTTTTTTTTAATGTAGGATGAATGAAATTGTTGTTATATTATATTCAAATGGTAGAATATATGAAGGAAATGAAAGTATAATTTTTAAAAGAGAGAAAAAGATGATTAAGATAGAACGTGACATCACACTTGAAATGTTTAAAAGGAAGATCCACACAAAATTGAAATTGTTTAGTTGTCATGTAATTTCTAGATTAATTTCACGAATTTTAGTTAGGACAAATAGTCGATACCATACAACTCTGGATGTATGTGATGATGAAGAGATAGATTACATGATAAGTGCGTGTCAACAACCACATCATAAGAATGTAGTTGAGATATATGTGGATGTTGCGGTTAATGAAACATCTTCTGTTGTGGCACGTCCGTTAGAAGTGAATTTATCACTCCCAAACAATCATAGAAGTGATGATGATGATGATTATGCAATAAGAGAAGGTAATATGAAGTTGATGATTTTAAATTTTTAAAATTGATGCTGCAAATACTATTAATAATATAAGTTTACAATGTACGATCTACATATGAAGATGATGAATATAAAGATGAAGAAGAAGAAGATATTTCATTAAATAATTTTTCTGATACTGAGACAGATAATGATTATGATTCAATGATCAATATGAAGGGTATTGTAAGAGTTAGTTCAACGCAATAACAACATGGAGGTATGATTTTAGATAGTGATTTAAAAGATATATTTTCATAACTTATATTTGTAGTAATGTATAAATTGTTAATGAGGGTATAAATTATGAATTGTTGTAATGCAGAAACTACATTGCCCTTTTAAAATATAACCCCACATTACAGTCATATTAATTGGGAACACCCTGATCAAGAATTAGATTTTCTTGGTATGAATGACGTGCAATCATAGAAAGAAAGAGATGCATTATATGTTGGACAACTATTTGACACTAAAGAAAATGTAAGAATGGCTATAGAACATTATGTCATGAGGAAACATCAAACTTTTTTTGTGGTCGAGTCAAAAGCAATAACATGTGTTGTGAAGTGTGTCAATCACAATAGTGGATGTTCCTGAAGAGTTTGAGCATCGTTGCCAAAAAAATGCAGACAAGTGAAAAATTATAAAGTGGGGTAGTGCCATACGTGCGTACATGCTTCAATATCTCAAAACCACCAAAAGTTGGATTACAAATTTATTTGCTCATGCATTCTTGGTATGTCGAATCTTATATTAAATTTTATTATTTTGAAATAGAAAAAATATACTAATTTTCATCCTATTACATCACAATAAATTTAAAAACTCCCTCATTATATGAAATGCAGGTATGGTGAAAGAAGAACCATCAGTGCCTATTTCGTTAAACAATTCAATAATTACAAAGGATATATATGTAAAAAAAATAAATGTTTCTAAAATTTTGTAAAAGTTCTTAAGTTAAAGGTTGGCAAAAAAACATTCAAAGATGTTTTATTTCTTGGATTGAAAGGAATACTAGTTTTGACCATAGTTCTCACAAGTCTCTTTTCGCATGAAATTGATTACAAATAATAAAAATAAATTAACGTGTATTTAAGTTTTAAACTTTAAACTCAAATTAACTGTCAATAAAAATAACTCTCAAATTTACTTTTAAATATTTTTGGTCCGGTGCATTCAATCTTTCTTAAATAAATTGAAGTAGCTTAAACAAAAACAAATTTGTTTAAGAATAAAATGCATGTTAAAACCAAATATATATCTTATTTATAAAATCCTTTCAACTAAATCAGATAAATTATAAAATTTGTAAAAGATAATAATGTATTGTTTTTTAACGAATTAATTACTACAATCTTACTTAAAGTAAAACTTCTGTTATGTTAATTTTCATAAAATTATTATTTTCTTAATTTATTATAATTATTCAATAATAATTTTGTTTCTTAAATCATAAATTTTTTTAAAAATAAGTAATGTTTTAAATAAATTTTATGACATAATTATTATATTTTATTGCTAATTTTTATGAATATAATATTTTAAATATGTTTATAATTATTTTTTTTTTCATATTTTATCTATTCTATAATATAATTGTATATGTTCTTTTAATAAAAATACTGTATTTACTATATCTAATATTTTTTATTTCATTGATTTTTTTATATATCAATCTACTATCAAAATATGAAAATTTGTTATTTCTTCTACATTAATTATTTAACATTTTCACTGCATTCTATATATATTTTTTCATTATCATGCTTTTTATTTTTTTTAAACTATATATTTATATATATTATTCTTTCCTCTTAATTTATCAAGTTATTAAATTAGAATTTTATTTATTTATTTAATAATTAATACATATTCTGGATTACTATAATTTTTATTTATTACATTTTTAAACAACTAATTATAAATAATAACATATATATTATATAATTTCTAATACAATTTATCTAAAATTTTATTTGTTACAAAATAAATAAATTAATTTATAAAATATTTAAAAACTAGAAATAATTTGTACACCTCTGCAGCTTTGATATGGATTTGAAGAAACCCTCTTCTTCACGAGCTCCACTCACTCACGAGCTAAGCACTTACCCACAATTTCACCTGCACCACAATCTCAATATTACATACATGCAATTTCATATTTAAAAAGCAAAATATTTCAAAATATTCATCTCATTACCTTATAATAATTTTTTTTCTCAAAAATCTTAATACCAGAAGCTAACAAATTACCAATATACTCTGTATTTTTTTCGGCAACGGCAAAGCTCTGCAACCAAATGCGCAATGAAGAAGATGAAGGAGAAACGGAAGAAAGGAAGAGAAGTCTGCGCTCCAAACAGTCAAATTTTTCTGCCATGTGGACCAATGAAAAGAGTGTCGTTCCTGACCCTGACAACTGTCTTGAATCGTCACTGACTACTGACACTGACGTCGGCTCTAACTCAGACGATTCTTTACGATTTATACATTTAGCTTCGTTCTTCCTCACTGTCGATTCATTTTGAATTATTTCAATTTTTTTTTCATTTATTTGGTATGACACGTGTCCCACAAATACTAGAGTCGTCTGTTAATTAGACGATTTTACTTTTTGGTGACGTCCCTGTTCTAAATAATTTTACTGCGTGGCCACCCAACTCCAGGCTGAGAATTTGTTTGCATGCATGCCTATTTTGATAATTTGTTTTCAAAATAACCCCAAAAGGGGAAAAAGCCCACACTTTAAAGTTAATTGTAATTTAGAATTGAAACAAAATTATTTCTTTTACATTATGCGCAAAATATTATTTCATATATAAATTAATTTTGAACACCAATTATATCAAAATTAGTTCTACAAAAATGAAAAATCTAAGCCAAATGAATCTTAAACTGAGCAAGTATTTTCATACTTCAATTTACCACACCCAGCTGACCTATTGTGGTGTCATCGTTAGGTCATCCACTCTTTCAATAGAGAAAAGGGTTAAATCAATACACGTCTTTTTCATTTTTATTTTTATCATATGACCAATGTGCATCTGCCACCTCTAGAATTTTGGTTCGTTAAACACAAAAACATGATATTTTCAACTAAATTGTACATATATGGGATTTTAAAAAATTGTCATGAGTTTTCCTGAAAAAAAAAAAAAACATTTCTTTATTTATCAATGTCGTCTAATCCATCAAGTGTTGATTAGGAGATCTGAAAAAAAAAGAAAAAAAAGACGCTAATGACAATTTTTTGGGTTAAAAATCTCTCTACTGCAGTGTCAAGTTCTTCATATTTATATGATATTAAAGTTTATTACGCTCAGCATTTTTTTTTATTTATTATTATTATTATTATTATACAACCCTTATTTTATGTACTAATCTTGCATTATACTCTTACATGTTTCTTTATTTGACAATTTATATCTTCTTCAAGCATATATACTATTAATTCTCACGTGATTTTTTTTATTTTGTAAATAATGATTAAGGTAAGTAAATCCCATTCCTTACTAGATATTAAAATATAATCTAAAACAGTAAAAACACTCAACACACCAATTTAATTAAAGTAATCATAATATACCAAATTGATAGCTCAATATGCACACACTATATATAATGCTTACCGACGAACTTCTCTACCAAATTTGTCAATGGAAAGGGATACGTATTGACTTAATTGCTAATAATAAAGTAAAACGTGAGAAGCTCATCTGTTGTCAACGTTGTCTACATTATTGTTTTCTTTTTGTTTCTGTTTAGTGTCACCTTCTCATATATGCGTTGCCTTGAATATTGAAGGTTCATGAGTTACCCTTTTAATTATCTTCATCGCAATCAATTAGATAAGTTTAACTGTGAATTGAAAGAGACTTGCAGAGAAGATTAATTTAAGAAGATAAAGAAAAATCAAATAGTAAGACAACGCATGATATGATAACCATCAATATGCATGTAAATATCTTAGATTACCCTATCATAATAATTAAATAAAGTACACTCTGTCTAATAAATAATAAGAAGAAGAACGATAACTAGAAAATATAGAAAACTAAACAGTGCATGTCACGATGTGTGTATGATTGACGAACTTTTACTTTCTTCCCACTTGCAAAGTATATCGTTAGCTTAGTGTATACCATGTTGGGGACTTATTAATGCAAATTTCATGTTAGAGGGAGAGAGCATCTTCTTGTGTTCAAACTTATTTCCTTATCATATGACAACATATTTATTTATATATCTATTTTTGGTCTAGCCCACTTATAATAGGTTTTACTATTATTATTATTATTATTATTATTATGACCTAAGCTAAGAAATGATATATAATGATTATGACTTTCTTTTAATATAAAAAAGTGTAACATCGGATTGGATTGTAGGTGCTGGAATTGGATTCTGACCTGACACCATCCTTATTTAAAAACAAATAAATAAATAAATATATATATATATATATATATATAATCCCAAAAATACCCTCAAAAAAATATCTTCTATCTACTTCTGAAAAAACGTGAAAATTTTAGGGATTGCAGAATTTTTAGCTATTTAATTTTAGAAGCTATTAAAATGAAGTTTCAGAAACTTAATTTTCAAAAGTGTGTTTTTAAGACCTCTTGAAATTAAGTTTTCAAAATGTTATTTCGTAAATGATAGATCTTATAGAAACTCGTTTTCAGAATTAGTTTATATATATTTCCAAAAATAAAGTTTAAGAATAATATTCGATAAGACTTACGAAAACTTATTTTCGAATGTAGTATCAAATAGGGACACACATAAATTTGAGGTTGGTGTTAAATACAACAGTATTTTGAAAAACAAAAACTACAAAAAATTTAAGTGGGGTGAATTGAAAAAAGGAGGTAGTGAAAAAATAATGGCATAAGCCCAAGACATGTGGAATGATGAGTAATTGGGCAAACTCTTATGAGAAGTCACTTTGAAACGGCAGAGTTCCTAAACCCTAAATTGATTTTATACTTGTTTGATCTTTTTCTCTCAATTTTTATTATGCAATTTTGTCCCTTTAATTTATAATTTATTTGACTTTTCCCTCCAATTTTTAATTGAACAACTTTAGTTTTTATTTTTTATTTTATATTTATTAATCTGTCATTCAAATTTTAACAGAGTGATAAGCTAGTTGTTAATTATATTAAAGTGTTCATATTTATTTTGTAATTATTTATGTTGATGTATCTATGTTAATTATGTTGATGAGTTTACGTGCTTATGTTCGAAAGTGAACAATTTCTTAGTATTTAACTATGAAAATCAAAGAGCAAAACAATGACTACACATCCATGCATGTTATCAATTTTTAAAAAAAATAAAATAGGGAGACCAAAATTATGCAACTGAAAATTAGGAAACTAAAATTACGCAAGCATCAAAGTATTCTCAATTAATAATTAGATATTAATTGCACAAGTATCAAAGAATGGAAAGTTTTGTAATTGAACAAGTAAAAGAAAATATTGAAAAATTTAAACTTTATTAAATTGAATTAAAAGTTCAAAACCTTTCATATGTACATAGACAAAGATGAAACGACAAAGCTAGTTCAGACTATATTATTCGTACACTATTAACATTATTTGCATCCCATACTATTGGTACACCCTTTCTTAAACGTGTCTTATTTGGAAGAAAAAAAAAAGTATGTTATAATGTGTGTGCTTTATTTTATAATTAAAAATAATAATATAAACTTAATATATCATATAACGTTTTTTTTTCTCAAATATTATATCATATCATATCGTGACAATAGAAACAGTAGAAGAAGAAATCAGAACTATAAAATACAAACCATTCATCCAAATATGGAAAAGCATAAAAAGAATGAAAAATCACAATCAATAGGTTTGAAAATACGTAGAAAACCTATAAACATGCATTCAACATACAAATTACAATTAGTAACATTGCATTAAACATAAATCCTTGTCCATTCAAATGTGAATCCAAGCATGCACTAAGTAGTAACTGACATTTTCAGGTTTTTCATATATAAAGCAGTTAGACCAACAAAAACCTCACAATTGTCTGTTTGAAGAGTAGCAAAACTTTGGAAAAATGAATAACTTGTTAACGCCTAACACAACAATTACATGATTGAAGTCCAATCCTTTATACTTTCATATATATAAGTGTAATAGGCAAACTTGCCACTGCTGGTCCCCTATATTCTTCATGGATGCAATGTTAACCGAAGTAACATATTTGGGGGTTGTAATTAATGATTTGGGTACCAAAACATGCCTTTTATGCCCTCCGGGTCAGCTTCAAAACCTAAATTGCGGTAAAACTCCACAACTGCATTCACATACAAAAGCAAAGAGTGAAACTCCAATTTCTCATTCACACAACCATGAAAGAGCATGAAACTCCAAACTTCCAAGTTCCAACCAATACTAATTAAACTACATTCCCAACTAGGATGGAATATTCATCACGAAGGGAATGCAGTAGCCTTTAGTTGGATCAAAACAATAGCATTGATCAAGTTTATGATTTAATTAGGAAAAGACTGGAGGCAAAATATTCATCCAGATGAAGTCACAAACTTGCAGCAATAATAGTAAAAGAAGAACATTGTTAAGTTACATGGGTGAAAATATTCCTAAATGAAGGTTCTCTAATGTGGCCCTTAAAATTTATGACATTGCTTTGTATCCACTTAAACCAAACCATAGAAAGCATGGCACAAGCCAACAGAATAAGAAAGCATTTTGTATCCACTGAAATAAAAGAACATCAACGATACTATGCATAAAGCTATCGATGTTGTTATACCTTGACTATCTGCAAACAAAGTTATATTGCCAATGTCCTTCTGCAGAAGAGCTCGAATGAGTTTCTCTACAAGAGCTTTACCAAGACCTTGGCCCTATACAACAAAATCCACATCAATAAGTGGTACCCCAGCCCATATGTAGCCATAATTTAAGCTTACATTAGAACAGGACAAATGGAGGTATATAAGCCCAAGAACAATTTGGCATAATGCCTGAATCCTACACTGCCAAATGTGTTTTACAATTCATCCAACAATATCCCAGATTTAAGATGAAATAGTTAGCTTTCTCTGGGGCTGTGTTTGGGAGTTTTGAAGGAGATCAAGCAGAGTGGTTCATAATGGAGTTGTTTGAAATAGAATGGAGTGGAAAAGTTAAAGAGTACCACTCTGTTGTTTGGCAGATTTAATGAGGGAATGGATGGGATTCTCTTCCATTGTTCGGGGGTCACAGTGGCAGTTAAAAGAGTGGAGTGAATCACAAATTTAAATTCAACTACTACATTTTTATTTTATTGCTCACTCACTTTACTGATCATTCATCTTATAACATAATTGTTTACATCTGAATGAATCTCAATACATGTGTAAAATATTTCTTTACACAAATTGTTTACACCTGAATGAATCAAATTTATCTGTTTCCTTCCCATTTCAATGATTGCTTGAATCAAGTTAATGCATAATTATTTCAAGAATGAATGTACAAATACATTGCATGTAAGGGAAGTAAGCAAAATATTCACATGCAATTAGCACTTAGCTCATACACTTTTATTGAACTGACAAAAATTTAATGATGTCTTTTAACCTGAAAACCAATTCATTTTGTCGGTAATTGAGAAAATTGTCAAGAAATTTTGGCTTGATGCCCTCTTTGATTCTGATTTCCTCTTTATATAGTACAAGGTCATTTACAGCTCTTAATTACAAAAGGATTCTAATTGGTAATTTGTAGAACCTAAATTGGGAAGGCTACCTATGTGTACCAACTTTACAAAATTTATATGCACCACTGTGAAAACAAACAGCAAAGCATACTTGCACAATATACAAAGCAAAATAAGAGACTTGAGTCAGGAAGAAAAGCACAAGAAGAGAAGAATTACAAATGGAAAGGAGAAAAACTATGGAGAGGTTAGATTAGGTTTAGAACTTTCGTTAAAATGGGGAAATTCTGCAGACAAGCCAAAAGCTATTGTTTAGGAGATAAAATGAGAATTTGAGTGGTATGAAAAGGGTTAAGATATTAAGTGATCATAAAAAGCCAGAAGGGAGAAGAGTTCAATTCCAGATTCTTCTCAAATTGGGGGTATAACCATATAACTGATTGATTGATTGAAGGTCTAAGAGGTATCGAATGATTTAGGTTCGCCTTCAACCACTTCACTACATTATTTAGAAAACTGACAACCGTGGGTTATGCTCCTCTTATCACTCCATTCTATCCTTTCAAACATAGCCTAATTTCATGTGCATTTATTCTCTCCCCCCCCCCCCCAAGCACAATTCCAAGCTTATGATCGAAAATATGTTGTTTACAGAGCATAATTATTGACATGGTAAGCTTTCTTTGGCCTCAAACACCCCCTAAAAATATAGATTGACCGTCAATTCACTAATAATTCAATATATTACATTAGACTAAAATATATTACACATGAACGTGGGATTTACTAAATTTCACTTATGGAAATGAACTCTTTTAAGTAAATGACAGCCAAGTTTTTGTTCAAATCAATGTTTGGTTGACAGAAAATACCTGGTAGCTAGGATCAACCAGGACATCCCAAATTGTGGCATTGAAGGCATGGTCTGATGTAGCACGGGCCATGCCAATTAATCTCTTTTGTTCATTCCCCTCTGTGAAATAACTTCGCCAAGTACACTAAGATGTTCATCAAATAGGTTTAGATAGCTACAAGCATAACCAGCTAACTAATTAAATAAACAGAGGCACAGCAAGATGTCATACAATTTTTACCTGACCCAGGTGACTTTCTTATAGAGTGCAGTGAGGCCACTATATAGCTATTTTTCAAAGCAGCAGCTAATTTTGACAATGGTCTACGCGGCCACCCTACCTGTTTAAGAGATGAACCATCTATTTTACTAAGGGCATGTTGGATAAAACAACAAATTAAGTCTGAAAATTCAGTATTCAAGTTTTTGAGAAGAGAATTTATAAACTGTATCTGTAAATTATAATGATTAAAAAATGGAAGTGCTGAAGATGAATTTAAGGAAAATATACTAAGGAAACTACAGTCATGAGTAATGTACAAGAGGTAAATGAGTCCTTAATGTTGTTACACAATTTCTTCTAATATGATCTGAGTGTATGGATTTCTGTCTGAAAATTAACTTCAAAACTAGAATACACATAATCACTACCTTACATAAGAAACATTAAAACAAAACAACACAACATAAGGACACACTAGATAAACACCTTATCACAGAGGGCTTGAAGATCATAAACATCAATGTCTCCACCCGAAGAGAATACTATTTGCTCAATTGTTCCATCAGGTTCTGTCTTTTCCACAAGGACAAACTCTTGAGGCAGAGGTTCCTCATCTTCTTCATCTATTGATGGTGGATCAATGACTTGCGTTGTGTTATTCTTCATTAACCTGAAAGGGGGTACAAGTCGTTGAGCCAAGGGAATTTTCAAGACAATAGATATACTGATCATCATATGTGATACTCCTACACCTTAGGCTGTTTCAGCAGTCTTAGAATTCAATAGCAGGGAGCACATACATCTATCTATATTAATCAAAGAAAAAATATCCATATGCATAACATTGGGAGAATGGTATATCCCAAACCTACTAAGTCACATGACAAATGTGAGAACCATCCATGATCCATGCAAGTTGAAGAAATAATTATTCAATCCTACACACTCAATATTCTACCAAAATAAGGCGCAACCAAAGTTGCCAATTTGCTGTGAATTTCTAGAATAAAAGTCAAGTGCCCTTATTGAATTCCTTTTACATCCAACGTGAACAATCAAATTTGAAGGTACCCAGATTTAATTGATTCCCAGAATCCAGCCTTGAGCTGAAATGTCTTGAACTTTCTGGTTGCTGCAATCAACAGAGAAAGCATTATATTAAATCAACTATGCTAAGAAATTAACAGAAGGGTCCATAACCAAGAAGCAAGAGTGTGTGTGTGTACCTGTAGTAGCAAAGGAGTAATTAAGATTGGAAGGAACAAACAATTGAGTTTGAGTAGAAAATGGACAATGGGTATTAAAGGGAAGAACATAGAACCTGCAAAACCCATATAAAATAATAATAACAATAGAAGTAACTGAAAGACAGTTATAGAAGGTGTGAAGAGAAAAACAAAGAGAACTCACGAAGAAGAAACAGCATTGAGATTGAGGGTTAGCATTGTTTGATGCGGTGTGTGTGTCTTGGCCACTCAACCAGACACTCGTATAGATTTAGTTGCTGACGGATGATGCATGTATGTGTATGTGGGTATCGTATGCACCATGTTATGCGTATCTTGCATTTTTTTTTTTCGTGTGTGTTTTAGGCCTAACACATTCTCTCTTTCTTCTCTCAAACTGGGCCTACCCATGTTTTTTGGGGCTCCATGCATCCCTCAGTGCCACAAGCCCAAATTTAGGCATATCCACGCACATAAAGTAAGATTACTTTTTTTTTTTTGTTTTCATCTTTGACTCCATCATCTCTCATTTTATCATTTATTTTATTTTTATTATTCTTTTATTACATTTGACTCCTTTCTTTTTTACATCCAAACCCACTGATATTATGTCTATACTTATGCTAATCCATTCGAAAAAAAAAAGGAAAAAAAAAGAAGATAAGTTTATTTCTTATGTTTAAGTTTATGCTAAAAAAAAAGTGGAAGATTTATTTTAAATTTTATTGAGTTTTATGTTTAAAGAATTGTATTTTTGAGTTTTCTCTATTGTATATTGTTATAATACTTTTTATATTTAACATCTTTTAATTATATCTTTTAATTATAAGTGTTGTTAACCTTTTTAATCAACAAATATATAAAAAAAAAAAAAAGGACGATCAAAATGAAAAATTAGTGTCAAGAGACAGAAAGAAAGAAACCACTCTCTTATAGTCATTTGTGTGGAGCTCTCACTCTTCATTTAGAATTATTTTTTTGTGTGTATGTGTGGGACTTTTTATTAAGATAAGTGTCATATTTTAGTAGTTGTCAGTGTATATTTTGACACTTATTTGATTCTTTTTCACATAGTTTATACTTAAATTTCATAAAGTTTACATTTTAATATATTTAAGTTCATGTTATTTAAATTTAGCAACTTTAATCTTACTTTTGTCAAATAATAAAAGGTATTTGATCCACTTTTATTGTGTGAATTTTCTTAAGGACAAAAGCTTATAGCTTTATTATATGTTCAAAACATTCTTCACATGTTTTATTTTAAGAGTTTTTACCGTTTCTCATTAATAGAAATGACTTGAGCTTGTTTTATATTATAGTTTTAATTTCGTATTTTAAGCTAATCTGATGTTTGTCTACTTTTTTGTCTATAACTTTTTCTACATGTATTATTTTTGGCTGATTGTAGTTGCATTGAATTCTACACATCCAGGGCTTCAAAATACATATATGATTTGTTAGATTTAGAGTTATTTTCTATTTTTTATGATATTTAAAGATGAAACAGATTTGTTGTAGTTATCCAGATTTTCAAGTCTCGCTCAAGTGAGGTAATTCTCGCTTGAGCAATAAATGTAGAATTCATATAATATTTTTGCTGGTTTTCTTGTTTAAGCGATAATGGCCCTCGTCCGAGCAAGAAATCTTGCAACAAACTTTGCTCCCGGGTTATTTTTCGCTTAAGCAAGAATGTGAGAAATGGCGTTTAAGTAAGAATTTGAGCAAGAAATCTTATAGTAGACTTTTCTTTCTGGTTATTTTTCGCTTGAGCAACAATTAACTCGCTTGAGCAAGAATTCACTTATTGCCCTACAAAAATAGAAGATTTAGCTCCAAAAGAAAGAGTCAAAGAGGGCTTTGGAACCCAACACACAGTGATCTAATTTGACATTGAAGAGTAGTGGAGGGGCTTAGGAAAGTGACCAAGAACCATTGGAGAACTAATTTCTATCATTTTCCTTGCATTTTCTTATTGTAATACACGTCATGGCTATAACTCTCTAGGGATTAGATGTAATCTTCATACTCTGAATGTTTTTGTACTTGATTGTAATCCTTATTTCTACTCTAAAGGAATTGATTCATGATTCGAAAATTCAGAATGAGTTGAAAAACTACCTTGGAAATCAGTTGGAATAAACTCACACAATAGGTTAAAACTCTGAAATAGATTTTAATCTATTGTATATTATATAACTCTTACTAGTAATATTGGATTATTTGTTATTTAGGTAAGGAATAATCAGTTAATAAATATATTTTAGAATCTCATGTAAAATAAATCTAACGAGTGAATATAATGAGATTGCATCATAGAATTTTGGTAATTGTTAATGTATGTTAGAATAAAAAATAGGAAGAAGATGATAGATGAAGTAAAATTCTCAATCTTATCATAGTAGTTTAATTTACTTTTATTTGCATTTATTTTCTATAAATCAAACTATAAAAAATGCAAAATATTACTTAGTTGTACATTTATAAATATTTAAGAATTTATTAATTTTAATTTGGATAGTTAAAATCGTTTAAGTAGCCACATTCTCTATGGATAAAATAACCCTTTATATTACATAAAAAACTTAATAAACTTGGTAAAATCATAATATAACACTATCCTTATTTTTTCTTATTTTTTTATCTTTTTTTTTAATAACATTTTTGGAGCACTCTATAATAGCTTCTTCATTGTTATAGTACCATGGGTATCATTAAATTGTTATTGAGCATTTCTTGTTAATTTTGATTATTTGACTAATCTACACAATTACGGGTTATATACTAATATTAATAAAAAAATCAATATAAAAATAATCTTCACGATGTACAAAAGGATCATTAGACTTTTTTTTTATTAATATGGACTCAATTTTAAAACTATTTTTTAATATAGATTTAGTTAAAAATATATTTACTATTAAAATTATTTTTATCACGTTACTTTAAATATTATACATTGTGAGGGTAATATTTAATTTTATTTAAAAAAAAAAGTATTTCTCGTAAAGTCAAGATACACATTCTCTTTTTTCTCTTTTGGTACATTTAAAAAATTGAATTTCACATCAAATACATACTCTCTCTCTTCCATATTAAGATTGTTAAACAATGCGAAAGGAAGATTAATTTGATTTCTCGTTTTAATAATTTAAAAAATATATTTTTGCAATTTTAGCTTGAATTATATCTTGTAATTAATACATTTTTTATATTTTTGTTTTAAAAAAAATACACTAATTGGATGTTGTAGTTACTAAAAAAAAAAAATCTTAATCCAATAATCTTTTACAACCATGTAAAGCTACTGGTTTAAATGATAAGTTTTGAAAGAAGACTTTAATTCTTAAAACTTGATTGTTGCATGGTTTATAGAAACTTATATAAGAAATCATATGTAACAATTATATTTATGTTTTCTGTGATTTATTTATTAATAATTGAGTAACTACTACTCTTAAAGTCTTAGAAGTATTACTTAAAAATAATTAATAGTTTTTATCGAAAGACATTTTATAATTTTTATGTACTATATATTTATTTTAATAAATAAAATTAATAAAATTATAATTAAAGATATAAATATATTATCAGTTGTTATATATTCACAAGATTTTGATTTAAATATATTATTAGTTGTCGTTATTTTTATATTTATTATTATTTTTATCTATAGTAAATTAACATAGTTCACTAATAGATTGTTAAATGTCAATTTTTCTCCTTCGTGTAAGTAAAAGAAATTAAAAAGGCTAAATTTAAAAATATTAAGGATTAAAATAAAAATTATTTTAAAAACTAACAACATACCCTGAAAACTGTAATTAATAAGAGAATAAACAAATTTTTATCAATGACATTAACTATTGTTATAATTTACTTTACATATTTTATTATTTAAAATTTAATATACTCACTTCATAAACACTAGATATGATAACTTTAAAAAATAAATTAGCAAAAAGAAAAATAAATTGTGAGAGTAGAGGAGAAGTAATATGGAATGTGACTGACTATTCATGGATTTGATTGAATCAATTTTTTAGAAAAATTTTAATTTAATTCAAACATAAAAATATAGTATGATTTGATTTTGATTGCTTTGAAAAAAATTAATTTAGTCTGATTTAATTAAAGTAATTTGAATTGGATTAGATAATTCAATTTTTATAATTTTTAAATTTTATTAAAAAGTAATAAATGAATGATTTTATCACTTTTATATAATTTTGAAATAAATTTAATTTTGATATTAAATATAAATTTATATAAAAAAAATATGATATACAAATATAATTTTAAATTATTCTAAAAATAATTAGATAATCATAAAAATATAAAATACATTTCTAAAAGATAATAACATGATATAAATTAAAATATAAAATCATAAAAATAAAGTAGTGAGGGTTAGATTATACTAGTATTTTTGTATACTATTACATAAGGAAAACATTGGTGAAAAGGGAAAGTTATCAATATCTAACTAGACGCCAGACAGGAAGGAATATACCTCTGAATTCGCACGTTTGCCACTCTACCCACTATCTATGAAGTGTCTAAGATTACTATTTAAAGAATTGAAAATAAGATTTTTTATTAAAAATTATAAACTATTAATAATATTTTTAAATATTACTATGAATGTAGATAAACATGTAGAGAATTATTATTCCAGTAAAAAAAACTGGTGAAAATAACAGTATATAGACCAAATAATATTTTTTTAAGATTTAACTAGTATTTATTTTCAGTAATTAACAAATAATGTTGATAAATAAAAATAATTTTTTTAGTGTAATTTAAAAATATAATGAAAAATCATATAAAATTAATTTTATTAAATATTATAATTTTAATAAAAAAATAAATTTTTGATTAGATCATAAAAAATGGGAAAGAAATAAGAAGGAGGGGTGTGTTGTGTCTCTAATAATTGCATCTTTATTGAGTTCCGTGTCAGCTTGGTAGCATGGATCCATGGCACCAACACTACATGTCAGATGTCCTTGGACCACTTTTTCTTTTGAATCTTTCCCTTTTTTTCTGCCTTCTAAGCTCCAACATACACCATTCCCATCTCAGCTCCATATGGATTATGCCCTACCTGTCACCCCTTTTGCTTTTCACCCACAATTACTACCATTACCAATGATCCTTTCACACATTTTATCTTATATAAAAGCTAGATTAAGGTCATCTACAATGCTTAAATATACTTTTCATCTCTACATTTTTCTAATTTTTTTATTTTAATCTCTTTTCTTTTTAATTTTGATTGCTGGTTTTTGTAAATTTAATATGTTTCATTATTAGTAACCATTAGATAATAGCGTGATTAATCACATGTCTTTCTTTTTTTTAAAAATTACATTAAGAAAATGAATAATAACAAACAAAAAAATCATAAAAATATAAGATTCACAGTTTTTTCTGAAAGAAAATAACATTTAAAATTCACAAAATATTTTGAAACACACATTAATATATGCAATGACTTTAAGCATTTATCATTATTTTTAATTTATAAAAAATTATTCATTGTTAAAAAATTTATACTATCAACTATTTAAATTTTTTTAACTAGTACAATATTGTTCTAAATAAAATGTTATATAGTAAAATTTTATTAAAAATTCATACATTCAATACAATTTAATACATTAGGACTATTAAATATTACAATTTTTAATAAAAGTTTACTATATATAAATTTTATCACATGTAACATTATATATGTTAATAAATTAATTTAAAAAATATTTTTTATATAGCTTTTAATGATATAAAAAATTTTACATCATGAATCTATTTTAATTAATTTTTCTTGTCTAAAAGTTTAATTTTGATACAGATTGAAAAAAAATAAATTTGATCAAATGTCGTTACATTTTCAATTCATGTGATACACAGAAAGAGAATAACAAGAAGAAGAAATTCATTTTTGAGCTTTCAAGTCCACTGTAACTCCTATAAAAAAAAAATTAAAGCCAAGCAAAATGTAAGGCTGAAAATTTGATTTTAATTAGCAAATTAATCTATTCTGTGTAACAGTGATAATAATGGCGATATTAAGGCCATAATTGGAATGCATGGTTTTGGTGATTTCAAAATCAAAACCCAAAAAAGCAGAGTGACAAAGCGCTGTTATGTTTGCAAATTTGACCATTGCAGTCAGTGTTTTGTAACATAACGTGTCAACGTCCAAGGCCAACAGTGATACTTGATTGGATATTTACATGTGAACATGAACTCTGTACACTGTAGTGCATAGTGTATAGTGATAGTATTATTATACCACAAAAGCCAGAAACAAAAGCAACCAAAAAGCAAAAGATATATATGGCTAATGCTATACACAGCACATGTTATGAAAATGAAAAGAAAAAGCTATGTTGTATGTATGGCATGGCAATTGTGAATAATTGATGGGTATGATAAGGGTCTTTTGGGGCGTTTACTCCAAAATATTCTTCAACCTGCAGTCTACCGTACCCATCATTTGATAGTTTAATCATCCACATCCATAGGCCACAGTTTGTGTTGCTGTTACTGAAACATACACACTACTTTCTTCTTACCACATACAAAGAAAATGGTTTCTGAAAACTCTCTCTCTTCTTCTAAACGATCTCCAGCTACTCCTAAGTTTTGTAACTCATTCACTACTAGGTACTTCAGCAACACCCTCACCCCTCTTTTTGCTTCTGAGTTCTATATCTTTGTGTATGTTTTGATGTGTTTTTTTCAAAAGAAAATAGTTGTTTATTTCTTAAAATCTCTCTCATAAAACTATTGATAAATGATTTTTTTTTTTCAAAATAAGTTGAATTAAACATGCATTGTTATGTTTTCTATGTTTTGTGGGATTGTAATATAATTGTCAGTCTTTGTTTTATTCGACCGTAGATTAAAAAATATTAGTCAATGTGCTTGTTTTGCTAGTCTTCATTTCATTCAAGTTCTATATTACTGGTGTTGATAAGTTGAGGTGTTTGGTTGTTGTATGCATTTCAATTGTGATTATCTGAAGTCATGGGAAATTCAATAAGAATTTCATGCTTAAAGACAACATTTTGACATGCTGTTATTCTGAACTACCCCATTTCTTTCTATTGTCATATTGTTCTTTTTGATTGTAGGATTTTTGCTGATGTTGCTGGTGACATTACGATCGTTGTTGATGGGGAATCATTTCTGTTGCATAAGGTAAATCTTTCATGATGCTGTTGACAACTGTTCGACACATTCATGAGTTTGTTCTATTTGTCATTTTGAATTGCAAGTTTTATCTGGTAAAATGTAGTTGTTACAGCTTTGAATTTGGGCAATTCTCTTTTACCAGACACTATGATGAACTGTATGTCCTAGAATCCATAATATGTTAACAAGAAACTGAAATCAACCACTATTAGCCCAAAGTCTAGCCTACTTTAGAATATCAAAGAAAAAGTTGATAAATTCTATTTGGGTACATAGTCAACTCAAGACTATTCAGATGATTACTTCAAATTTACTTTCTGCTGGTTCATGTAGTTTCCTTTGGTGACCTTAAGTGGGAAGATTAGGAAGATGGTTGCTGAAGCCAAAGGGACCAATGTTTCAAACTTGGAGCTCCTCAACTTTCCAGGGGGGCACCAGACATTCGAACTTGCCATGAAGTTCTGTTATGGGATGAATTTTGAGATTACAACATTTAATGTTGCTCGGCTACGTTGTGCAGCTGAGTACCTTGAAATGACAGAAGAATACAGGGAGCAAAACCTCATCTCAAGATCAGAGATTTATCTGAATGAGATTGTCTTTCAAAACCTTCAGAAGTCAGTGGAAGTGCTATCCACCTGCGAGATGTTACCTTCAAATATAGTGGAGGAAATTGAGATATCAAATGGATGTATAGAAGCTATTGCAATGAATGCTTGCAAGGAGCAACTGGTTTCTGGTTTGTCTAAATTAGATTGTGATGGTGAATCTAGAGAACTCAAGGAGGAGGATTGTGTTGCATGGTGGGTTGAGGATCTCTCAGTATTGCGCATTGATTACTTCCAGAGAGTTATATGTGCCATGGGAAGAATGGGAGTTAGATCAGACAGCATTATTGCTTCACTCATGCATTATGCTCAATCATCATTGAAGGGTATTGGAAAGTGTCAATTTTGGAATCCATCAAGGACAAATTCAAGTCCAACCACTGTAGAAAAGGACCAGAGGATAATAGTAGAAACTCTTGCAAGTCTAATGCCAACAGACAAGAGCTCTTCCATTCCCTTGACATTTTTGTTTGGCATGTTAAAGATGGCTATTATGCTGGGTGCCACCATTCCCTGTAGACTGGAGCTTGAAAGGAGAATCGCGTTACGGTTGGACATGGTTTCACTGGATGATCTTCTTATACCATCTCTACAGACTGGAGACTCCTTGTTTGATGTTGATACAGTTCACAGGCTACTGCTGAATTTCTTGCAGCGAGTTGAAGAGGAAGAAACTGAAGATTATGGGTATGAATCTGATGGGCTTGGTTCTACTGGCCATGGTTCTCTTCTAAAAGTGGGGCAGCTAATTGATGCTTATTTAGCAGAAATTGCTCCTGATCCTTACTTAAGTCTACAGAAATTCATTGCTTTGATTGAGATACTTCCTTATTATGCTCGTGTTATTGATGATGGCCTTTATAGAGCTGTGGACATTTATTTGAAGGTAAATTTTCTAGGACTATATATAGGGAAGATTTTTCTCTGATTCCAATTGTTAGGCACTCCTTAATTTAACCTCTTTCTCTATCAGATAAAACTTAGATACAGTACCTTAGATGTTTATGGTGTAGTTATCTAATCAAAATTCGAGTTTCATTTTAGTAATCAACATTTTTGCTTTTAGGGTATTTTTGTTTTCCAGAAGTACTTACTCAGAAGTTAATTCAAACTGGGCTATAACAAAGGTCAATATAATATGTTAACACTGATTTTTCAAGATGAAACTCTGATTTTGACTGAAGAAGAAAACCAAAAATACTTTTGAGTACAGTACCTAAGTTTTGTCCGTCTCAATCATGCAGCAGTCACACTAGGAAAACTAATCAGTTTAGTGTGTTTGTTAATCATTTTTCCTTCTTCATGTTGACAATGGAAAACCTTTTTGCTCCATGTTCAGGCACATCCAGCAATAACAGAACAAGAATGCAAGAAGCTCTGCAAGTTGATAGACTGTCAGAAGTTGTCTCAAGAAGCATGCAACCATGCTGCTCAGAATGAAAGGCTTCCACTGCAGATGGTGGTACAAGTACTGTATTTTGAGCAGCTTCGTTTGAAGAATGCATTATCAGGGAGTTCAGGAGAAGGGCTGCTATCACAGAGAATAAGCAGTGGTGTTCCAAGTGCAGCCATGTCTCCTAGGGACAACTATGCTTCTCTGCGGCGAGAAAACCGAGAACTGAAGTTAGAGATTTCAAGAATGAGAGTGAGGCTGAGTGAGTTGGAGAAGGAGCAAATGTTCATGAAACAAGGCATGATTGATAAGGCAGGAAATGGAAGAACATTCTTAACATCACTTTCGAAAGGGATAGGGAGAATTGCAATTTTTAGTAGTCAAGGAGGAGGAAAGCGCCAGAAATCAGGTAGGAAGCCTAGGGGTTCAGATGGGAAAACTGGTAGGAGTAGGAGACATTCGGTGTCATAGATATTGTTCTTTTTCTTAGCTAAGTTTTTATAGCACTCTCTATTCTACCTGATCACAAAACGTGTAAATGAGTTAGTCAAAAGTTTTTTCTTCATCCTTGGTCTTTAGTTCGGCAATTGAACTTGAATGCCACATTTTCTCTCTTTTTCTTCCATGCTGTATATGATTTTAGCTGAGAAGCTAAGGTCCTAAACAGTGATACTGCTTGTTGCAGTGACCACAATTCAATGTGTAGCATCACCTTCTCTTAGGAACACAGTAACAGCACCTCCTTCTTTTCTCCCATCTTCTCACCCTCTACATGATAGAATGTACTGATTGTCATACTTCTTACATTGTTTGAAAAGGAAAATGTAATATATGCAACCATAGTTAAATGATTCATCATGGGTTTTAGTTTCCATAACGTTATCATATGGTAAGATAAATAATGACTTGGCTTGTGGATGCCTATCGGTGACACTAATTAATTATCTTCATCCCATTCAGCCCAAAATCTAATTAGTGATACATTACTGGCATGCAGCATGCTTCATAAATCCGAAACTCACATTTTTGTTGGTAGTGTTAGGCCATGCAACATTTTATTATCCTGGCAAAAATAAAAGCGTGAGCATGTAAATTTTACATTGTACTCCCTTACAAAATCCTTGATATATATGAACTATTTTGTCTATGCAAAGAAACGAGTATTTCTAACGAGTTCAGTTTTCCAATCTTGTTCATATTTGGACTAACGCCATCACAACTCCAAATATGTCAGTGGACTAATCACAAAGATATAGCACTCCAACGGTAGACGATGAGCCTTGGCATCTTAACGTGCTGTTTTTTCCCATAATGAAAAGGGCTTGGGTATCTTATTTCTTAGTCACAACCTCGTGTATGGAGCTGCAATGTCCAGGTTATGCAAGCAACAAAATAATCGTCCCATTCTTTCAAGTTTTATTAAAATAAAAGGAAAAAAATAACAAGTTAATCAGATCACTCAACTTGTGAACAGTCAAACACTTGCCTATAATCCTTTCGAGTTCAATAACTAACTACTAGTCTTCGGTTCCACCATTAACAAAATAAAATTTGATAAAACTGTGCATATCATACGAATATAATGGAGAAATATTATTTTATTTTCTGTGCTCAAATATCATGTCAGTAACCTTGTTTCAACTGTTACTCCCAAAAAAATAACCATAGGAACATATTTCAACATGCAATGTGTAAAACTCCGCCATAAACTAATTATCTCTGAAAAATTATTCCATAGATTAAAAAAGTAATCAGATACAACGTCCTAGGACCGTCAGATTTGGTATGCGCACAATGTTTGATAAATTGTTATTGCGCGTCTATATATTCTCTATGAGGCAAAATGTTCCCCTAAGATGAAAGTCTGCCAGCTAGAATTCCACCAAATATGATAGCTCCAAACCACTTGTTTGAGACAAATCTGAAGGGAAAATGAATCGAAAACAAAAAGGTAGCAGAGTCAGCTCATAATGTTCAAATTTAAGAGAATAGAAGTAAGCATTATATAGTAAGTTTATTGAAATGTCAGAAGTTTAACATATGGCAATCAATCAATCAAACAGTTGAAAAATAATCAATAAAAAGATTGAGCAATCACTGAAGTTTATATTTGAGGTTTGTAGCGATCACATAAAACATGCCATCAAGTGTTTGTAGCAAAGCTATATAATTTATTCTTTTAGAAAATGAAAATGAAGTTTGAAAAAAGTGTATCATTATCTCAAAATTGCTTTTCCATGGTACTATCTACCATTAAAAAGAACAAATCCAAGCTCCAACAGATGGTCTAGTGAAAAAATCAAGATTTCAGGTCCTTTCAAAAGCTGCTTTTAGATAACTAAATCATGAGTTTATGCAATGAACCATTCTAACATACTTCCTATTGCAATCAGCGCGTGAGGAAAGGTCGACTGTCCATATTTGCCAGCCTAAGTGTCCAGTTGCAGCTACCAGAGATGCATAATATGGCCAGCCTGCTCCACTTAAATGAATTAGGAGGTAAACAACAATCATGGCAACCTAAACAGTCATGAAAAAAAGAGAAAAAAAATGATGTTGACAAATGAATACCTATTTCAGCATTAAAACCACTGACACCAAGACCACCGAGGCATGCAATCCCAAACCCAGTAATCCACTCCTTTGTTGAATCACCAAAGCGTAAAGCTGTTGATTTAACTCCCACTTTCAGGTCATCTTCTTTATCCTGAATGCCAAGGTCAGAAATATTCTTAGACACTACAAGAATTTTGATTGCATTGCCTCAAACAAAAGATTCAAGTGGAGGATACCAAGTTGTATTGTCATTTAATTTTTGTTTCATAACAACTGTTATAGACAAGACAATCATCTAAACATGGGTAAAATTATACCATGAATTTACACCCTCCATATGTGAAGGAAACATTGATAAGCCCATTAGCAGGAAGAAATTAAGGAATAACGAAGCAAAAAACTCATAATGGTACTCCCCACATCAATGCAAATCATGAAGCAATTAAAGACGGAAGAGCAAAATCGTAGGGATTACATCTTACTAGAAGCAATGCTGTTTTTACCTGATGTGCATAGATAGTATCATACACAAGAGTCCAAAATACTCCAGAGGCATAAAGTGGCAACACAATAGATGGATCCAGGCTTCCTTTAACTGCTGCCCATCCTAACAAGGCCCCCCAATTAAAGGTTAACCCAAGATAGGCTTGAGGCTAACCAATATAGTTACAGAAGCGCACCATATAAAAGCATAATAAGATCAATCATCAAAATAATAATGAAGAGATGAGATATGGGGAAAAAAAACTGCTAGAAAAAACCATAAATGAGGAAACTCATTACCCAAAATGTAAACCTCTTCATGAGGGGATAAGAGAAGACAAGCAACAAGGATGAGGCACCCAAAACACGGCTGCAAGACGTACACAAGCCATAGAATAAAAAAAACTATTTTTTTGCAAAATTCACGTGTTCACGCTTGATATTTAGTTATGCCAGCATATGCAATAGTGATAAGATGGAACTAAAGTCGAAGGATGCATGTCACTTGCATTGCAAGCCGTGTGAAGAAACAAATTTCCATTTCTAATTTTCACTTCCAATTACAAACTGTCACCCTATTTTCATTTTGGTTTCCATTTTCAAATGCTTGCATAAGAAATAACGAAACCAACATTTTATTGTTTTTATTGTTTCTTAAACAAATCTTTGAAAACAAAATAATAAAATGAAAACAAAGTGACATTTTTATCATTAAAAATGAGAACTGAAATGGAAAAAAAATAATTTCCAAACCAAACAGACGGACCCTTATTTTCTTATTTTTAAAAAAGGGATGCATCTATAACCTATACATAACAGTGTTTTACAGGGTATACACCATTGCTGTATCTACTCTCTAAGATAGCATTGGTAGTGGATATAGCAATGCCACATCTTCTTTGTTCCCACATAACAGTATTTTCTAATCATACAATTGACTCAATTTTGCCCATGGTTGACAAGGAGGAGAGGCAGCTGCTCATTGTGAGACTCACAATGCTATGTAGAAACAGTTACCTTTTTCCTTTGCTCATAAGTGGCAGATTAAAGGAGATGGCCTTCTACATTTCTGTTCACATCACTTTAACCAAGTTTCCTCACATTTTTATTAGTTTCAAGGTCTCCTCTGGGAAAGAATCTTGGTTGATTTGCCTCAATAACTGTATACAGTATTTAATCCTAAAAACAATCAAAAGGATTTTGTGTTGCCAGCTTTGCCGATCAGGGTTACTCTACCACAATTGAGGACACGCAACACAGATCATAGTTCCAGCCAGGAAGATTGTATCTTTTATAACTAACCAGAATATTACAAATTAAGTGTCTAAAGCCCCAAAAGAAAAAATATAGAACCTGATCCAATTTAGAAATTCAAAACTAACACTAACCTATAATTGTTCAGTTGTAGAAGAATTCCAAGACCCAAAAGTAATTGAAAACCAAGAAAACAAAGTCCTTGAAATGGTGTCAAAAGACCACTTGCCACAGGTCGCAACTTTGTACGTTCAACCTGCATTTACGATGGTAAGCAATATCATTCAGAAAATAAAATCTAAGATCAATAATAAGTTTATAACCGGGAAAACAAACTGAAGCATTTCTGAAAAGGCTAAGGGAAGAAGTATGACATCACATGCAATAATAAGCTCAATAAATATGAAGTGTTTTTACTAGAACAAAATCATAAAGGTAATGTCATAGCAATAAAATCAAATTAAAAATGACAGTATCCCATGTCCCCAGTGCTAACCTAGGCCATATGAAAAAATATTAGACTTGGCATGACGTTAGCTTTCAGTTCATTCTTCTATCAGTATCTATTATACTAACGAGTTAAACACATCCACATAAACACCCGTCATAGTATTTGCGACACAAAATTATCATCACAATATCTCCTACCAGAAACAATTTAACCAAAAAGAAGCAACTATATTTACCATTGTATCAATATCCCGATCAAGGAGATCATTAATAGTACAGCCGGCACCTCTTAAAAGCAAAGCCCCACATCCAAACAAGGCCAACATCTTAAAATCAGGAAGATTCCCTGGGGTTGCGGCAAAGGTAATTGACCTAAGGCATGATAACTTAGAAACATTAAAAAAAAAAGTGAGAGAGAATTGAGTAAATTCATCGAAAAAATTTATAATTGATCAGAATTGAAAAAAGAATAATGTAGGCATAACAATTAGGTTGCAATAAATAAAGCTGCAGATGTAGATTACAAAACATAAAAAGAACTGGCTTCAGGCCACCAGAACTTCTTCAACTCATCATTACCAATGTCATTATATCAATGGGTTACAACAATATCTAACATTTCCAACTGGCAATTAGCAATCAAGTTCATATCATAAAAACTATAAAGCTCTCCATGTTATATCAATGAGAAGGCATAAAACTCTTACCACATACAAGGCCATAGAAGCAACCATGTCCCAATTGGCTTATCAACACGAGCAAGCCGTGCATATGGCTGAATCTGCCTAGGCAAGTACAATTCAATCCAAGAAACATCACCTCCACCACTACTACTACTCACATCACTCTTTTCCTTTGATTCCTCTCCTAAATTCGACGGCGATGGTGAAGTAGAGATGTGTGCAACAATATGGAAATTCGAAAGAGACCTAAGCCTTTCATGAAATTCAAAATTACAATTCTGAATCTGGGAAGGCTTGAATGGAGTGGGTGAGAGGTTTAAACTAGGGTTTTGGATTTGGTTTACAAATTGTTGAGTAGAAATCAGAGGATTAACAATGGAAATGAGGGAAGATTTGAGAAACCTACGCGAATTACGATTTATCAAATTCGACACCATTTTCTGAAATGCAATTAGGAGCAATCTTCCAACACCCAAAGAACTTTGCAAAATTCACAAAACTGGTTACTCTATAAAGCTTCAACAGTTAAATTACCCAAACCCAACATTGGATGTTCCAAAACACGCACAATACTCATAATTTATGATATATATGGTTTGATTTGGCAAGAAATGTGTAGGAAAGGTGATTTTTTATGTGTAAAAAGATGTTTTGTGCTAGTAGGAAATAATTTTTTATGTGAGATTTATCGTTTAAATTTGTTCCCATGATGAGATTTTTAGGAAAAGAAGGAAGTGAATTTTTTATACATTTTATTGATTTTTAAATAATTAAAAAATATAATTAAAAAAGATATTATATAATTTTTAAAATTTTGTCAGAAAAAACTATTGTTATTATACAAATATTTTTTTAACATAAATTACTTTTTTATTTATACAAATAAATAAAAAAATTATTTCATCTCTTATTTTTATGTCTTCAAATAATAATTTTTAACGTCATTTCTTAATTTTATTTATTTATTACTCATTTTCCATTTCACTTAATCATGACATAAGTAAACAAATCCATACAAGGATTATTTTGGAAAATCATAAACATTTAAAAAATAAGTAAAATTACATGAAAAAAAAAAAACGTAAAAAATCTTAACATCGTAATTTTAGTAACAATTTGTCCGTCTAAACTCTAACGGCAAGAAAATTGCGTTTAGGAATTACGGACAACTGAAGCGGAATGCCAAACCTGAAACCCTCTATCCTCTGCTATTCAGTAACTAAGACTAGTGTGATTTAATGGCTTTTAAAAATATCATAACAAATTAAAAATATAATAATTATTCTTAATCAAATTTATAAAAAAATTTCTAAAACATCCTTATCTTTAAAGCAGCAAGTAAAATTTATTAATTAATAGTAATTTTTATAATACTTTCAAGATTAAAAAGATATTTTATGTCAGTAAAATTATTATTGTTAATATTATATTAAATATGCATAATAAATATTAAAAATTAATAATTTATTATAAAAATAATAAATTTTTTATTTTAAAATATTAAAATAATTATATCTATCAATTTGCCCGGGTCATCAGGCCATACCGGGTCTAGTAAGCCCACTGTATCCAAAAACAAAGGGCCTTTTTTTTTCGTGAAAAACAAAAGAACTTTGTAATTGCCACCAAGAAGATCCAACCCATACTCCACGATGAAATGATTATGGGCTTATTGGTTTTTTTAAAATGGGAGCTTCATTTCCTATATTTTAAAATAAAACTATTAATTAAACTATATTTATTTGTAATTTAATTTGAATCAATTTTTAGATAAAACAATTCTATTCGAATATCGAAATAAATTGTGGTTTGATTTGAATTAATTAAAATATAATATTAAATATGATTCAATCTAATTAAATTTGACATGAGTTGAATGATTTATTATCTTTCTTTCTTTATTTTTATTTTATTAACATCATATAAAATATTAAGTTGACTCATTAATTCTTTTGACATAATGCAATTTCACTTGTGTATCAGTATCATCGAGCTTGGAGACAGTTCTATTCAACTCAAACATTGCCTTTGATAAAAGATATTTGTGGTTTTTACATTTTTATTTTTTTCTTTGATATATTTATTTTGAATATTTTTTATATGGCCTAACTTATACACACGTGATGATGAGTGGTGACAAATCTGAATATGGCAATAAACACTCACGGATAGTAAAAAGTTAAAAAATTGTCACATTAAGTATAATGAAAAATCGGGTGCATTTTAGCATGGACTTTGTGGCAACCTGTAGCATGATATACCATTTAGGAGAGAGCAAGAAATACCAGTAGTATATTTTTCACATACTATTTTAAATATTATGATTTATAAATCAAGAAAATATTATGTGACATAATTTATCATTAATTTTATATTAAATATGTATAATAAATAATAAAAATTAATGATTTATTTTTAAAAAATAAAAATTACAACCATCAACTTAAAGAAAATATATAATAATTTTTTTATAAATACTGTATTAATCATGCTTTTTTTTCTTTTTCTTTTTCTTTTTAATTTGCATCTCTTATTATTCCCATTAAAGTATCTCGGGTTACAGTTAGATGTTAACTCGAGAAAGCTTAATGCATGGAAGGGTGTGTTAGAGGTTCTTAAAAAGCGGTTAGCGTCATAGAAGCATGGGTATTTATCAATTGGAGGTAGGGTGACTTTGATTAATGCCGTTCTTAATTCTATGGCATTGCACTCGTTATCCTTTTTTAAGGTGCCGAAGTCGGTAATAAAGAAAATTGTCACTATCCAACAGAATTTTTTATGGAAGGGTATTAAGGATGGATCTAAAATCCTCTGGGTGAAATGGAAAACTGTATGTAGACCGCGGAAGAATGGTGGGTTGGGCATTAGGAATGTGCAGTGGTTTAATTGGGCGCTTCTTGGTAAATGGTTGTGGCGAGGTGTTAACTGTTCTAGTTCATTGTGGGTGCGGGTGTTGGAATCTAGATATGGAAGATTAACTTCTTCTCTTCAGCGTTCATCAGTTCACAACAGATGTTCTTTGTGGTGGCGTGATTTGCTGGAGGTTATTCATCGAGGGAATTCATGGCTGGATGAGAAGTTTGATAGAAGTGTGGGTGCAGGTTTACACACACTTTTTTAGAGAGATAAGTGGGTAGGAGAGATGCGATTGTGTGAAGCATTTCCGCGATTATTTGTAGTGGCGAGAAATGCTGAATCACGTGTATTGGAGAATAGTTTTCATGATGGCACTAGATGGATTTGGAATGTTAGTTGGCGAAGAGGACTCTTTAAACATGAGATCTTGAGCTTTAATCTTTTGTTGGAGCTTGTAGATGGAGTTTATTAAGTTACTACAAGAAGATAAATGGGTATGGAGGACATATTCTTTAGGTTGTTATTCAGTGCAATCTGCGTATTCATGGCTATTTGAACTTTTTTGTGGTCCTAATAGTGTAGATCAGTATACGGCATATGCCTTGCAAAGGCTATGGAGAGGGAAGGTCCCTCTTATAAAGGTTTACTGATTGATCGTGGTGTTCAAATTGATGATATAACTTGTTGTTTCTGTCATTGTTTGGAGGAACTTTCAACTCATTTATTTTTAACGTGCTCAGTTTCATCTCAAATTTGGTACTTTACTGCGCGTTGGCTTGGATTCTCACTGGTTTTGCCTTCATATTTATCGACTCATTTACTTTATTGGGTTGGTGTTGACTGTAGTAAAAGAGAAGAAATATGCTTATTAATTATTTGGGTAAATACAGTGTGGTCTTTGTGGTTGCATAGAAATAGAATTATATTTTCCAATGGTGTTTTGGATGAGAGGGAAGTCCTAGATTCTATTATTCTGATATCCTGGAAATGGTTATCACTTGTTAGTAAGGGAGAAGCTATTATGTTAGCTAATTGGTATTTGAACCTACGAAATTGCATCTGTCTTAATTTTGCATAAGTATATTTTTACTTTTTATTTCTCTGAGTAAGTAATTTTTTGTGTATATGGGTTTTGAGTTCCCTTTGAACTCTTTTTAATAAGATTTGTTTTGCTTATAAAAAATATATATATATCCTGAAAAGAATTATGTGAATGCGTTGTTCCTGCATGCTGGTGGTACCAATATAATTCCCCTTCCTTGTTTCACTTTAAGTGTTTTATAGAATTATAGTAAGAATTTTACATTAGTTTTTTTCTTATTTAATTAGTTTAAAAAATTCATCAAATCAGATCTATTTGGTAAAAATAAATTATTTTTGTAATTTATAGTATTTTTTTGGTAACAAATTTTTAAACATTATTTCATGTACTATTTAGACTTATAAACTCTTACTTTTTTTTTACTTTTTATTATCATAACTCCTTCGTTTATATAATTTTATATGTGTACGTCAATTTAATAATTATTTTTTTAATCATTAAATATAAAATTGGCACGTTACTCTGCATGGTGTGTCATGTGTTCTCAATAAATGAAAAAATATAATGTCCACCATATCAAATCTTTCAACATTTTGGTTTGTTCTTATATCATTGTCAATCCAATTTTCAGATCAATCACTTTGCTATGCTATTAATATCCACTGCTTCCTAGTTAGCCCTTCCATGTCGTTTTCTTTTTCCCTCCCCCATTTCCATTTCATACACATTGGTCGGTTACCCAATTTTTAAAAAAAATATTTTTTATTTTTAAGAGTTTTTCTTTTTAATTTTGTCAAACAATTTAGAGTTTATTTGATGTTTCTCCACTGCGTTTAATGAAGGTGAACCAACAAAGTCTATAGAGAAAAATGTATGTACAAAATTGATAGGACGAAAGATACTTTAATATTAAAGTAAGTATTTTTATCAATGGTGTAATAGCAAGATTAAATTACATATTATGCATCGCCAATATATAAGCGAAAGATTGCATGGTATATCAAAATGATAAAATCATAGATGATTTTAGATGCTTTATAATCATAAGTGTGAGTCTTAACTGTAATTTCCTGTAGTTAATATGTAAGAATATTAGATATGTAGCCACACATTGCTTACTAGACTATGATGAATGAAACTCTAAATCCATTTCAAATAATAAATTAGAAGCAACATAGAGATGTCAAAAGAGAGTATTACACCTTCTTTGGTTATTCCAAATCAAACTTATTCTTAATTAATATGGTTTATAAAAACTTATTTTATAATAAAATATCATAAAAAATTTAATTAAATTTTTTATCTTTATAAATATTAGACATTTTATGATATTTTTTTTACTAAAATTTATTTTTTTAAGTTAAAAAGGTAAAATTTAATTCATATCATCGATTTACTTTTGTTAAATATTAAGTTAATTGACAAAAAATCTGCACTCCACGTCACATGTCACCTTATTTAATTATATAAGAGAATGAAATTGAGAAAAAGATAGAAGTTGGAAGAGAGTGTGATGAAAGGGAGGGAGAGAGGTATGTAAGTGATAAAGAAAGGAAAAAAAGTTTTTTTTTTATAAATATTAAGAATATGTTTAGGGATTTATTTATAAATATTAATTTTAAATAATAAAAAAATTATATAATTAAATGATATAATATATCAGGTGAAAGTATAAGTGCTGAACTGATTATCTGTTAGCCTAACTAAACATTTAATTAAAAGAGTTGACAATAAAAATTAAATCTTAACTTTTTAACTTCATAGTAACTAAATCATCAAAAAAAAAAATTATAAGAATTTATCATAAAATGATCAATATTTATAGAAATAAAAAATATAATACATAAAATTTATTTTAAAAGAGTGCAAAAATATTTTTCAAACTCACAAATCACAATTAAACCCATTTATAGGAGAACTCGAAATACTTACAACACACATAATATATATTTCATTAGACATTCTAACTTGGTCAATGAACAATTAATGCTTAATCCTTAAAATACCTTGCCATTGATTTAAGTTTCGGTCGCATATCATCACCTTTGAAAATGTAATTATATAAAATATAGCATTCATATATCGTTCATAAAAAACAATATTGATTAAATTAAAAATATTCATAAGATGAGTTAGTTCTTAAAGTATTTGAAGAAATTTTTTTATCACTCATAATAATTATATTTAACTGAATAACGTCTCCAAGAAAAGATATATTAATTTTTTTAAAAAATGAGTTAATTCTTTTAATAATACTTTTTTATACAAAAAAATAAGTTTTAAAGTTTATATATAAACAATTAAATATGTATAATTTAAACTAATTATCTGTTAATAAACCGGTTTGTATCATTATAGAAAAAACAATTTGTATAAATTTAGGGTGTGACATATGTATTTTTATTTATTAAATTAACTTTGTAGTCTAATTATACTCTCTCTCTGTTTGAAAGATATCGCTTGCCACTATATCCAATCTCTTTCATTGTATTTGGTTAAAGAAACAAATAGGACAAAAAATGAAAGAAAAATAAAATGGAAAGAATATATAATAATAAAATACCAGACATATGATTTGGATGAACAGTAATAAAAAGAAAAAGAAAGTCATTTGGACTTTTTTTTAGTGGTTGAAAAACAATAGAAAAATTGTGTAGAAGACTTTTTTACCCTTATAACAAATGTTTTGAACTGAGTTTCAAATTAAAAAGGATTAATGTTATAAAACATGCATATTTTCTTCTTCTCATTCCTAAATATCTCCATGTAAAGATAAATTTGTTGATGTTTCTCTCCCATGTAATCTGCTCTCATCCAAACAACAATGGGTCTATATTTTATTTTAGAAATTCATTATTCACACTTTGCATACATCTTAATACAAGATATATAGTTGAAATTAAAGTGAACATACACATTAATAAGTTGAACCCTATTTTTAACATTACACATTGTCCTTCTGATTCTCTCATCTCAATTTCTCTCCACTCAAATCCACCCACCCAATAAATCACATTAAGGCTATACTATACTCAAATGCAATACAGTGTTAAAAACTTGTCATTAAAATAGAAACTACTCATTGGGTTTTGTCATAAAGGGACAGAAAAGAAGATTAGGTGGGTGCGTTAGAGCTAACGGTAGTTGCAACGTCCTTCGAAAATGCACCTCAAAAATGATATTCAAGAGAAGAATTAAAGAAAGGAGCCAAGTTTTCATTCTATGGGCCTTTATCTCACTTACTCTGTCGTCTCTGAAAAACCAAAAATATGATTATTTTGCAATAATTGAATGTATAAAATATTGAAGTGGTTGGGTGGGTTAAGAACGTTTCTTCACCTTTTGTGGATGGGACATGAGTATATTAGCAACCTTCTCAAGCAATTAAGTTAACCCACAAATAACAACTATACAATGCCATTGGAATTGGAAGTGGGTCCATTCATTCACACCAAAATGGTTAAAAATAACACACAGCATCTTAAAAAGTCTCTTCCTTTTTCCTCTCACGGCCACACAACCTTTTAAGATAGCCAAAGACTTAAGTTTCCTGGGGAAAGGGTAACACTTGTGTTAATATTCTTGTACATAAATTTCACACCTTTCGTGCATTAATTAATTATGATTAAATTATCAATTAATTGCATATCATATCACACTGTTAGCATATTTCTCATTATGGTAACAAATACCCCCCTTTATTCATATAAAATCATAGACAAAAAATGTCTATACTAAGATTTTATTCATGTTTTTGGTAAATTTGACATAAAAATAAAAATAAGAAATATAGAAGGAAAGATAAGAGGCAGAAGTGGAAATCACATGTAAAGTAACATGAAATGTGAATTTTGCATAGCAAGATTCTGCTGAAGAATGGAAGCGAAACTAGAAGTGGAAATAAATAGTAAAGTGTAAATAAAATAAAGAGGAGCACGAGAACTCCACAAAAGCACAACGGACAAGGGAACCTCCATCCCATGCCCATGTGCTCATGGCCTATCATCATCCCTATTATTATTAATATTATTAGCAAAGTGTTAACTGGTGTTCTTTGGATTCATGTTAAGAAACTGAAAACATTTTTTTTTTTAAATAATATCATAAATACAATTTTTAAGTATAATTTAACACAAAATTTAATAGCAATTTATTTTTAATTCTTTAATGAATGTCTTTTACCCTTATTATTGTGGTTTTAACTTAGATTTTATTTGGTAAAATAAACAAAATTTATAATATATAACTTATAGCTGATAAATCATCTAAAACCTTACAACTCTGCAGGTACTTAATTGAATCAGAACTATTTGGTAAAACTAGTTAAAATATATCAAATAAATAATTTTTTTAACTTGTGTAATTTTGCATAAAAAGTTGTGATATTTAATACTGTTAATACATTTAATTATGTAATTTTTATTGTACAGGATATTAAGTTGTATATTATATATGATAATGGTAGCATTTAATACGATTAATGCATATAATTCTATAATTTTTAATAAAAAATTAACATGTATAATTTATTATTTTGTGTAATGTTGCACAGGAAAATTGATAAATAAAATAAATCTGTAATATTATATTGATATAATATTATAATTAAATAAAAAAGAAGAATTTAGAATTTGTAATTTATTTGAAAGGATAAAAAAATATGAAATAAAATTAATAGTAGTTATAAACTATAAATTAAATTTCACAACAACAAATTTTCAAAAACTAATTTTTAAAAGATATACTTTTTTTTTTCTATTTTATTGTTGCCATACAATTTTGCTAACTCATTTTTCAAAATAAATAAATAAATTAATAAACTATAAGCTTGTGTTATTGTTCATAACGCGTCTTCAATTTGAATCATAGTAAATGTAACTACGCTAAATTCTAAAGGAGAACTTTGCTATTTGTAAATAGCAAGTGTGGGAGGGAAACAATGAAAACAAGCTTTGAGATCTTCGATATTTGATGTTGGACGAATGAAATACTATATATTGAAGTGGGCCATGAGAAAGAAGCCATGTGAGTATTTCTTGAGTTTTTATTTTTAATAATGTCTGACACACCCATCTCATCTTAACACAAAACAAATGTGGAGACATTGAACAGAAACAAACGAGTGTAGATCTAAACATGAACACATGAAACATGAATGTGTGCACTGCACCACTTTGAAGTTGTAGATCTTGTTACAACACAAGCATAAGCATGATGAATGGTAGGAATGTTAGAGAGTCTCTGTTGGGATCACTCAACAATCACCGAAGAGGCCATAGCTTTAATGGGGTGGCCAATAACAACGATGACAACCTCGATCTCTTCTCCAACAACCGTCGCTCTCTCTCTCTTGCTTCCTCAGATGATTCCTCTGATGGTGCTCCACCCTTTTCTCTATTCTTATTTTCTCCAAATACTTCCGTTTCTTTTTTGTTCTTTTTTATGTTAGTTTCCAATAATAATAGTAAAAACACTAGCTTGTTTTAATAATGATTATATAATTATACATAATTGTTATTTGTGAAGGAATTACATAATTTACATTATTATGATTTGTGATGGTTTTCAATTTTTTATTTTTATTGTTTGTGATGTCATTTAATTTTCCACTATGTATTAGGCTTTAGGCTATGGTTTTGATAGGTGATCTATCTATATGTATTATTATGTGTTTAATAATGATAGTTATTGGTGGATTTAGTTTCAGTGAAACTGGGGAGGCTCTCTGTTGGAACAGCAAAACCAGCTAGAAGTGGAATTGATGATCTGTTATCATCTACGGAAGGAGGGAAGCATGATTATGATTGGTATGCAAATTCATCATGATCTCTTGTTAGTAGATTCATTCAACTTAAATGACAATTGTAACGAAGAAATCATGTTTAAGAGAACAAATAGATCAATTATAGAAATAGGCAAGCAAATGTATTATGCATCATTAGGAGATAAGATCATATCTTCATGCAGTTTTTTTTGTTTCATACTATTCATAGATCTGGAATTAGTAGCGGAAAGATTTTCTTCATCTTGCTATTCCTATACTCTGATGGAACTCTTAGCCAGTTCAATTAAACTCAGATTAGAATCTTTTTATTCAACTTTTGAAATGACTGGGTGCTACTTTAACGATTTGGAAGTTATAAATTATCAACCACTCACACACACAAAAAAAAAAAAAAAAATTTGCATTGCTTATAACTATTTGATGTTATTAGGCTTCTCACTCCCCCGGGGACACCTGTTTTTCCATCATCAGAGGGTGAATCCCAGCCAACCTTAGTGCCGCCAAGAAGAAGTTTAAGTAGATCAACATCTACCTCTAAGGCCTCAAGGGTATGTGTGTCACTCATAATTTCTACATGTACTTTATGAAAAATGCATTTCATTTATGTTACCAATATCCATGCTTACATATTTGTTAGGAAGTGGATTGATACAATATTTGCTATAAACTTCAAGCAAATAGGGCATTAGATAAAGCAAATGTGGGGTTTTGGAGTGAAGCGTTAGATAATGGAAATGTGTTTGCTTTTGGTATTAGTGTGTGCGTAGTTCAGCTTATTTTGAAGAAATAATTGCAAAATTTTGACAACTTTCTAAGAGAGGTTTTGAAAAAATAAGCGATTACTTTTCTTAAACAAAGCTTTTCCAAACATGGACTAATAGATGTTTCCCAACTTAGCTTCTCTAACCAATTTGACTATGGCAATTCACCAGTACCTTTGAGTACATCAACAGCAGTTCAAGTGCTTGTTGGAATCCTTGTATCAACAACAGAAACTAATTGATATTTAATTTAACCATACCAATCACTCAGACAAATTTAGTATATAGAATATTGACCTGTTGAAAACGGTTTGCTAGATGCTGCTGAGTTTAACTTGATAATCATGTTTCTTTCAGCTTTCAGTCTCACAATCAGAGAACAACAATCCCTCTAGACCAGCAAGAAGCAGTTCAGTGACTCGCTCTTCCATATCCACTTCACACTCACAATACAGCACCTATTCTTCAAACAGACATTCCTCCTCAATCCTTAACACAAGCTCTGCCTCAGTTTCATCTTACATTAGACCGTCTTCCCCTATAACACGTTCTACATCTTCAACAAGGCCTTCCACTCCATCCTCTCGCCCAACAGCATCACGGTCCTCAACACCCTCCAAAGTGCGTTCAGTTTCCACCAATTCCGCAGCTGAAAAGCATAGACCATCATCACAAAGCTCAAGGCCATCCACTCCTAGCTCTAGGCCTCAGATTCCTGCAAACTTGCATTCTCCATCTGCTCCATCAACTCGGTCATTGTCTCGTCCTTCTACTCCTACACGTAGGAGCTCAATGCCATCTTTGTCTTTGTCACCTTCCCCTACAACAGGCTCTTTAACTTCATCTACGCGGGTTTCATTGAATGGACGCAGTTCAGCACCTGCATCAAGGCCTAGCTCACCAAGCCCGCGAATTAGGCCCCCACCACAGCCAATTGTTCCACCTGATTTTCCCCTTGAGACACCACCAAACCTTAGAACAACATTGCCTGATAGGCCAGTTTCTGCAGGCAGGTCTCGTCCTGGTTCTTCCACTTTGAAGGGAAATGGTTCTGAAACTCAAGCTTCAGTTACTATGCCAAGGAGACATTCATCTCCTATTGTCAGTAGGGGGAGATTGACAGAACCTGTAGCGAAAAGTCGAGGCTATGCCAATGCCAATGGCCATCATGCTGATGTCCCTGAACCTAGGAAGGTCTCACATGCTCCTGAGGTAGTTGCAAGGAAATCTGTTAAGGCCTCAACTACTGCTACTGACAACTCTGGATTTGGGAGGACTATCTCAAAGAAATCGTTGGATATGGCTATTAAACACATGGTTTGTATATATACTCTACTTTTCGAATTCTGCAAGATTAACAATCAATATTTACTTACTAGAACTATCAACATTAATGAGCTGCACATTTTATTCATGATCATAAGTAGACATTAGGCTGAAGCTTTATAATACCAAACGACATTGCATGAAAATCATGGCCCAAAAGATACAGGCATACAGCAGTACTTGCCATTAATGCCATGATTCATCATTTGATACTTTATGAATTAGGCTCATCTTATTACATTTTTGTCATGATACTTCAAATATCTTTATGCTGTTAGGCTTGCCATATTTCTTCTTATGATTTGTTACAAGCATTTATTTGCTTGCTGGAGCTTACTTTGAGAATAACATGCTTCAGGCAAGTTTGTGCTATCAACTTAAACGTGATTTTCTATGTGCTTTTCCATTAAACAGGACATAAGGAACGGTTCAGGAAATCTTCGTTCATTATCGAGCACCACACTCTTTCCTCAGAGTATCCGAACTTCCACTCCCAAGAGCCAGTCTCATCGAGTTTCAAGCGCTCCAGCATCCGTTGACATGAATGGTAGCCCACTAAGTAGTAAAAATGGAGCTAACTTTGATGTGGGAAATGGTATCAATAGGAATATGATAAAGGGAAGAGAGGTAGATGAAAGACACTATTCTGCAAAACTCAGTGAAGTGGATATCTATGAGAGTTCTCGTTATGATGCACTATTGCTCAAAGAAGATTTGAAGAGCACAAATTGGCTCCATAGTGCTGATGATAAATGTGATCAAGGCCCTATATTTGATAATGGATTTGAGCACCTACCTGAACCTTTTGGCCTCTTATAACATGTAGAGAGGTTCTACCTAGCACATTTGTAACATGCTATTTTATGTTCTATTTATTATCTCAATTTTTTGAAATGATGGGAATGGTTCAACTTATATAGCTCCAAGGTGGAGAAGTGAAGACGTATTCATATGTTTTCTTTTCAATCTGCAGAGAAATCAGTGGATTTAACTTTGATCTCAAACCTATACAAACAAAAGCAGAAGAAAATTACATAAAGCAGGTTCAACTTTCTTTGAGAGGGTGAAAATTTTCAGAAATGAATCATTTCTGTCTGTGCATACACAAGTATGTATTTGTCAAAAGGCAAATGTACTATTGTACGTTCGTAGAGATGGAATGTGATGTTCTATGCAAACACTTTGGTTGAGTGTTATTTTTCTCCTTTGCAATGAACACTATAGTTGAGTTGAGTTGAGTTGCATTCTACTCTTCAGTGCTGTCTGCTTAACGCAAGTACAATTGAAAAATTTTGAAAAATTCTTAAGAAGACGTTAGATATCTACGTAAATACTTTATAGTAAAACAAATATAATCAAAATTGTTTCTTTATTGATCCTGAATGTACAAAATAACACTGTCCATTCAGTGTATTTTTGTAAATAATACGTAATACTTTTCTTGGTGTTCATTTTTTATTTTTCTTTTGAAATATTGTTAGAATTTATATTATTGATAGCATTTTTAAGGAAATAAAGAACTTTAACGTGAAACTTGCCTATGAAATATCAGCAGTTTTTTTTAGGTCAAAATGAAGCTAATGATTAGCAAAAGCGTATTTAAAGTAAGAAGATAAAAATATATTTACTATTAACTTTAAGTTAGTTAGAGGTGTAAGTATTTTAATTTAAATTAACGATAAATAATTTTTATTTATTTACTTTAAATACATATTTTAAAAAAGTTAAATTTCAAAAAATTATAACTTAAATGCAAATTGATTTGTCGATAATTATTATCCATTTACAAAATTGTCACATTAGCTGAAAAAGCTTATTAATTTATGACGCTGTGCAAACATTTTTTATACTAATATAATCACAATTATCATTTTTGTTTTATGAGTTTTACTATTATGTGATTCTATTCATAAAGTATATAGTCACAATAATTGTCCCCATTCACATCTCATTCGTACTCCACTTCTCAAAGAACATGTAAGGACACTCAAATTGATGAAGCTCTAACGTTACTTCAAAATCTAAACTAAAATTTACTGTAGTAAATTATTATTCTAGGCTTCAAGAGAGCTTAGATTTCAGACACAATAATTGGGACACGACCATGGTAAGTAGATACGACTCTTCATGCCAGAGGGAGATGAGATGTTAGAGCACAATTGGGAACTGTTTTGACAGACCTTTGATGTCTATTTGATAAAAAAAAAATTATAATTTCACTTGTTATGTGACAAGATACTATAATTAATGTAAAAAAGTTAAGATTTCAATTTTAGAATAACTTATTGGTAGGTAATACATAATAGTTTCACCATAAGTCTTTATTAAGGTTAGTGACGTTTCTTGACCTTGTAGGGAGACATGCTTCTTTCTAATTTAAACTTTTTATAACAAATATATATATATATATATATATATATATATATATATATAATCATTTTTGTGGTATTTCCCTATTTTTTGAACAAAAAATAACACTAAAAATCTAAATAAAAGTAGCATTTGTTTTAAACAAAATTTTGTATCTTATTTCTAAGACTCTTGATGCCTTTTTTTTTTGCTCAACTAAATGTGGATGGGTAGCTTATTTACTTTTATGTAAGTGGTATTTATAGGTGGTGGACTCTTTTAAAATGGGTAACATATATTTTAAATAAAAGTTATAGTTATTGTTTAAAAAATTACCCATGGAGAAATTATAACAATTTCATAATTTTTTATTTTATATATATATATTCACAATCTAAATCATTGATTTTTTTAATTGAAGAGTATGACTGCATTTTATTCTTTAAAACATTATTCTCAATAGAAATTATATATCAAGGTTGAACAACAATTTCAATGCTACTTTTGGGTATAGCTTAAAATGAATTCTAACGTCTAATAACATAAAGGTAAATCAACCTTTCAAACGGATTTGGAGATTGGACCCACAAAAATTTGAAACACATAATTTGCAGACTTAGACTTTAGTTGTGGTCCTTTAGCTCTAAGGAGGGACACAGACCCACACCATTTTCAATTCAAAGAAGCCAAAGCCACACACTAAATCAATGTCACCGATTCTTGATGTGTGCCCTTTTGTCATTGATACGATGCCATTTTCCCATTTCCATTCCCTTGCACAAGCCCTTCCAAAGCCCCTATTTACTCCCAAATTGGCATCCAAAGCCCATAAGAGAGAAAGACAATCTTATTTAAATTAGTAGAAGCAAAATAGTGTGGAAACTCTTGTCTTTTATTGTGACACCTTTTGTATAAACTCACCCTCAAATAAGCAGCATCATTGTTCAAATTTAACCTCATTAACAGCTTTGCGTAATTTGAATTAGAAAAAAAGTAACGGTAAATAGTATTCCTTAATTGTTTTGCGTACCTTTTTATGTATGCCTAAAGTTTCTTTCTTTTCCTTAATTGACAACAGCAACAATTGTGATCTAATTGAATAGCAAAAATCTTCATATATATATATATATATATATGTATAAAGGGTTAGTGATTCGAGAATTCTCTTCACAAGATCCGAAACAAGAACTAAGCCCAAGAAATTGGGTGAATTAAATTTTGTAACTGTAACTGAGGTAATGGGGAAGTAAACCCATGACTTAGGTTTCATCGAGATCTGCAAGGGAGACCAATATAAGTATCATTCAATATTTAAAATATATATATTTTAAAATATTTGATCTAATTCATTTGACATAACCCTTACAAATTTTCTCTTACAACTTAGTTAACATTAGATCACATCTTTTACAGTTTAAAATAAAATGATTAAACAATAGAGGACCTCAGCTTATCATAAAATATTGAGACATATAATTTAATAAGTGTTATCGTTTGGATTACCTACAACTCGTTTTTGGACTCCATCTGATTATATTAACATGGTGGATAATATTTTGTTCCGAATAAAAACATGGTAAATGATTTTCTAGTGTAAACATAGTATATATATAGTTAAGTTTACAATCAATAACAGATGCACTATCCCTTTAACCTATTTGTGTAATAGAAGGATTAATAGACCTATATAATATAAACAGGCTTAGTACATATATCTTAGGTACTATTAAAGGGTCAATTATTATTACCACTGTACCCTCCCTCAGAAGGTTGGGTTAATGAGGAAGAAGGCTTCAAGTTGAAGCTGAGAAGTAAGTTTACTTGAACGTTGAATGATTGCCTCCCAAATCATAAACATTAAACAGGAAAACCAAAAGTAAAATCTATGCATAGAATAGCATAGTATGAAGTAATAGTATAGTACTATAATTATGCTTTTAATAACTCTTTCTTTCTCTATGTCTCAAATTGAGTGTGTATGTGTGTATGTTAGTTCTGGCGTGTTCCTGAAGTTATGCCGTTAAAGCTTGTTCATGCTTCCTCTTGGCCGTTGCTTCCGCCAATTACCAAATCAACACTGCTTTAACAAAAAACTTTTCTTTCTCAGCATCACTTTTATGGTTTACATTTCCATCTCTTATATTGCTCACAGCCTCAACACTTGCTGCTGTGGCTGTCTCAGTGCTTTCGCTTCAAACTTGCTTTCCCTTTCTCCTGTTTTCAAGGTTTTCATCTCTCAATTACTTGCATTTTTATCTTCTTTTTCATGCTTCATTTTTTCTTTTTAGTGAGTGCATGTTCTTTACACATGTAGAAGTAGAACAAATTAATGTTACTTAAAGTTATAATTCTTATAGTTGTTGGCCTGGCATTGTTCCTGTTTGGCTGCTTAGAGACGAAGAATGTTTATCAAGCAACGTTAAAGAGCATGAAAATTCAAAGGGTGTAACTAATTTCATTTTATAGTGAAACCAAGAAGAATGAATACTCTTTTAATGAATGACAAGCAAGTAAACTGCTTCTGCAATTGAGATAAGCCAAAAAATTTTAACTTGTCATATGTAACAATGTTGTTGTCTTCATTTTAAAAAAATGAGATAAATTTTAGTAGACAGATAAGTTCACTGTTTTGTTGCATTGCATACTTAGTTAATGGCCCAGTTGTTCTGTTTGATCAGTGCGTGATATTTTCTCATCTCCATTGTAGAGAAACAAGTGGAATTATTGAGATCAGACAACCAATCACAGCCTCTTATCTCAGGCACCTTGATTCATAGTTTGAACAATAAAACTTGATGATGCTACAGTCCGACATTGCCACAATATCAATTTTCCTAATCCTGCTTGTGTTTCCTCAAACTATAGCTGATCTACATTCAGAAAAACAAGCGCTCCTTGATTTTGCTGCTGCAGTTCATCATGGTCCAAAAGTAAATTGGAACTCTAGTACCTCAATTTGCACTTCTTGGGTGGGAGTTACGTGCAATCATGATGGCACTCATGTGCTTTCTGTGAGGCTTCCAGGTGTTGGGCTGCGTGGTTCTCTCCCTCCAAATACACTTGGTAAGCTAAATGGACTCGTTAGTCTTAGTCTTAGGTCCAACAGCTTGAATGGAAACCTCCCAATTGACATACTTTCTCTTCCTTCGATTCGATTTATATATTTACAACATAACAACTTCTCAGGTGATATTCCTGAGTTTCTGCTACCAAGGCTTATGATTCTTGATTTGTCCTATAACTCTTTCACAGGACAGATTCCAGCCTCAATCCAAAACTTGACATATCTAATAGGACTTAGCCTCCAAAACAACTCTCTTAGAGGATCTATTCCTGGTGTTAACCTTCCTAACCTTAAGAATTTGGATTTGAGCTTCAACTACCTAAATGGTTCAATTCCTTCTTGTCTTCATAAGTTTCCTGCCTCCTCATTTAGAGGGAATTTGATGTTATGTGGAGCACCTTTGAAACAATGTTCTTTGGTTTCCCTTAATACCACATTGTCTCCACCAATAGTCTCCAAAAAACCAAGTGATCTATCAAACAGGAAGCTAAGTACAGGTGCAAAAATTGCAATTGCTTTGGGGGGTTTCACAATGATGTTTCTTCCAGCTCTTATAGTAGTGTTCTGCTGTTTCAAGAAAAAAGTTGGTGCACAAAATGTAGCACCTACAGAGAAGGGTGGAAAGCTTAAGGAGGATTTTGGGAGTGGTGTGCAAGAACATGAGAAAAACAGGCTAATATTTTTTGAAGGTTGTTCTTACAATTTTGATCTTGAGGACTTGTTAAGAGCTTCAGCTGAAGTGCTTGGGAAGGGAAGTTTTGGAACAACATATAAAGCCATCTTGGAGGAGGGAACTACAGTGGTTGTGAAGAGGTTAAAAGAAGTGGCAGTGGGTAAAAAAGAATTTGAACAGCAAATGGAGATTGTCCAAAGACTTGATCATCATCCAAATCTTATTCCCCTTCGTGCTTACTACTATTCCAAAGATGAAAAGCTAATGGTTTATGACTACTCAAGTACCGGCAGCTTTTCCAAGTCGTTGCATGGTAATTGCTATCATTTTGAATTTTCTAATCACAAAAGGTTCTAGATGATGTCCAATAGTTTTATTTTTTATCATAGGGTCTAGACAATTAGTTCCTTTGGTTTAGAAATTAATAATTAGAATTTTTTATTAAAAATCTCGTTGGAGATGCATTAGAAATCACGGTAGAAGTGCATTGTCTCATTCTTAAAAAAACTTTTAATTCTTTAACTAGTGTTTTTAGGATATTGATTAACATTTTTACCTTATTATAGACTGTAGATGTCAAAACAAGATAACGGTATCAATATTACTATCAACACATTGATGTTGTATGCTTTATGTCTAGTTTCATGTTTGGGTTTACAGGATTTGTACATGTATTGTTAAATTGAAGATGGTTAAATGCAATACTATTGTTGCATTTTCTCACTATGGCATGTGAAACATGATGACAGGAACAAGGGAAACAGGACGAACTCCACTGGATTGGGATTCAAGATTGAAGATCATGGTTGGAGCTGCCAGGGGCATTGCTCATATCCACTCAGCTAATGGAAGGAAATTTGTCCATGGCAATATAAAATCATCTAATGTGCTTCTCTCAATAGATTTTCAAGGATGCATATCAGATTTTGGCCTAACTCCTTTAACAAATTTCTGTGCCTCCCCAAGAAGTCCAGGCTACAGAGCACCTGAAGCTATTGAAACACGAAAATCCACGCAAAAATCTGATGTGTACAGCTTTGGTGTTCTCCTTCTTGAGATGCTGACTGGCAAAACACCAGTTCAGTATTCAGGACACGATGATGTGGTTGATCTTCCAAAGTGGGTCCAATCTGTTGTTAGAGAGGAATGGACTGCTGAAGTGTTTGATCTTGAGCTAATGAGATATCCAAACATTGAAGAAGAACTTGTGCAGATGTTGCAACTGGCAATGGCATGCGTGGCAGAGATGCCTGACACGAGACCTTCAATGGAGGAAGTTGCAAGGACAATTGAAGAAATTGGAGCATTTATTTCTTAAAACCAGGGAATGACGTGTGGCAGACTACAAACTGCAAGAACAATACAAATCCACTGCTCGGTTTGAAACGTGCCTAGTCAAGATTCATTTGAGCTTGTAGCATCAAAAGAAAACCACGCGAATGTTTTAGCATCTTGCCATTTTATTTAAACTCCTCATGATTGCTTTAACTTGATGTTTAGAACCACACTGTATACTCAACATAAAATATTAGGATATATGAATTCAATAAATAAATACATTGTTTTTTAGAAAAAAAAAGTCTTATTACTATTTTGGTAATACATTGACAAAACACTAGTTAAGTCAATCTAGACGGGGGCCAATTTTGCAATTTATCGAAAAACCCAATAATCACAAGGCTTGATTGAGCGATACACATCACTCAACAAAATGAAAGATTTCATTACAGACCATGGCAAAAACTAGTGACCGACTACTACATTTTTATTCATGATGCCATTGTCATTTCCAACTGCGAAAGCAATGTAAAGCAAGAACATAAAATATAAAACTCTACACTCTTCCCTGGTACTATATATCAAAATGTTCAAAGAATAAACACAAGCATTAAAATGACCCAATTTAGGCCAACCTATATATTAGTTTTCTGCCTAATGTAAGTGAGGTTACTGCATGTTCAAGACCGCCAAAACAAGGGATACAGTCCAGTATTAAAAAGTTCAAGGACTAGTGTGTCTAAGAGCTTTGGTTAACCAAGTCAGCACCACTAACATACTTAGCAACAAATGATATCAGACGAAATGGAGCACCGATTAGGGGAGCATCTGTGAGTGACACATCATCATTTTCCACATTCTTGGCATCCTGCAATTCTAGATCCCGTACTTCATTATCATCCAATGGAATTTGCACAATTTCTCCGGTATCATCAGATACCAATGATGAGTTTGAAATTATCCCTACAGTGTCTTCAGCATCAAGAGAGTTCACATTATCCTTCACTGAAATCTCTTCCAATGAATTCAACTCCTGGGCTGATACAGATTTAATCTCAGCAAATTCAGGTATAGTAGTGGCGACATCAAGTGATTTAGTAAATTCAGCTGTCTCATCAGGCCCAGTAACTCCAGCAGCATGTTCAATTTCTGCACTTTGTTGATTCAGCTCAACACATAACTTGTTGACCTGAGGGTAAAAAACTAACCCAATCAATCTAAATCTACTAGAACAAAAATATCAAATCTTCTGTTAAGCCATCCAAAATTCATGATATTCTTCCACAAAAGTAATAAAACCATGAGGAACCCTGCAAATTACCTTCTCAACAAGTTCAGCATTTTCTGCAACCAACCTCTCCACCAACGTACAGGCTGCTTCAATTTGAGATTTCAAGTCCTCATTTTCAGCAGCATGATCCTTATCCACCATGGCATAAAGTGAAATATGATTAGAGGCAATATAAAGAGGTAAGCCGTGAAGGTTTCTTTCTCCTCCCTATTTCAAGTCACATACTCACAATTGAAAGGTTTATAGCATGCAACTCATGCCCCATCATCAGTTTAAGAAATTACAAAATGACAACTCAAAATGCAACGAGTAATGGCATAACTGCTAGACCGCCATCCACCACTATAGATTTGAGTATCATCAAGTATGACACATAAGAAGATCATTGACCATATGGTCATATATATACAATCAATGATCCTTTCCTTCTTTATAAATACAAGAAGTCAAGACAACTTATTTTCCAATGAATGAGTGGGTATTAGATTTTAACCATATAGGGTAACAAAAGTAAACCTTTACAGATGTGTCCAGTAAGCAGGGAGAAGCACTACTGTCTTCAAGATTCTGGACTGTTGACTGAAGACCCAACACTATTTCCCTCAACTGCTGGTTTTCTAGCAAAAGATTATTCCTGGACTCTTCCAACTCTGCCACCTGCCAAACTTTGTTTTTAATTTCCATATCAGAATTAACACAGGTTTGTTATGAAATGGACATTACCAAAAAACAAAATGTGAGAGTAATTCATCAAGCCAATGTTTAAAATCAATGGGAGCAAAAGGGAAGAATATTTGATTAATGATACAGCGTTGGTGTTAGAAGGCAATAGAAAATTGCCAAACCAAAAACAATGTGAGGGTAATTCATCAGGCCAATGTTTAAAATCAATGGGAGCAAAAGGGAAGAATATTTTATTAATGATACAGCATTGGTGTCAGAAGGCAATAGAAAATTGCCAAAAGAACACAAGACTAAATGAAGACATTCTAAAATTAAACAATGGATCAGTATTCAGTCCCAAAACAAGTGGGAAAAAAAAAAAAAACAGAATTGTCACAAATAGACACAATGTCAAAGCAAAAATAGTTGACAAAATAATTAAACTGGTAAGTGGTAAGTTCATATCTGCATGCAAGGAATCTGCTCTAGGGCAAATGAAACCACCCAAACTAGTTTTTGTATAAGCTTCAATAGTGTTCACTCTAAGCCAGCAACAGGAAATCTCATAGTGTTACCAACAAATACAAACTTGCAAGATAAAATTACTTGGCACAGGTAAAAGAAAAAATTGTCATATCTTATTTCCCCAACAGTTTGGTTCTGACGGTTACAAACTTGCAAGATAAAATCACTTGGCACAGCTAACAGAACGAATTGTCATAAGTTAGTGCCCCAACAGATAGGTTCTCATCAGAACAGGGAAAAGACAAAGAGCTGCCAAAGTCACGCCATTCTTATTAGCCTCAAAATGCAAGAAAACAATAGCCAGTAGACTGAGCGACACACAGGCTCACTTGAAATGATAGACCCCTATAACTGATTCCAAACCAAACACTAGAAGATAACATTCAAACGAGTAACAAGTTTATGACTCCTACATATTATGATGAGGAAATTACAGATAACAATAACGTTATATAAAAATAATATCTCTAATGCTTTCCTAGGTTTTTCGGTATAAAATGTTCGTGCATAGCCATATACATGAGTTACATACCTGCATTTGTAGCACAGTGATGCTTCCATTCAGGTTTGAAATGGTTTCTTTAGTTGAATTCTGTAAATATTACGCACAATATACTCTGGTGAGTGAAAAATTTACAAGAACTAGACCAGGCACTATTCTTCACCTCAGTCTCTTAAAGTTATGATGAAGAAAAATTATTGCTTTCAATTTGGAATAACAAAATAGAGGAAAAAGAAAAAAATGTGTAAATTAACAGTTTGCAGGCATATCTTCACATTTCAAATCAGTCAAGTCATGCAGTCCTTATTCTTCCTTTTAACCCCTATTGACTTTATGGTAAATCTCATTGCATTTTCTATGGAACTCCCCAAATTCTTTATTGACAGTTTACTAAGTACTACTAAACATGACATTAGTCTGTAACGTTACTATGGCCTTCTGCTTATCCATTGCCATTCATATGGAACTATTTGGGTACAGAACTAATGTGCCCTTGCATAAAAATTAATGGGGTCAGAGGTAATGTTTGGGATCATGGAGATTGATAAAACCTGTGCAGTTCATATGACAGCCTGGTGTGCAGTAGAGCCAACAAAGTGTATTGCAGAGAGACAGACCTGAGAGTCCAAAGAATGGGATACCAGGATTCCCCAACTCCTCTACAACCCTCTCTCTATGTTGTTTTCCCTTTTGTTTCCCTCCCAAATTTCACATCTGCTTTTGTGAGTAATTTCTGGGTAGTCTTGTAATACCTATTCCCTTGCACTTACCTAACTTTCTTCATTTGGTAACTTTTATTTTTTTTAATTCAAAATTGAAAATTTTAACCAGGAAAAAAACTAACCATACAAAGGCGGCTGTTGCTATTCTAAGGGAAGAAGTATGTACTAGGGGGAGGACCAAACAAATTTTCCTGCTTTCCAGCTTGGAGAGCTCCCTCTCGCACTGCCACAAAACTCCCCTTCACCATAATTTCAAAACCACCAGTATTTTCTGAATCAATCTTTTTTTCCCCCCAATCAAATCCCTAATTACCATCAAACAGAAAGGTACCCTGACTAGGGAGTTTGAGAGCACAACAAAGGATTGATTTGGGCTTCAAGGATTTATTTTAAAAATTAGGCTCAAATTTTATTTGTATTCATTGTTTAAAGAAATTTCTATCTTTTATTATCCTTTTTTTTTTTGGGAGGGAGGGGGTTCAAAATAGGTGCTAGCAATACCTAATATACAACATGAAATTTAAGATCATTAATTAAGCAAATAACACATTCCATGTAACAACTGATCATGCACAACAGGACAAGTTATTACCTCTTTCTCAACAAAAGAGCTCAAATCACTCTCCAGCAGATTTATTTTTTGTTCTAAACTCTCCTGTAGAACAATGTATATTGGATTTAAATATACCAAATAAAAATATCAAGATATCATATAGCACAACAGGGGGTTGGATCAGCTATGTTTAAATACAGTGCATGTAGGAAATGACAAAGTTAATGAAGCAATTCTTGCCCCTTTCAGACTCCAAACTGCCTTTGGTTATTATGATCCTAAATATTTTAAAAGAGAGAAAAAAGATATTAGATTACTCACCTCTTTTTGAAGTAAGGAATTATTTTCACTCTGCAATTGTGCAATCCTCGTTTCCAGTCCAACCTGCAGATAATAAGTTAAATATACCATTCAATGGCTAACATATATCAGAATAATACAGTTTCAGTAATACATAAGATCCATCCAAACATTCAGCAAAACTGTTCAATTCAAATTCAATTACCTATTTTAATTATTTTAAAAAAAAATTACCCAGTCAAATGCAGGGGCTGACTATAGCTAATCTACTACAACACAGTTAAGATCACCAATTAAGCAAACACTATATTCAATGCAATCAAACAAGAGTGAATAGAAAAGTTATTACCTCTTTCTCTCTAAAAGAACTCAAGTCACTTTCCAAAATATTTATTTTTCGTTCTAAACTCTCCTGTCAAACAATGTATATACGACTTAGAATTTAGCCTAACTTTCATCAACAGAAAAAAAAAAAAAAAAAAAGACCCTCAAAATATACGAATCATCTAAGGTTAAATATATAGCAAAGAAGCAACTCTTATCCCTTTCAGGCTCAAAGCTACCTTTTCATTCAGCAACTGATTAGCTTTTTCCACCCAACCAGCCTGCATATGATAAATGTTAAATATCAGGATATATAATTTCTCAAAATCTACACTCAGAAAAATTTTAAAAGGAAAAAAAAAATGATTTAGTCATTCACCTCTTTTTGAAGTAAAGAATTATTCTCACTCTGAAATTGTGCAATTCTCATTTCCAGACCAGTCTGCAGATAATTCAGTTAAATATACCAGTCCGTAGTTAAACATAGATAAGAATGAATAAACTAATTACAATAGTACCAATCCACACATTCATCAAAACTATTTAATTCAAACTCAATTACCTGTTTTTGTGCCTGCAATTCATTATCAGATCGTAAATTATTGATTATCTCTTCCAAAGTAAGCTGTAAAAGAGGCAAACCAAATGGTAGAGATCAAAATTTTGTAATAATAGATTTTATCAGGAACCAAACTTATTTTAATCATTTTTCTAGATTGCCTGTTGAGAAAGTAAATATATAGTTGCAATATAAGTAGTTAAACAAATACCTATTTGAGAATTGATAAATGTTAGTGCATGTGTGTATTACCTCTTTCTGAACTTGTTTATCATTTTCTTCTTTTAACTTTTTAATTGTCTCCTCTGATATGGCCTGTAGCAAATTAGGTCATAAACATTCACAGTAAAAATATTTGTGATATACACATTTAATAAATGACATAAATCTCAAAGACAAAGTTGGAAGTAAAATTACCTCTTTCTGAATGTGCATTTCATTTTCTTCTTTCAATTTTCTTATTGTCTCTTGTGATAGGGCCTGTTTTAAGATATGTTATACATGTAATGAGAATAATGCAAGATAAACATTAAAATGAAGAAACATCTCTTTCAGATATAATTTAAAATCTATTACCTCTTTCTGCATGTGGATATCATCTTCTTCTTTCAAATTTCTAATTGTATCTTCTGATATGGCCTGTCAAATGATAGGCTGTACATGTCAGGAAAATAATGAAATATAATGCTAAAAAATGGGCACTTATTTCTACATAAATCACCTCTTTCTGAACATGTATATCACATTCTTCTTTCAATTTTCTGATAGTCTCTTCTGATATAATCTGTGGAAACACAGCTTGAGTTAAAAGAAAATTGCAAGATAAAAACATTAGGGAAAAAATTCGCCCAAATAAAATTTAAAATATATTACCTCTTTTTGTGCATGCATGTCATCTTGTTCTTTCAATTTTCTGATTGTCTCTTCCAATATGGCCTGTGAAAATATTGGGATGCATATGTTATAGAAACATGAAACATAATTGCTAAAAGCCTAAAACAAAGGACAGGCATTTCTCAGAAAAAAATATTACCTCTTTTTGGATGTACATATCATTTTCTTCTTTTAATTTCCTAATTGTCTCTTCTGATAAGGCCTAGGGATGGATAAGCCATACATACTATAAAAACATTAAAACATAATCAAATCAAAGGACAGATATTTCTCACATATAGTATTACCTCTTTCTGAATTTGTATTTCATTTTCTTCTTTTAATTTCCTGATTGTCTCATCTTTTTTGGCCTATGGATGATATGATGTATAAATTATAAAAGCATCAAAACATTGGTTTTAAAACAATTGACAAAAATTACTCAGGTAAAATATTACCTCTTCAAGAACAAGCACATCATTTTCTCCTTCCAGCTTCCTAATTGTATCTTCCAATATGTCCTGCAGAAAAATAAGCTGTACATATTAAAACCTTGAAACTACAAAGTAAACCAGCATATATGTGAAAAATAAAACTTCAAAGACATCTCACTACATTCACTTTGAGCATATTATTTTCATTACCCAAATTTTTTAATTACCTCTTCTGAGGCGGCCTGTCAAAAGGTAATTTCATTTAGTTTAGCATAGCAATCATATCCACAAATGCTCAAATCAAACAAATTTGATAGCAAGTATGTCGGCAAGACACAGAGAGGGAAGAAGGGATGTCCAATTTTCTATGAACTTGTTTGCATAACTAGTGTAGATTCTGTAGAATTACTTCAGATAATAATGAATTTTTAGAAGATTTAATTGAAAGAATGACATTACATTTGGGAATGCTTAAGAAATTTACAAGAGGAAGTTTGGTTTTATAGAGTTTTAACTGTTAAGTAAGATCACCTATTATCAGTAGGAGTAATTTTTTTATGCTGACAAGACTATCCATTTTGCTCAACAGCAAATCATCAAAAGGATGTTTTAGCCATACATAGCTTGGTTCGTAGAAACTATTCAGAAACTGAATTAAGGAATAAGAAGTTTTAACTATATTCATCTGTTTCAGTGAATAAAAAGTAATAAAGTAGCCAAGGGAAATACCCTTTATGAACAAATATTTATAATATATTACATGAATCATGAGCATATACCTCTAAGCATGAAAGAAAATCTAAATTGATTGAAGGAAAACTTACACATTCTTTACCATTTGGCAGATGACCATTTGAATCTGTATTAGTACTTTGCCCATCTGCATCTGCAAACTCCCATGGTTGAGCACACTCCTCCTTTCCACTTTTCACCAGATTCGGATCTCTATCTGTGCTATCCACAACTCCATTCTGATCCACATTTACACTTTGCTCATTGGCAATCCCCGTAAATTGAGCAGGCTTGTCCTTGCCATTATTTTCCAGATTCTGATCCTGAGTAGATGTCTCTCCAACCTCATTCAAATCCACATTCTTCCTTTGCTCATCGGTAGTCTCAGAAAGATTAGTATGCTGATCCTTTCCATTACTCACCAGGTTCTGAGTCTTCTGACGCCCAGTGGCTGTTTCTCCAACCCCATTCTCCACATTCTTACTTTGCTTATTCTTCTTCTTCTTGTTTTTCCTCCTTCTCTTGTCATCCTCCATCCACCCACCTCAAATTCTCTATTCCAACTTCAAAAAGGCACTACACACACACATACACATATCACACACAGAGAACGAGTTTCAGGTTTAGAATTTTTACGTGCCAAAACAAACGAGAAAACCCAATGTCTAGTCAAGTCAGACCCCAAATCCAATTCAATGCAAAACTCAACATCGAAGACCCAGATGCACATTCAATCACAATTCGTCATAATTTTATATAAGAAAAAAAACCAAAATAACATTGATCTTGCAGTTCCCGGTTACAAAATACGGGCATCGTGAAATCTTAAATCCAGGATAAAAAATTTCATCAATTTGGAATAAATATTAAAATAAATAAATAAGCAGCGAATGGAATATAAAAAAACTTACGGATAGAATTGGAAAGTGTTGAAGGTAAAGAGTGAATGGAATGAGAAGAATGTTGAGTTAGCGTGACCTGCGAAACTGAGTTCTGAGAAATGAATCTGAAAATGCAAAGTGAAGGGGCGGGTTCAGTGAGTGAGAAGCAATTGCCATTCGAAATTGGTAATTGAAAATGAAGGGTAGGGGATGTGTCGTGTCGTGTCCACGCGCGGTTTTAGCGTTGATTTGATGCCACTTTCACTACACCTCTTGTTTGTTTCTTACCACAAATCACAGATCCAACGGCTTCTATACTTCCAATTCGTCGCTTACTTTATGGACTTGCCTCTACTTGATTCTTTTCGTTTAAATCAATTTTCAATATTTCCAAATTTAATTTTACTCTCTAAACAAAAATCTTTTATTACATTTCGGTCCACTCTTTTCAAAATAAATATTTTCTTTGCATGTACTGTGTTTATTACTTAAATGTTTTAAATCTTTGGACCAATAATATATATATATATATATATATATATATATATATATTGACTCAAATGAATAATAGATATATTTTTTAAATTTTTATATTTACTCGTTTTAGATAAATAAATTCAATGATAAAAAAACAATTATAACAAGAGTGAGTTTTTTTGTTGTCACTCTTCTAGTTTTCTTTAAGGGACATTTGATAGGAGGTTTCTTTTAAAAACATTTAAGAAATTTAAGTTAAAAAAATGTTAAATTATCACGTTTGATATGTATATTTTAAAAAGGATTCTTAATAAACTATCATTCTGAGAAATATCTTTTTAATTAAGTTTTTCGAGCAAAAAATTATGAGAGGAGTGATAATCTTAAACAAAATCATTTTAATAAAAAAAAGTTCTTTATAATATAAAAATACAATTATATTAAAATATTAAAATGCCAAATCAAAATCTATTTTTTATTTCTCTATTTTCATCATCTATTTTATTTTTTATTATTAACTCATCATTTTAATAAAAATGCTTTAAAATTATTGTGATTATAATTTTCGTAACCATATTAATCAAGTTAGGTGACTGTATTACCTAATATTATTATACATACATATATGTGTACATATTCTCATAATATATTATTTAAATAGAATTAAATAAACATGAATTTAGTTAATAGTGTTAATTTTTTTTAATTAATTATCATAGAGGTGAATGGGTATTTTTTGAAGAAGTATTAAAATTCTTTATAAAAAAATCATATAATAATTTTAAGAATATTTAAACATACCAAACATGTTTTTAAACATTTTCAAGAAATATAATTATGAAAAAACATAATTTCTATGAAAAAATACACTAAAGTCCCCTAAATAAATTTTATATAAAATATTTTTATTAATTAATTAAAGTAATAATATAATTTAAATAAAAATATTAAATTGAAAATGATAATAAACACTCTTATATTATAATGTATAAAAATCAAAATGTAATTTTGGAAACCACAAGTATAACTGGTTCGAGTCTTTCGTATCAGAAATGCAATTAAATCAGTTTAACTAAAAAAAATTGCTAAAACTCGGATCTTGTATAAAGTGAAGATACGCTTAGCCACTAACTCATATACATTTATATGTTATATGTATAAATTTTAATACTTATTATATACTGATTTAACTATATTAATTAATAACTTACTAGTTCAATCATTAATCCATTAACTTACAAGTTATTAATTGGTTTTTATAACACTGAATTGGAAGTTATTATTTATAAAAATAATATATTATATCAGAAAAAAGATCCTTTTTTTTTTCAAATTTGGAAAGGGGTGGAAGAAAGAAGGAAAAAATGGATAAGAGAGTCATTTGGTGTGGGTATATATTGAAACGAGTTATTGGTCTGAGAGAGAGAGGTTTCAGAGAGAGAGAGAGAGAAAGAGGGCTTGGGATTGGGAAGAAGGTGAGGGATTGACGCTACGTCTCTTCCTCTTCCTCTTCGATCCATCCCTCATTTCAACCACCTCAGCCTCAGGTCCTTTCTCTTCTCTCTCTTTCTATTTCCCGCTTCAATTTCATTTCTAGGGTTTCGTTCCATCTGATTCCGATCCCTATTTTTTCTTTCAGATCTGAACGTGTGATATACCACCCATGGCTTCAAAGCGCATTCTCAAGGAGCTCAAGGACTTGCAGAAGGATCCACCTACTTCTTGCAGCGCTGGTACCCCTTTTCTTCTCCGTTTTTCTTTTCCTTTTAAAATTTTATTTTCCCTTTAATCGATTCGTCATCTATGACCTACTCAGTTCGAGATTTTTAGCTTAATTAATTGTGTTGCGAAAAAATTTTGATTTTTTTCTTGGGTTTGTTTTCGTGCTGGGTTAAAATGAAATACAGTGAAACAAGGCACATAAAAATAAATTAAAATGCGTTTTATCATGTATGCATTGCTAATAAGAATGCTATAATAAAATGGATAAATAAATTGGAAAATAGAGCGTAGGGTAAATGATACTTGTGAGATAACGGCGGTTGGTGTGGGTGATGTCTGTTTGAGTGTATTATATGTTATTGAGTTTGAATGGTGCATGTTTGCTTGTGATGTGTCTGTTAATGTTAATCTCGGTGGTGTTTTTGTTCATTTTGCAGGTCCTGTGGCTGAAGACATGTTCCATTGGCAGGCAACGATTATGGGCCCTACTGATAGTCCATATGCTGGAGGTGTATTTCTAGTCACCATTCATTTCCCTCCTGACTATCCTTTCAAGCCTCCCAAGGTAATTTATATTTGTGGTGCCTGTGAATTTGAGGTGTTTTAGAAGTTTTAATGTGTTGGAAATGTCACATAACCGTTGCTTGATCAGGTTGCATTTAGGACTAAGGTCTTTCACCCAAACATCAATAGCAATGGTAGCATATGTCTTGATATCCTGAAGGAGCAGTGGAGTCCCGCACTTACCATATCTAAGGTTCAGTTTGCTTTGCCTTTAATGTTTAATCTGTGGGCATGAATATCATGGATCTTTAAATAGCATGGCTTGTATTGAGTAATGACTGTAGATGTTTACAGAAAGGTTTTAACAACTTAACATTTCCCTACTTTAGTGGAAAGAACAGAAGACAAACAGTAATTTTATGGTAGTAATGCCATGAAGAAACTGCTGATAAAATATTTGTAGCCCATATCGATTGTAGATTATGGCATAATTTTTACTTAGATGTAGTTTTTACTGACATGTATTACATGATAACCGGAAAAAGGAAACTTTGAACAAAGAATAAGTAGGGAAACGGTGTTTCCCTTTTAGGCTTTGTTTGGGAGTTAATTTTAGGGAAGGAAGAGAGGAAAGAAGATTTATTTGACAGTAACTCTTGTTTATAAGTTTTTAAATGTGAGGTCGAGTTTTTAAGTTCTTCCAAATTGAGAGAATTTTTGCTGACCCTTCATCTCCCTCCCGTTCCTTCTCCCCTCTTATCCCTCAAACCCTCTCCCTCTCCCTCCAAACTCAAACAAAGCCCTTGAGAAGGGAAATAATGGAGGTATAAGGAGGGTAATGTTTACACTCTCTTCCAATCCCTAATCAGTAATTACTTGACCCTCTCTCTCTCTCTCTCTCTTGTCACTCACTTTCTGAGAACTTTGTCTGGAGTGGGAGCTCTTCTGCATCAATCATCACTGGCACAGCTTGAAATGTTTCACTTACTAACCTCTCTTTCATCGATTCCTCAATAGAGATTAACCTGATAAAAAATTCATGTGGTGCTATAATGCTGGGTTTTGCTTCTCAATCCTCCACCACCATTCAAATTGAAGCTGCTTCCTGATTGGGGATTTGTCCAACCGAAGCAAATTTAAATCATTGTTCATGGGATGCTGCAGAAGAATCACTGCCATTGGTAGCTTCTGACAACCAAATGGAGGAATTGAGCAGCTGAGGACTGGTTTTTGAGGTTGACAAAGGAACTTTAGAATTATATTCAGACTTTACCAACCAAACATAAGAGTTAGATTTTACTCCATTTACTTCCTTGACAAATCTTCCTATGTTTTTCTCGATCATGTCTTAATTGTATTTCAGATTAACCCTGAATAATAAGGTTCATGCATTTGACTAATTGTAACTTGTAATTTTGTGCAGTCCATCAGAGGACTGATTTTCATTTGTGGTTAGTTGAGTCTGCTAATGCCAACATAATTAGGTGGACTGGTTCTGTATTGCTCTTTACCTGATCCAATATGGCTCTATGGCAGGGTGGTCTTTTTAACTGGAGCCTTGCTTTAGGCATGGCATACTTATGTCTCTGTGTGTTTCTGCCATTGGTAATATATTGTATTTCCACGCAATATTTATGCTAAGAATGCAAATCTCTATATAATCCCTTTTTGTGGGTGGCTTGGTGGAGGGGTTCCTGGAAGAGACCCCTAGATGGCGCCCTAGTAGGGCTGGGTTGGATAAGAGAAGGAAAATTGGGATGGAGTGTTGGCAGGGATTGAATCTCATCACTCTCACTAAATGTTTCCAATTCTTACGCATTGAGTTTCCAACAAGCAACATTCTTTTGCATTTTTGTGCATTTGATTACTAGGAATTTTATAAAATCATTTGTTGCATGTGGAACTGAATGCTGATATTGCAAAAATTTGAAGTAATTGGTTTTGTAATTGTCTTGCTTGCCATATCAGGTACTGCTTTCTATTTGCTCACTGCTAACTGATCCAAATCCTGATGACCCTCTTGTTCCGGAGATTGCTCACATGTACAAAACTGACCGGACCAAGTATGAGGCGACTGCACGTAGCTGGACTCAGAAGTATGCCATGGGCTGATGTGTGTATATTGAATGGGATCTATTAAAACTGTTATGGGTTTGCTTTTGTCTCTTCCTGTTTTCTGGAGGGAGATTATGTTTCTGTTATGAGGGAATGGGAAGGTGGTGTCTTTATTTGATAAAAAAAATAACTATGTTCAACCACTGATGTTTTATCATGATGCAAAGACACGAACAGGATGTTGTGTGTCATGGTTGTGTTGTAACGTTCTCTATGAAGCAATGTAGAAATAGTGATATGTCACTGACACCGACCGCACCCATTACGTTTCTGATTGTGATAACATATCATTAGTTCATTTCTATATTAGGTTAATATTTATGGAAAATGTTAACTTCCGTTTTTAGTGCTGAAATTAAATGCTTAATAATACTAAATTTTATTTGAGAAATGAAGTATTTCAATTAGGAACCATTTCCAACTTTTGTATTTTTAATGTAGTGATTTTTTTTCATTTTCATTACGAATTTGCTATATTTGGATGCATAAATTTTATATTTAAAGTTGAAGTTTACAATACCTATTATTTAATAATTCTACATAGGCAAGCTTATTTGATGTTGTTTTCAATATTACACGGGATTTATATTCTAAACAACAATTGTGAAGACTTTAAAAATGAGGATGGGGTAATTGAAAAATAGACAACAGAGGATGACATAATTAATTTAGGGAATTAACTTAGCATGCTTTAATTGGAAAGTGAAGCCGAGTTGAATTTTTTTAATTTGTCTTGCAACAAAGTCCTACGCAATGGAGCTTTTTGAAAGTGGTTCTCTAATTATGTAAATATTCAGATTTCAATTTTATAGTTTGAGGAAGTATTTTTTATTATGTTTTTCTGTTGTTACTTTTAATTGAAGAATTGTTATTTTGTTTTTAAAATTTTGTAGAGGAAATATTGAAAAATAACGTTTCTAAAGCCTACATAGTCCCTAAATTTCAGCGGCATTGGCTATGGTGTATTTTGAGAATGAGTGGTGTAGGAGAATACATGGCTTACCAAAAATGAAGAAAATAATACATGAAATATTATCTTTGAAAATCTCTGAAGATTGAAAAGTATTTCCTCCACGAACAAATATTTTAGAAAACAGTTTATATAAAACTATACTAGGGAGGGTTTGGATTCTTTGCCGTCGAAAAATGATATAGTTGATGCTATAAATAAAATATTGATATTTTATGTTTGTACAGATCAAATGTAATTCAACGAGTCATGGAATGAAGATGGAAGGAATGATGTTTTTCTTAATTATTGTTACAACTAATAATTTTTGAGGGAAGAGAATCATGATCAATAAGATGTTTAAAACGTCGAATGATCTCCAAAAAAATTTAATGTATTTTTTCTCCTTTATGTCTTATTTTTAGTGCGTCATATGTAGAGATAAACAAAATGCAGTCTATTTTCTTTAACACCAACTGTAATGATGAATGATTGTGTAATTTATAATCGCCCATAGAAATATACTAAAGCAACCCAAGACTTGACTCTAGTGGTGAACCATTATTGTATTGTTATTCTTATTCTTAGTTGAGTACAAAGTTACAAACGCAACATACAGTTAGATTCCTGTGGCACTGATGATTGTGTTTAGGAATTAGCTCTCTCTACTTATTAAGGTGAGAGTTTTTGTTTTGCCAATAATTGGCTATGGTGATTGCACAACTGTCTTTGTCTTGTAATGTACCTCATCTTGTTTCATAAAGGAATAGGTTGTGGGACTCAACCATTCATAATCTTTGAAAGATTAATTTACTGATTAAATATCTTCGAAAGGACAATATAGTAACATTAATTTTAAGAGAATCAATTTAAATATTTACTATTATAATTGTGTGTAAAAATAACTTACAATTAAAAAGTCAAAACTTGAATAAATTTGAAAATTTTGAACTGAAATAATAAATGAACAATGATATATAATGAGAGAGAGAGAGAGAAATATTTATGAAAGGGTTGGGGAGAAAAGAGAGTGGTGGGGAGCTTTCAATTTTGGCAAGGTGGAGTGAGAAGATAAAGAGATAGTATGCAGTCTCAAAGTCGAGTTCATCGTTGATACTTCATATCAGAAACCGCGTGATGACTGATCATATAGCCACTGCCACTGATTGAAACATGAAAATCATTGTCACATTCCTCATCTCACCTTCTTTCTTTCTTTGGATCAGACGTGGGAAACACTAACTTTCTTTATTACTATATATTTTTTAATATTAAATACCACGTGACACCCATTGATATGTACATTGACTCTGATCAGACCCTCTTTTTCTTTTCTTTTTTCTGTCAGAATCTGATATATTCATGTTCTATATGTAATCAATCATACATTCTATCTGTCAATTATGATATTCCATATTAAAAACTCACTTTAACTAACCAAGGCTTTCAAAGAATCTCAACTCTGAACATAGTTATGCCAGTGATTGAGATTTTTATTTTTTTTTTTGAAAAAATTAAGTGTAACAGTTTAAGTACCATCAATATTGTTTACTGATTAAATTTAAAATTTTACTTTGATATTATGTAATAGCATTAATTAATAAATAACACTGGCCATATTTAAGCTTTTTTTTTAATATTTATTTAACTTTATCCATTAAAAATAGTAACATTTTTTTCTACTTTATCAAAAGCAAAAAGGATTATGTAGAATATAGATATGTGTATAAGGATCACAAGGGACACATCAGAAGAACTGAAACCCTTCTTGTCCTGGTAGCTACTATTCTTAGATACATTTAATTGATATTATTTTACAGGGTTGTTTGTACTAAGGTGTTTTCTTTAAGCACAATGAAGATAATAAGTTAATGCCAATGGATGTTTGTGCACATTTTCTTTGCTCTTAGCGGATAATACATATCTTTAGAACTTGTTTCATGTTCCGATATGAAAGTCACAGATCATGGTTTGGGTGAAATTTCATCTTTTATAATTTTAATTCGAATCAAAATTTTAAAAGTTTCTAACAAAGAAACCAGACACGTTGGAAAAGTTGGTACCTGAAGAACACTTTTCCAATTTTTCAATATATGTAGGTGAGTTGTTGCGGCTGTTCTACTACCAGTGAATTAATATACCTTACATCTATATCAATATCTATGTCTATTTTTATATCTATATTTATTTCATAAAATTAACTACACTCACTTATTATTATTATTTTATGTATTTACAAAAAAATTTATAATTACAAAAATTTAAAATATTTAATATCACATATTATTAGTGAGATCAACATTATATTACTAAAGAAAAATATTATTATTTTATATATTTATAATAAATTTTATGATTATTAAGATTTAGAATATTTAAACTCACTTAGATATATAAAATCAACTAAATTCACTTATTATTCTATGTATTTATAACAAAATTTGTAATTTTTAAGATTTAAAATATTTAAAATTATTTGTATTATTAGTGAAATGAACATTACATCACTAAAAAAATATATTATTTTGTATTTATTTATTATTCTATATATTTATAGCAAAATTTATAATTATTAATTTAAAATATTTAGGATCAATTATATTATCAGTAATATGAATGTTATGTCACTAAAAAAAGATATTACATACAACATTACTTACATGAATGATCTATAAAGATATTAGTATATGTTAAAACGAAAACAAAAAATTAACTATAAATTATATTTAATAAAAAATTACTAAAATTAATTATAATATTTTTTATAAATTAATAATTAAAATTATAATTAATAAATTATTATTATTTTTAAATTATATTTAAGAAAAGTTTACTAAAATTAATTGTATAAAATTTTTTTAGTGATAATTGTACAATATTAAAAATAAAAATAACAAATTTGTTATAAATGATATTTAATAAAAAATATTAAAATTTATTATATATAAAACATTGACAAAGTTCATTATAAAATATGAAAAACAAAAAAAAATATTAATTAACTTGTATTAAAATAACTTTACAGAAAGTGAATGAAGTTTTCGAGTGGTACATTAACTAAAAATGAAATTGTATCATTGCTTCACATCATATTCAAATTTAAATAGTATTTATTTAAATTATTTTATTAATTAATTTAATATATTCGATATATAAATATGTCAAATACAACTATAAATCTACATTACAATGGTTAGAATACACTTTCTTATTATACCACATATTTTAAATCAAATTTAAATATGTTATTTTAAAATTATAGGTCAATAATTTTATGCATAATCTATTAAATAAATTAATATTAATATTTGCTTCAATTTTATTGGAAAGTAAAAATTAAACTCCATTAAACTAAACCTTATTTCAGTATGTCTCACATTTGCGTCTTGTAGTAAACATCAGGTTTGATTAGAAAATACTTTTTATTATATTTTTTATCCATTAGTTTATACTTTTTTATATATTTATTATAATAGTTTTGTAAAATAATTTATTTTCTATAACAATAAAAAAGCTAATATACATTTTTTTGTAGTTACAACAATATAATTTTTCAGTGTATTAATATTAAAGTTATGTTTATTATTTTTTAAAATAATTATAGACCTAATAAATAATGTACATTTTTTATTTATTTTTAGTTTAATTTAAATGTTTTTTATATAGTATTTTAAATTTATTTATTAAATTTTATTAAAAAATAATTTTTATTATTTAAATTATTTTTAAGCTATTAAGCTATCAAAAGATGTAAAATAATTTAATGAAATTTTAATAATAAAAAGTTCTATATTTTTTTAAAAAATTTACATTATAATTTATTTTAATTTTAATTTTAAGTACAATTAACACATTATTAAAGAAGAAAACAAAAAATATATACTATGTAATAATAATAAACAAAATTTAAAAATAATAATTAAATTATGTTAAATTATATTTGACAAAACTTAAATTTAGTTATTGTTAATTATAAATTATATTATTACAATAACATGAATACAAATTTTTATTATTAAAGATTATAATATATATAATATAATATAATATAGTATAATGTAAATAATATTGTTATGATGAAGTATTTCATAATCATTTTTGCTGTGATTATATTTTAATATTATTTATATAATAAAATTTTATTATGATTTAATCAATAATAAATTTATAATTTTGTTATAAAATATTTTTTACATTTAAATTATAAAATTTTTAATTATTGTAAATAAAATAATGTAATAGAAATATATAAATAAATATGTGTAATGCAAGAACATATTTATTAGTCAACATGTATTTAATGCTGTAAAAGAATCATTTAAATGTAAAATGTAAAATGTAAAAAAAAATAAATAATTTGATACTCCTCTTAAAAATACATTAAAAAAATATTTTTTTAGTTATTTAACTAGAATTAAAAAAAGATAGAATTAAAGATGACAAAATAGGATAGTCAGAACACACTTAATAAAATATAAATTTAATTTTTTTTAAAATGTGATGCAAGTTAAACCCGTAAAAATCTGTTAAAATCTACAATAAATAAATAAATAAATAAATTTCGCTCATTTTAAACATTAATTTTACAAAGCTTAAATTATATTCATGATTTTTTAGTCCAACCTGCTAAAATTTACTGCCTATCATAATTAGTCTATTTTGACAGTTCTAGATAGAATGAATAAAAGAGGTGAGTTTTAAGCTTTAGTAGAATTAATCTTGAAAGGATATATTAATGTTAAAATAAAATTTAATAAAATATTAAATCAATTCATTTCTATAACACACACATATATATATATATATATATATATATATATATATATAACACAATTATAAAAATATTTCAATTTATAATGTGTTTTAAAATGTAAGTGAATTGTATAAAATTTTTTTACGCATACAAAGGCCAGTGGAAATTGATTTTTTCAACCGAAGTTGCGATTCTGCCTGTAACCGACCTTACCGAGCCAAAATGGGTATCAAAATGTGAGCATATGCAAAATACCCTTTATATTAAATGCATGAAGCACTACATTTTAGGGGGCCATCATATTTTTCTTTTTTAATTATTATAAAAATATTAACCTATTTAATTTTAAAGCTTTCCCATCCAAAAAGGGAACAATTGGTTTGTCCAAGTTTGAAGACTTTTAAGGAATTGACTGAACCGGACATTGTTAATAAAATCAAGCTTCTGATTGGTCACTTATATTTATCTTAGTTGTCATCAAGGGGTTAATTAATATTAATTTAATAAATATGTTTGTCTACATTCCAAGCTGGAGGCTTAAAGATTCATTCATTATTCATAGATCCATGCCAAAAATTAATTAATTTACTAGTTTATATTTATATATAAAAATAGAAATAGCTTCCACTTCAAGAATCCATTTATTAGTTTTTATTTTGTGTTTAAACCAAAACCAAAACCAAAATCTTTGTTATTCACGCAAACTGCATCACCTCCTTCCTTATCTTCTCCGATTCTAAGGTGTAGTAGTGTCTGCTGCTTCACAATCACTCCTTTGTTTCAGCTCAAATCTGCAAATTGGGTTTGTTTTCAATCCCTTTTTCTACTATTAAGCAATCTCACACTTCAATTTTTGAGGGGATTTAGTTGTGCTTCTTTCTTCGTTTATCTGTGTTTTGTTTATTTATTTTTGATGGGGTTGTTTAATTGCATGGAAATTGATGGAAAGCTTCCAACTTTATGTTTCAGATATAGAAGAGTTGTTATTACAAGTAAGCTGATATGATTCTTCAAACTACTACTTTTTTGCCTTTGTTTTTAATGAGTTTCCTTTTGGGTTTCTTAGCAACAAAAGCAATTTTCTGAGCAAAAATGAACATTTGGGAGTTTGGTCCCCATTGGAATTTATTTACTTTGCTTTGCAATTTTTGGGAGCATTTGCATGTTATGGCATTCTTGCGAGTATTGGATGGAAATTTGAGGATTAAACCATATGTCATTTGTAAATATACATTGTAATTTTCATTTTGATTCTTCCCATTCTCAATTTGGCTTTCTATAAAGCACACCCTACTCCTGTAATTGTTGAGGAGGGGAGTGTGTTGTTAGTCTCTTCTTCAACTTGATAAATATGCGGGTGTTGTTTGAGGACTAACATATTTTCCTTGCCCCGATTGATTTTGACCCTTTTGATTTAACTATTATCAGATTTCATCTTTTCTAGCTCTTTAGTCCTCTTTTGGAAAAGTATGCAAGGAAGTGATTATTTTTCTGTGGTCTTGTGTAGCTTGAAAGCTGATAGCCCCTGATTGAGTGCTGTGACTTGGCTATTGTTTTCTGTACTTTTCGTTTTGTTGTGGTGGACTTGAGAGAAATTTGATCTGCTGACATTTCAGGCTTCCATTCATTAAAGTTTACGATTTTGTGGCTTTCGAACAGTTGTATGGGGAATTGCATAGCTAAGGTGAGATATTTTGATACATCAATGCCCGAGGCATTTCACCTATTCTTTCTAATAACTTTTTTTGTTCAACAGATAGCTAGTCTAAAAGCAAAATAAATTTCATGCAAAGTGTGTAGGGTGTTCTCTTTTTGATAGAATTTAAATGGATGGCATAAGGAAAGCCTGCTATTGTAACTTTGAACTGATAGTTTTTTACCATGCCTTCTCTTCTGCGGCTGCAGGCCATTGCCCATGTGATGAATTGTGTAGAAACGTATATCGTAATCTATAGTAGACATTAGACAATGATGATGAAAACAGTGATGGAGAAACAAATATAGCGGGCTGCAACAATTAATGAGAGCTATATAAGAATTTGAACTGGACAAATGTTATAAGTATGCCAGCTGTTCTAAAGTATCTAAATATCAGCTGATAATTTATAGTTCAAATCATGAAATAAGTAGCCATTAGTCTGGTAATACAGGTAAAATTAGAGAGGAAAATAATGTAAATAAGAACTAATTTTCTAAATTTCAACTTTCTTTCTAATTCTTTCACTTACTTCTCCCCCTGGCCCCAGTCTTCTTTATCTTTAAAGGTGATAAAGGGTTGCTCTTTAACTGCTGGGTATTTCTAAATACGTCTCTTTTTTACATTCCTATTCCTGCTTATATTTGGTATTGCGGTGTTTTTGGCTAATAAAAATCTTATTAAGTCAGTATGATGTTAATAGTACTCTATCTGTAACTAGAAGTTTGTTTCTTCCATCAGCCTCTAGCCTTTACTTTTCAGTTCCTCCCCCCTGGTACTGGCTGCCAGAAAGAACAACGGAAAAAAGAATTTTAGCGTATGATAGCTTTGTAAACTTTGTGGAACATCCTCAATGCTTCTAGAACTTTGTAAATTGTAATCTGTCAGTCCACATCTTTCATTTCTAAGGAAATTGACTGGGAAGTTTCATGTTTCTGATGTTTGTAGTCTCAAGCTAAGGATAATGATTCCGATCATGATGTGGAGTTTGCTGGTGGGAATGTGAAACTTATTACCACCACAGAATCTTGGGACCAGAAATTGGAAGAAGCAAGGAGGGATGACAAAATTGTAAGTTTTCCATCTTTTTTACTGTAAAATTAAAGAACCTATTTCCATTTTGTTGTGTTGTTTGGTTGAACCGTTGCTACCTTATCATGATTTACCATGCATGTGTATAGTTGGTAACATGTGTATTTTCAGTGCAAGACAGCAAAGCCTCACTAATTCCTCTAATGTTTCTATTTTATTGAGAGTCCATATTAATGAAATGTTGTGTCCCCTGTTCTCTTTCTTTTTAATGCTTCTATTTATTGTAAAGATAATTTATGGATTGTTTTACAATTATATTTCATAAGTAATCAACATGGTGCTGTCTCATTTCAAGCTTCATGATGAGTTGTAAGATTTTGTGTAAGTACCTGACCAAAAGTGCATGTTCTGATTCAGAATCAGGATACATCATTGATTCCCTGTTGTTTTAATTTGTCTAAAAAAATTGAAAGGATTTTTCATGTTAATAGAAAGACTTATAATGTATAACAGTCTAAGACATGTCTAAGGACATAAACTGATAGTCTCAATATTAATGGGGAGGCCCTGCATTGTACACTTGAACCTTGTAAAGCACAACATGACTTTGTCTCTCTTTTTACATGATTTTATTCTTTCTAGTCTAGTAGTGGCCTAGAATTGGTGCTGACTAGGTATTAAGATATCAAATTATTGCTGATTGTACTCTCTCTCTCTCTCCACACACACCAGCACAAATGCTTACAGAGACACTCAGAAGTTGATCCATCCCATTTTTATTAAAATATCGGTTTTTTTAGTATATGTTCAAGGGTGCACAAGAAGAAATTAATAAATTGTAAGTTTTTATAAAAAATTGTAACATTTAATGTTTTCAATGCATTAGATATTGTGATTTCCAATGAATTGTGTCCCTCGACATAGGTTAGAAAAACTGTTAAAATATATCATATTTTTGTTGCAGCTTTTTCATTATATTTTCTTTGGCCTTATTTTACTTGCTATGCTATGTAATTTTTTAGGTTTTGCTAATAAGGAGGATTCTTCTAGTTACCTAAAAAGAACATTTATCAATGACTTTCGAATTCCTAATACAAAAGATACTAATTTTTTTATAAAAACTTTCTATGTTTGTTTCCTTAATTATAATACCCGTAGGACATTAGTTGTTCGCATATACCTAATTTGTTTTCTTCAGATACAATAATTAATGCTAAAGTTCCATGTTTAACAGGTCATTGCAAATTTCAGTGCAACATGGTGCGGTCCTTGTAAGATGATTGCGCCATATTACTGCGAGTTATCTGAGAAATACACATCTATGATGTTCTTATTAGTTGATGTGGATGAGCTAACTGTAAGTAGCAAAGCTGTATATATCATTACATCTTAAAGTTATTTTGTTTGAACTAGTATTTCATTAAATGAAAACATAAAACAAACTCAAGTTCCACCTTTAGCAAACAGGAAAAGATCCTCTCATGTGATGTGATAGGTTATGTGCAAGTTCTGTAGCTATCTTTCCTTATACATAGTCCCACTTATTTAATGTCTATCAAAAACGATAAAACGAAAAATTTACACATGATCATGTTATCATGTTATGTGAAATTTCAACATAAGAATATCAATTCTTGTGTTCATGGTGAGTGTTGTTTCTAATACGTGTGTGTGTGAGAGAGATATACCAACACATTTTACTTGCATATGTTGCAGGACTTCAGCACATCATGGGACATCAAAGCCACACCAACTTTCTTCTTCCTTAAAGATGGACAACAAATTGATAAACTTGTGGGAGCCAACAAGCCAGAGCTGCTGAAGAAAATTGTTGCAATTACTGATTCAGTTCCTGAGTATAAGCAGTGAGTGTTGTTCATTCCTGGGGTCATGAGTGTTCTTACATGTCTTTTTTCCGTGAGTATCTTTGTAATTTTGTCCTTGGATGTAAATACAAGACTTTTCACATTAATGTCTATCATTCAAAGGGGTATTGCTGTAGTTAAACAATCCTGTTTTGCTAATATCAAAAAATTGTCTTTTGTTGTTGTTTAAGCAAAAATTTAACTTTGGTTCATGCCTTGTGGCTCCATTACTATAAGTCTATGGGTGGCATGGCATATAGAGAATTTTAAAGTGGTCACATAGAGAAAAGTTGCCAAAGCTAAGTACAAAGAAAGAGAGAGAGATCGTTGACCCACTTAATACAGTTTGGACAGCTGGTTTTGTGCTCATTTGAATTTAGTTTTTTTTTTTTTATGAAATTGATTTTAAGTAGTTGATGTCATTAAAATACGTTCATAACTTAATTTAAATTTCATATTTTTAGTGAAATATGAGTTTTCTTTTATTAAAAATACGAGAATTGGTTTTATAAATTTGGAATAAAGAAGCCCTCGTATGTCATTTGCCAGGTGCAACTTTTTCGAGTGTCACAAATTTACACGTGTCTAAGAAAATATAATAAGAAACTTATATAGTAAGTTTTTAACTAAATGTTGTAAAACATTACAAGATTTAATGCATTAATAATATTAAGTAGGGTTTTACTTCTTGAAAAATGTTTAATCATATTCAAAGTAACTGGAAGTGTTTAATAATTATATTTTTTGACAATTTTTTCACTTTTAATACATCGATTGTAATTGTCCTATAAATATTTTAATTTTTAATTAAAAATATTCATTGATTATTTGAATAAGTCGTAAGGAAAACAAAAAATATTTAAGCAAAGAGATGATTTATCTATAGATATACTAACATGACGAATCTTTCATTTTGACATTGGTTGTGTCTTGTGTGACCAGAATCATTAACTTTAAGGTGGCCACCTAAGCCGGACAACTATAGAATACGTGTGGCTTCAAATTTTTCAACAATTACTTTAAACTTTTTGCACCCACTTTATATTGTGAAATCTTTTAAATGTCAAAAGACAGATCAATTTGCTACCCAAACTGCAATGTTTTAGAAGTTCTTGTCATTTTTTAAATACTTGCATAAACTAATTTCCTACAAATAGGTGTACAAGTTGTTAGTTAAAGCTCGGGAAAAGGTGACTTTTAACTTGTATAATTATCATGTTAAGTTATATCTCACTTCTAAATTACATTAAATGTATTATTTAATTCACGTAAAAGAAATTTGTAAGAAATAAACAACGTAAACTATTTAAGATTAATTGTTGATGACAGCTTTAACACAGTTTGATAACTCATCTTTTAACGTGAAGAATGTCTGAATTTCGGACAAATATAATTATAAGTGCCACAGTAATTGTTTCAATATTTTCTATTTTTAATTGTTTATAAATGAATATTTATATTTTATAAATTATCAATATGTGACCAAATTAAGGTACTCTCTCTCTTTCCCTCCCCCGGTTTTTTTCATGCAAACAATGTTAAAACGGACTAATAATACACACACATTCATCTTCACTATTATTCTATCAGATAAGTTAAAGGTAAGTTATTATTTTTCTCTAAACTACTATATATTTTATTTGAGACAATCTAGCTAAATTTAAAAATATTGACAACATGATAGAATTAACCCTTCTACTAGATTTTTTTTATCAGACAAAATTTGTTCAAGAGAAATCAAGCATATATCACTTGAATCAACTACCCATTATTAAAATAAGTCATCTATGTTATAATTAGAGAAATTATAAAGATATTTCTCATTTTTTGATTCTAAGCAAGGAATTTCCTTTGCGATAATAATTTCTCTGATCTCCTTACTTTTATAGTTTTTTCAATAATCTCCTCCCAACCACATTCAGCTTATTTCAATTGTCGTGCCAATCTCATTCAGACATAAACTAATTTTCTTGGCCAATGCTACCTATTTATTTTTTTGTTTATCATAACCTAATTTATGGGGTAGCACAAAATTAAAATAATTTATAGGGTATAAACACCCATATACTAAAAGAAAGACACAAATGAATAAACAAATATGACGGTGGAAGTTTGGTGCAAGAGTCACATTCATGAATGAAAATGGACCCTTTCCTCATCCTTTCTTGCCCTTCTTTGTTATATACTCACAGCACAGGTGTCATTATTATGTATTCATACATACAAAGGCAACCGTTGAAAAATGCTCCTTCCCTCTAACTCTTTCACACGTTAGTGCTCATCCTTATATTTAATTCACAATTTAATTATCTTTAATATTCCTTCATGGTTAGTGGGATCCCAAAAAGTTTGACAACAGTGACATTTTTAGAAGATTTTTTTTTCATTTTAGACATGAGAATTTGTCATCACACACCCACACAGTTCATTCAACTGAACAAGGATCACCCCACATATAATGCATATAGATCATGATGATATATATGAAATGTATGGATGGTTACACGTCAATATCATGGGCATGCTTGGTTTAAGTCAGACCTTAAAGGTCAAGAATCAAGATACCCATTTCATTGCTATATTAACTCTTGACATGCATGATTATGGTATAATTGTTTTTTTCTATTACTATCATACTATAGTTATACAAAATACAGGGTTATAATTATAAACAGGAGCGATCAACATCTTCAAGGAAATCACTAGGTGATTATGATGCTGAGCCTGTTGACTATATGTAGACTTTATCTTATGACAGCAACAAAGTCATTTTCCTTTAAAAAGGGAGAGACACATGTAATCTTTGTCTTGCACGTCTTATCAATGGTGGAGAAAGAAAGGGAGGGGTTTCCAAAAATTAAGATTACAACAACCTCGTTACAACATGTTTGCTCTTCAATCTTTATATAACGTAGCCACAAATTACAGCTTACATAATCATAATAAATAAGAAACAAGACAAAGGAATAGAAATAATATTAAGAGAATCAATAGAGTAACATTCAAGTTTACTGAAAGAAGATTGCACTACAGAAGAACTTGAGTGGTTTACTGCATGACCTTAGCGCCCTTTTGGATTCATGATCTGGGAGAATACAGCACTAGGGGTTAATCCATCAGAGTCTTCACTAGCCAAGCTTCTACCTCCAATGCTCATTGAAATGCCACTGCTTCTGGAGTCGGTCACATTACCATCATAACCTGGCAATGCATCAGGGTCCTTCTTTCCTTTAGAATCTGCAAACATTGCCTCCTCTTCATTGTGAATGCCGCCAAAGCCATTGCCACTTTCTTCTGCACTTTCTTGCAGCTGCAAAGCGAACTCAAGGTTCCACAAGACATCACCCATGGATGGCCTATCAATGCCTTGGTCTGCTACACACTTCATTGCAGTCTCAGCAAACTTTTTGAAGCATTCTGGAGCTATCTTGCCCTTCAGATAAGGATCAATGATTTGGTCAAGAATGCCTTTCTTGTAGCAATGAGATGCCCACTCAGCCAGACTCACTTGCTCTTTAGCAAGGGCCGGGTTCAAAGCTGGTCGTGCACACAATATCTCAAATAGAACCACACCAAATGAGTAAACATCAGATTTGTCTGTCAGTTGCTGCCTCCTGAAGTATTCTGGATCCAAGTACCCAAAACTACCCTTGACAACAGTACTTACATGGGTATTATCCAATGTTGGACCTGTTTTTGACAATCCAAAATCAGAAACCTTAGCCACCCATTTTTCATCTAGTAAAATGTTTGTCGTCTTCACATCACGATGGATGATAGTGTGTTTAGCACCAGTGTGTAGGTAGTGTAAACCCCGAGCAGCACCAATGCATATCTCAAGCCTTTGCTTCCATGGCAGTGGAGGCTTCTGGGTCTTGTACAGATGCTCCCTGAGTGTTCCATAGGCCATATAATCATAGACAAGGATCATTTCAGTGTTTTCTTCACAGTAGCCAATCAGTGAAACAAGGTGGCGGTGACGAAGTTTAGAGAGCATTTCAATCTCAGTTTGGAATTCATGAACCCCCTGCTCAGATAGTGGATTTCCACGTTTAATTGCTACTTTGGTTGTTCCACCATCCATTTCTCCTTTGTAAACCTTACCAAATCCCCCCACACCAAGAAGCAAAGCCTCGTCAAAGTTGTTCGTGGCAGCCTGAATTTCAGCAAATGAGAAATGACGACAAAGGTTTGATGGGAGAGAGGATGCGTAACTTCCTGTGGTGTTGGTCTTGGCAGAAGCTGCAGAGTGTGAATTACCATAAAGAGAAAGTGGAAGCCAGCCAGACGGCCCTTCACTTGCACCAGAATCTTTTCCATGCCTACTGCGACGCGAAGCAGCAAAAGCAAATACCCCAATCACAAGTACTAAAACAACTCCTCCAACAACAACTCCCGCAATTATTCCCACATGACTCTTTGATTTTCCATGACTAGATGTCCTAGCCAATGACGGGTCAATTATATCTTGCAAAGGAGGAGGAATAGGATTTGTCCCTGCCAGATTACCTGTAGTATCATTAATTTTGAATATCTCCACTCCATTCAAGATTGCATCATAATACTGGGGCTTGTTACTTGTATCTGGATGCAGTGCAAGCCACAAGTCCTGCCGTGGTTCCCCATTAGGAACAAATACAACGTAGTCTTTATGCACTGGAACCCCATTTGAATGTGAAAGGCCAAAATCACGTGCCCAGGCAATAACATCAGCACCACCAGGCTGAGCAGTTTGATTGTTGAGGAATATATCAAATACTCTTTGATTAATCTGGGTTATATTTGTTGAGCCCTCACAAAAATGGAGTCTCACAAGATAAGAAAACCCAGAATCAATGGAGAAAATCCAAGTCAAGTTGTAATTCGAGTTGATATTGGCATCTGGGCCCATTGATCTGGCTGTAGTGTAGACATCTTGTGGAGCAATATAAGCTGGTGTGCCCGGAGGATACTCAAACTTCACACCTGGATCCGCAGGCTCAGTAACGCCAAATGCAGCCCCAAAGAGGTAGGGCACATCATCAGACCATGACCTAAACATTCCAGTATCATGTGAAGGTGAAATATCATTCCCACCCACATTTAACCTATAAAGATTTTCAAGTGCAGTGCTGTTATCAATTGTGAAAGGTGTATCGGTACCCACAATCACGGTAGATTCATCCGTGGAAGTATAAATATCAGGCATGGACACAACCTCAATCCCATTAACAAATGCATAGGCGTTCGAGGCATTGGTAGATGGGGTAAAAGTTACATTCAAGGTTTCCCCTTCAACATATATAGAGTATTCCTTCACAATGTAGGCAAAATTCAAAGCCAAGGTGGTCTGAGCAACACTGAAGTTCCTAAGCACGGTGTAGGATTGTGCCGTTACACCAAACAGTGCATTGGATGCATTGAGGCCAGCATAAGAAGCCGAATAAAAGTACAGCCGGAGGAATTTCCGACCGGAGGCCACCGGAAAAGTATAGGTATAAGGTGCGTGGAACACGCGTGCCGTCATGTAGGGAACCTGCGGGACTGCAGGATCTTGAGATGCAGCCTGCGAAGTCAAGGAATTTCCGGCCGAAGAACCAAACTTGGAACCAATATCAGTGGTCCATTGACGGCCATCAGTATCAGAACTAACCGGAGGACCACCACAATTCAGCAGAATTTTATCTGCAGGCTTAAAATCCTGAGCTAGGACAAGTTCAATAGCCAATACCAAGCACACAAGCAATGGAACACAAACACAGTACTGATTCATGCTCCTCATCGTAACACAAAGCTCCAAAGTAAAACCAAAACCAGAACCAAAAAACCCTGCTTTGTTTTCTCACCTGCAATTGCAAACACCCTTTATATGTAAGTACAATTTAAACACACCCAGAAGTTGAAATCACACAAAGACCTTAAATTTGATTAAAAGATCTGATTTTTATAGCACCCCAGATCAGGAAAGGAAAGTGGGGGATCATCATCAGTTTCGACCCAAAGTTGACAAAATCAGCAAAATTCAATAAGGGAAAGTGATGAACTAGATTTACAGTGAATAATAGACTCAACGAAAAAATGAGTGAGATGATGAAGGCTAAAATAGTGTAAATGGCGAGAATTAAAAGGAAGAAAAGTGTGGAACAAGAGAGAAAGAAAGGACTCACCTCATGCCATGGGAAGAACAGCTGAAAAAGCAACTCGGTGAGTCAAACCGCAACGATCCCGGAGCTTTAGGGTTGGATTGCAGTTGCCAGTTGTAGTTAGAAAGACTACGAGAGAGAGAGAGAGAGAGAGAGAAGGAAGGAAAATGGAGCGAGAAAATGCCAGAAACAGAAAACTGTCTTAAATACCACACCTTAATTGTAAGAGAACAATTTACTCTTTCACGTGTAGATGACACTATAAAAGTTGTATTATCTCTAACATTTATTATAAAATAATTTTTTATATTTATCTTTTATATTAATGATTTTAACTCACTTTTTCTTTTTAATTATGTTTTTTATTATATAAAAAAAATTATAAATTTAAAAATTTACAAATATAAATTGTCTGAACATAATGAGTTAATGAATGATGTGTTCTTCTTTTGAATCCAAAAGTATCATAAGTTTAATTTATTAAGATTTAGAGTCAAATGAATTCTTATTTATTCATTTTAACAACGATCTTATTTTGATAAATATATTTTAACAACAAATTTTTTTCATTTTTTTGAAAATCAAAATGAACGAGTTTTTAATCTGGGAATCAGACAGACAATTTACATAACCAGTTAGATGCAAAATTTCTCAAGAATTATTTGAAAAAAAAAACACACTAATTTATTAACCTAATGGGTTAATTTTTTTAAAAAATTATTAAAAAAGATTGTGGAATGTGTATCAAACTTAAGATCCTTTGAACGATGGACCCACTTCATAATTCATTATATATTTTTTTGTCAATTAATATTCTATTTTACTTTTTAAAATTTATAACATATATAATATAATTATTTTATATTAATTTATTATATGATATTACATATTTAATTATAATAAAATTAATAAGTGATGAATCAGTATTTTTATAAATTCAATGACCAAAACTGCTTTTATAAACTTTTGATGCTTTTTCAATGTAAACAAATGGAAGATAATTAGTTGGGTTTAGTTGTCTGTTAATCTTAGTTTAAGAGGGCCACCTGCTGACGATGTGACCGTTTTGACCTTCAGCTTGTAAGTCTGCTCGTATTTGTATTAAACTATACGTAATTTTCTTTTCATATTTTATTTTAGAATAAATATATATAATTTAAAAATTAAATAATAATATTTTATATTTTATAAATTTATAAAGAAAAATTATTTTAATTTAATTTTATAATTATAAATAATATATCAAAATAATAAATATTTAATAAAATTAAAATAATATTTTAATTGTATAATGTAAAAAATATATCAATAATTATAAATTTAAGAGATAATGTTTAAAAATATAATAGATATATACAATAAAAAATATAGAAATTTATATAAGATCTTTTGCTGGTTTTAACTCTAACTTATAAAATAAGTTGGAACTTCTATTATTATTAATACTGATTAATGATTAGGATACATATATTTTATCATCCATTATATTATTTTTACCATTTTTTTAAATGATAGACTTAAAAACTACACATTTTAAGATATTTAAATATAAGATGCATGGTATTATTTAATTTTAAGAAACTAATTTTGAGATGAAATTTTTTATTGAAAATGTTTTTTTTTCTAATACTAGTTTTTCTTTAATTTTAAAATGTTTATTAATTTTGAGATAAAATATTTCATATTGATGAAAATGATTCTTTTTATTACGAGATTATCAGCTGATATAAGGATAAAAATTTGATAGATTTATCTAAATTAAGTGCAGACCAATTATAATCATGAATATTATGAATTAATGAGACTAATCTACCTTACCTAATACACAGTTTACCCATTTTAAAAAAGTGTCGAATTTTCCATCTTTTTATCTTAATTTTGTTGAAAAAGAAATATTGAAATGTGAAAAATGCACGTTCATATTAACACAAAAATTTTGACTTATGATAATTAAAAAAAAAGGGTGCTGTAAAAAAGTATAAAATTTCAACCACTAAAGTTTAATATTAATGTATCATTAATATAAAAAATGATACCATAAATAGATTTAATACTTTATATTAATGAATTTCGTTACAAATTGAATAATTAATTTTGAAGGAAAAGAGAAATTCAATGAGGTGATGATTGGATGACAGATCAGTTTTGCAGTATCCAACAGACAAACGCGTTTATGAAAGTAACTTACAACTCACAACTTGCAAACGCGTTTTCATCGTTCTGCTGTCACTCACCTTTGCTACGCTCAATTCATTTGCTGACATAATCTTTCATTAAACTATGTATTAAATCAAATCATTGAATTCAAAATCATCTAATAATTATTTTGATTTGTACACAACGTGACATTCTTCTGTTGCTATACTCCAGATTCCCACCTTTCATTTTCATTTTCTTTTTCCTCCATATATTTGCTTGATTTTTCTTTTCTTTTTTTTTTTTTCTTCAAGGCCCCTTTAACTTTAATCATGATTAAGGAATAATCAAATTTAAGTCTAATGAATATTCAATTACTAAGAAATTATTCACAACAAATAAAGCATCTGTTTATTGAATAAATTTAAGTAATTATGTACTAAACATTAATTTATTTATTAATATTATGAATATTTTTAAAACAAAATATAAATCTATAACACAATTTTTATGAATTTAAAAAAATGTTAAGGGAGTATCAGAAATGGCTTTTTTTTTTCAACGGCAGGGACGTCTGGTTTTAAAAACATAAGCATAATTGCATGGAATGGGGAATTTAATTTTTGTGGAAATTTAAAATTGTTTTAAAAATATTTTGCTTAGATGTTTAATTTTAAACACTCAAAAATTAAACAATTTTAACTGAAATTTTAATAAATTAAAATTGAAGAATTATAATTTCATCAAAAGGGTAAATTTCATACCCACCTCCCTTCTCACTCCACACCGTCACACTTTATTGAGTTTGAGACTGTTGTGGCTTTCACAATAGAGAATTAGTGGTTTGGTTCCATAGTAATATCATCATGGATGAGCCCCTTAACCTTTTTAGTCATAGTAAAAATTTTAAATAAATAGACTTAATAATGAAGAAAATTACTCTACCCATACCAAAAGATAAAATTAAATGAGAAAAATTTTATTATTTAATTCAAACTACATATTTTAAAATGATATAAATTTATTTTAAAATTATATTTTTCTTCATATTTTTATATTTTTTTAATGAATTTTAGTTAAGAATCAAGAATGTATTGCTAAAAAATTGATGGCCAATTGAAAAGTGAGGATTTGACGTTTAAGAAAGTAAAATACTAAAATCAATTTGAATGCAACACCCTTAATTGATATCATCTTATTGACTGATTCCATTGGGCTGGTACACTAAATAAGGTAGCCACTAGCCAACTTCTACCAATAGAAGCAAATGAAGAATGTTTATTGAAGTGAAGCTGATATACAAATTAACACTTAAAAACAGTGGCTCCATAAGCTACACTCAAATGTGTTTCAGAACTCAAGCTTTTGGCTTCAGCACATACATTTTACAAGCATGTGGATCTACTGTGGCAGTCAATTTGTTCACAAACGGTCTCATCAATGTCTTGTGCTGCATGCATTAACATTACCTTAACAGCATCAGTACCCCCAACAAAATTGTGTTGAAAAGAAAGCATTCAATACAATGTTACAAAACAAAAGATTAAATGTATCATAAATACAAATTTACAATACCTCCCAAAGGTCTCTTGCTTCAATAACACTTTTAGGTGGAATACCAATATCCTTCCAATTGGCTGTAATAGCAATTCTCCAAGGGCCACGATTAAGCAAGACAACAGCTACCCTGTACCCTGAAAGAGGACCTGCCCAAATCTGTCCAAAAACATACCTATGAACATTTCTTGCTCACATGACATTAGAGACTAGAGATGACAAAATGAGCTAATTAGGCCCTAACCCAGCCATCAAAATGTAGGGCTTAGATTTTAAATTATGAGTCCAAATTAAATTTTTCCCTTTCTAGTTTGATTTGCATAGGTCTTGGACTTTTACCAGATTTAGACATTATTTTACAAGCCTAAATTGAATCAAAGCTTTTTCAGCCCAACTTGCTAAATTTCACTGCCCACAACAGACTATTTTTCCAACTCTATTAGAGACAAAATCATATGTCATATTCCAAATTCAACTTACCTCAAGGTCACCTTCCATCCTAACTTTTTTACCTTGTACACCTAGTGAATCTGACATGGTAATAGATAAACATTAATAACAGTAATAAATTACAATAAGAAACCATAGAATGACCGTGGTTATGTATCACCTTGGTTAACTGCAATAACTTCCTTATTTGCCACAATCTCCATAGTCTCTTTGGTCATATTTCGAACATCACATCCTAGAAGAAGAGGAGCCTGCAATAAAGCTCCATGTGAGGGGAAATAAAAAGCTCCTATACATGCTTTAACATAAATCAATATACTTGAAAACAAAAGAATAATAGTATTTACCTTGGAAATTGCCCATAAACTGAAGTGAACAATATATTCATCTTTTGTCATCCCTCCATTTCCTACCTCAAGCATGTCAGGATCTGTTGAATTTGAATGATTAATTTATACAATGACTCATAATTAGATTAAACCCAAGGAAATGTCTATTACCACACCGTATGTTTATTGTCCTCAAATTTTAAAAAAAATTATGCAAAATAATCTTAACTTACTATTGATATAGTTATAAAAATAAAGATATTTTAGACAAAAGTCACTTAAAAGGGAGTAGTAATAGACGCATGAGTGTGGCAATAGACACACCCTAAACCCAAACATAAAAATCTTAAATGTTGTGCTGATGAAATTCTAACCATTCCAACCACCAGGTCTTGCATACTCAGCATAAAACTCATTCATGTCTGCCTTTGAAATCATACTGCCAAAGGCAAAAGTTAAGATTAATAGACAACCTAGTTGCTAAATATCCAACTTTATACTACAATTTTGATGAACAGCTACAAACCCTACTTCACATTTAAAAGACTAATTGTATAAACTGAATGCATTGTTTTTACCTTTCCCATGAATCACTGATGTCATTAGTAGTTCTCCAGCTATTTCCCACTTTAGCACCCCATAAAGCTGGATGCATGTCTCCCCTAACAAACAAAGCATATGTGATTAAAGGGAAGGACTTAAAATTGGAGGAACAATAAAATGCTAGCACAAAAAATTACCATTCACATAGTGAGAAGAAGATTGGACGACCAGCCATCATTAAAGCCCGAGTCATAATAGGGTATCTATTCACAAGCAGACCATAGTTTTCAAAATTATATATGATGACTAAGGGGGAATACTGAAGAAAGTATTAACTACCTAACAGTTGGGTTTGATCCACCATTGTTACAGTTATCATACTTCAAATAATCAATACCCTGTAAATAAAGCATAACAACCACATTTTGAATTGCATTAAATATGATGATGTCAACGAAAAAGATGAAGAAATGAGCACAATGTATAATACCCATGATGCAAAAGTCTTGGCATCTTGAAACTCATGACCTAAGGAACCAGGCATCTTTTTGCTACAAGTAAAATACCTGCGAAATTGACCAACATAAAAGTACAAAACTTAGTTAAAATGTACATGGAACTAACTTGGTCAGGTGATTGGCCAAAGATAGGTACCCTGCATCTGAATAAATTCCAAGCTTAAGACCCTTGCTGTGAACATAATCTGCAAGAGCTTTGATGCCAGAAGGAAATGTTGATTTTTTTGCTACCAGATTGCCCTATAGCAACGAAGAATTTTTCTTTAATTGAATGTGAGAACTTTCAGGTAACCAGCAAGAAAATGCAAATGCATTGAGGCAACCATACCTTATCATCTCGATTTAATTCAGCCCAACAATCATCTGCAGGAATAGAAAATTGCGGATATAGGTTTACTATATGAGCTCATGACATTTTGCAAAGTAAAAAGTGCATAATAATAAGGGTTTTGCTAACTAGTACCTTAAAGACATTGGTTAAGAATTAAATAAAGAAAATGTTCATATTAAAAATCATATAAGGGGTACATTAAAAATCATGGGAGAAGCACGTTATCATGCTTTTTAATTAAAAAAAATTCTACTTTTGATTCCTTAACCAACGTCCTAAAGGCAATAGTTAACATTTTTCTAGTAATAGAGGTAGTACTAATAATAAGAGACTTGAAAAATGGGTGTTTTCATGTACCTATGTTGACATAGGTGTATCCAAGCTTGGAAAGACCAGTAGAAACGAGGGCATCCGCTGTAAACCCATATTGAAGAATCACACTACTAATCGTTAATAAAGTTGATCTTTAACAACAACTCATATAGTTTTATATGATAAATTGACAATGATAGATGAATACAAAATTCACATAATATATATAGATGACCCAATACCAGTTTCTCGGATGATTTTTTCATTAATTTGACAGTTAAAATGATTCCAACTGTTCCACCTGCACAAAACAAAAATGTTATGACAACTAAGTATCATAAATCAAGGGATACTAACAAAATAAAGAAATGACTCATCTCACAGAGAAGAAATTTACTGATAATTAACACACATACCCCATAGGAGGAGTTCTACCAAGGCCATTAGCAAGTAGATTCCTCCTGAATTGGTCCTCATGGTTGTGAAGTTTTGTTGCAGTGACACTAGTCAATGAAAAAAGCAAAAGGGTCATCAAAGCCACCACCATCTCACAGCCAATCCTTCTCTCCATTGCGTTCACTTCAAGATCTTTCACTTCCACAATTGCAGCGAGAAAAACAAGGGTACCTTAGGCCTTATCTATTTATACACAAAGAGGGTCTTCACTGATTGTGCTCCTCAGTCCAAACTCCAAAGCCATGTTTTTAACTGTTCTCCATGACTTACCATGATTTTATGACATAAAGTACATGTCAATATTAAACCCTTCAACAAAATCTTCTCATTAATATTCTCACATGCTAGACAAAGAAAATACTGAATGTTTAATATATTTTTGAGACATTAAGAGTATTTTCTTCATTTGATTCTTTCTTTATGGGAGTATGTCATTATGCTGAGCTGTGAATAGCAGTAATAATTTTCTTGAAAATAAAAATAAGAATAAGCTAAATTATCCTGCGCCCGGATTCAGATAATAATGGGTATTTATTGTTTTTTACCTGTATAGATAAGAAGAAAACAAAAAAGCTCGGTGTGTGCCCACCCTATTGCAGTCATCATATAACTGATTTCATTTCAAATGGAGAATCGCAGTCCTTAATTAGAGTTACATCCCTCGTGGCTATTATTATTACATAATATAACTTTTATTATTTATCATATTCTTAAATTTGTATTTGACATAACTTAGCCCTCAAAAACAAGTTTATAAGACTTGTTTTTTACAATTTCTACTTTGAGTATATCCACATTCATAGTCAATATAAAATTTCAAACCACTGTTTTACACTCAATATTAAACATTTAATATGTAAATGACGCAAAATCAGATCGAAATCCTTTCTTTTTTTACGCAAACTACTCCCTGGACTGAGCAATTACCGTAGAGAATGAGGCACATTACATTGAAAAAAACCGAAAGATGAAGTAAGTTGTACAAATATATGGAAAGGTAGGGGAGGTGATGCTAAAACCACATAAAAGTAGCGAGAAAGGGACCACTAAACGGGCTTTGATTTCCTTTTTGACCAATGCATGTCAGTTCAAATCGGAGGATAAGGATATCCCAATATTTGTTTATTCACCAAAAGCAATTGTTTTTCATCTGTGGGAACTCGCTATCCTTATAAATAAATAAATATTTATAAATAATTTTTTAATGAAAAATATGTATTTATTATATTAAATTTATAAAATATAATAAATATATTTTTATAAATTATTATTATTATTAATTATTTATTTTTAGTCTTTTAAAGTTAAAAAAATATTTTTAATTATTAGTTAAGATTTATTAAAAATTATAAGAGTATGGGAGAATATATATATATATATATATATATATATATATATATATAATTGTTTTAGTATTTCAAAAAAAGTAGTTAGATATTAGTATTCCTCGGGCAAAGTAAGATGCTCTGCTCTATCTTATTTTAATAATAAATATGTTATGATTTGAAGCTGTTGAATTTGCTTGCTAAAATATTCAACTTCCAGCAATTTGATAATCAAGTGCTACCAAATTTTATGGAGTTTTTCCACTGCTACCAAACTATTTTACTATAAAAAAATATTAACATAGTATCTTTAAAATGTTAGTTAAAAATTTTAAAATAAAAATATACTCATTTTTTATAATTTTATTAAATATATTTTAACACTAATTTTAATAAAAATTTATTAATTTTTAACCGGTATAGTCTATTATAAGTTTTTCCTGAAGCTCATGACTTGTTTCTTTTATGTTGTAAATATTTCTAGTCTTCTCTTAAATTTCAACTTTTTAACTGCCCCAAAAGAAAAAAGAGATCTTCTATGAATTGTTTATTTGTTAAGCTGTGTCAACGAATTTATAATTGAAAATTTCTAAGGAAAAGCGATGATTAACCTTTGGCACTTCATGACCTGTGTATAGTTAAATTCACAGTTCACACTTCACATCTATTAAACGCAATATTTTTACAATTATAGTAAATTACCTTTATATGAATTTGAAAATAGTATACAATGATGAATAGTAAGTTATCATTACCATTGGATATAGTTTCCAAATCGAAACATTAGACATTCATATATAATATTGAAACTCTTCTGATCGAATTGGTATATGATATTTTAAAATTTTAAAAAATCATTACTTCATTTTTCTTTTTATAATGTTATGATAAATATAAAATATAAATAGTATCTTGATTATATTATAATTTATTTTAGACTATCTTTGCTTTTTTTAATTAGTTAATATTTCTATTTTTTTCTCTTTTCTTTTATTTATCTAATGATTTATTTATTTATATAAAATGAGATAGTGTTTTGTATTGATGATTTAATTTTACTTAGGTGCCGGTGCCATTTACCTATTCTAACTTTTATGATTATATTATTATTTTTTGAATGGTTACTTTAACTTCCTATAAAGATTATATTTACTATTTATATATTTTTTTATGACTTTAACCTAAAAAAATATTTTTTTTGAATAAAAAAAATAAAGTATTTATTATATTTTAAATTTTATTAATTAATTTAATAAAGATTGTTCTCTACTAATTTTAAACAAGTTATCAAATGGTTTATATGAGTTGTTATTTAAGTGACTTCAATGAATTTAAAGAGGATGGTGAATTAAGTTCTCAAACTTTTTCTTAATTTATTTATTTTAATTCTTTTTTCAATGAAATATAAGAAATTAGATTAAAATATAATAGAATGAATGATAATGCAAAAGATTTAGAATTTTAATAATATAGATAAACAATATAATAAAACGTAAACTTAGAGTAAACATAAAGAGATAAAAGAAAAAAGAATGCAAACTCAATTTATGTTAGTTTGATACCTTTTGTGACCTATATCTAGTCCCAAGCAAGTAACATGCTTAAGAATTCTACTAACTTTAAATTTTTTACAACTAAAAAATACACTCTTATACTTTGGAATTAGGAATGGAAACGAGTTAAGACACTCGTGAGGGGCCTATAACTTATAACTTATCTAAAGTCTAACTTGGCTTGACTGATTTTTAAAAAAGACAGACTTAAACTTTTGAAAAGACCTATTTATATAAAGAGGTCAGATTTAAGTTTTTTTTAAAAAAAGCCTTTTAAGTTTATTGGCCAGTCCAATTAAATAATTATATTATTTTATAATTTATATTTATTTGTAACAATTTAACATAAATATAATTATCCAGAAAAATGATTGATATATATATATATATATATATATATATAAGATTTAATTATATTTTTTGTCCCTATAAATATAGGCATCTTTGTTATTAGTCCCTACAAACATTTTTGTTAAGAAGTAATCATTCTAAAGTAGGAAATTAAAAAATGATCTCTGCTGTTAACCTCCCTTCTGCTAAGTGCTGAGCTGACTGACGGAAAGTCAGTTCAGCACTCCACGTGACGCCACGTTGTCATCTTAAGTCCCAGTCATAATCTACGTTATTATTTTTTATTTAAAATTAAAATTTGCAAATAAACCCCTAAACTTATTTTATATATTTGCATAAAAATCCTTCTTCTTCTCCATTCCTTTAATCTTCTACATACCGGCACCTCTCCACCTCCCTTACCCCTACTCCTTTCTCCCATGACCACTCCCTCTCCTTCTCCCTCCTTACACCGCCACTCTCTCCCCTTCTTCCTCTTTGCCCTATCACTCCTACCTTTCACCTGCACACTCCCACCCTCCTTCTTCTTCTTCCTCTTCCCCACACTCTACCTTCCTCACCCAACCCCAACCTCCACTCCCCCTCCTCCCACCCCTTTCCAACACTCCTTCTTTTTCCCACATTCCTACCATTTCTGACATTTATTTTTTATTCTCACCTCGTGCAGAACCCTTGTTCAACCCCAATTTAATTCTCTCATGCTTTAGGGTATGATGCGTCGTATCATGACGGTTCCGTTCTTCGCCAACAAGGTGGTGCAACGGTATCGATTCGGATGAGAGGACGAAGCGGCACGCGTCGTCGACGATGTTCACCGGAATCCAGATTCAGCCACCGGTGGCATTGTGCTCCGGCGAAGGCTGCAATTGATGATGTATAACAGCATGTGTAGAATCATGTTCGATATAAGGTTCGAGAACGAGGAGGATCCGTTATTTCAGAAGTTAAGAGTTTTGAACGGTGAAAGAAGCTGTTTGGCACAAAGCTTTGACTATAACTATGGTGATTTTATCCCTATTTTAAGACCCTTCTTACATGGCTACTTGAAGATTTGCAAGGAAGTTAAGGAGAGAAGGTTGCAACTCTTCAAGGACTATTTTCTTGAGGAACGAAAGTAATATATATTTTTTATTTTCTTAGTAATTATTATTATTTTATTTAATTATTTTAGATTTGGGTTTAACTTTATTGGGAATCAATTTTTACAGGAACCTCGAAAGTACAAAGAGAACGGACAATCAAGGACTCAAGTGTGCCATTGATCACATTTTGGCAACCATGTTGCTCGAAGTTGGTAATGACAGTGACCAATTTGTTTGGTCGACCTACCTCTACTTTAGTGGGAGGGTGATTTTCAGTATCATTATCCATTAGTTCAACAATATCACCTCACGAGAATAATAAAACAAACATCACCAACACCCACTTAAATAGAGAAAGGTTTCTACAAGGGTCTGCAATCGGTTTTGGACTTTGCTTTAGCGTGCGAGAGAAGCTTGGGGTACTCTTTGGTGGTGAACTGGATGGAGGTAGTAGGGGTGCTGGGTGGAGGTAAGAGAAGCATGAGAATAAGAAATAAATGTCGAAAAGGGTAGGAATGTGAAAAAAAAGGAGGAGTGTCGGAAAGAGGTGGGAGAGGGGGGAGTGGAGGTTGGGGTTGGGATTAGAGGAGGGAGAGTGGAGGTTGGGGTTGGGGTGAGAAAGGTAGAGTGTGGAGAAGAGGAAGAAGAAGGAGTGTGGGTGTGGGTGGGAGTGTGCGGGTGAAAGGTAGGAGTGAAGGTTGAGGAAGAGTTAAGCAGGAAATGGTGTGTTCAGTAACCATATATCAAGAAAGGGGTGAGGGTTGGGGAAGAGTAGATTTTGTTAACAGGAAAGAGATAAGAGAA